CCCAATCGGGCTCCAGGAGGAAGTGAATCAGCAACCTGATTGGCCTGCAGGAACAGTCCAATCAGGCTCCAGGAGGGGAGTTGAATCAGCCAATCACACGGGACCCATTGTGTAAATGATGTATATATAGCCAGAGGTTTGGGGGGAAAGCACCCACTCGCTGTTTACCATGAGCTGAAATAAAGAGCATGAAATCAACACTCAACCCCGAGTATATTTCAAGTAGGAAGTTAAAAGTAATCCTTAGTCCTTAGCAACCACAAAGGACATTAGCTCCTCCCAGCTCTCACCTAAGAACTTTCCTTTCTCCTTCCATCCTCTCACCCTGGGAGACCGACCTTTGCCTGTCTCTCACCCAGGGCCCTCCCTGGTCAGCCTTTTTCTTAAAAGAAAATCAATTTTATTAAAAGTTTTCAACATATTGTACAATAAAATCCAGACTAATCAAAGAAGAAAACTGGCAATCGTAAAGAAAAACCAATTCAAAAAAGAGAAAAGAAATTTGAGAAAGAAGAAGAAGAGAGAAATAAAAGAGAAACGATGTACTTCCACTTCTCTGTCAATTATATATAAAACAGCTGTTCAGAGTATTTGACATATTCACTCCAGAGTAATTCACTAGCAGTAGATAATTCCAGCTTTTTCCCATTCTGCAAAATTGTGTTTTCGATTGGGCCTGTTCTCTTTTGTGGGCTTGCTCGTGACCAGTTTTTAAAGGTCATCCAATGTTTTTAATAGCAGAAAGACACCCTGTATCATGTAAGAACTGCAGAATTGTTGGCTGTCATGCCACTGCTGCCGTCCCTGGAGCTTCTTGTGAATTTGGAATTGCTAAATCAAGGAAAGAAATTCCTAAATAAATAATTGTTTCTGCTAGCTACGCCACATCAGTAAAGTGTGGCGGGGCTAATTTTAAACCAGGCTCTTGGAGTAGCTCATATGAGAAAAATGTACCAGTGTGAAATTTGATCCCTTGTCCAAATCAAATGTATACAAAGAAATAAGGAGTCGGAAACCTTAACCCAGCTAGCTGCCTGCTAGGCTAGGTTTGTGAAATATACTCGGAGTCAAGTGTAAATTTCATGCTCTTTATTCAGCTCATAGTGGTGAAGAGGAATGGAAGTTCCCCTGAAATGTCTGCTTTATATACATTATTTACACAATGGGCCCCACGTGATTGGCTAATTCCGGGATTCTCCTGTAGGCCAATCAGGTTGTGGATTCACTTCCACCTGGAGTTGGATTGGGTGGCTCTTGCGGACCAATCAGACTGCTGCATTCTGGATCCTATTGTTCTAGGACCAATCAGACTGCTGCATTCTGAATCCTATTGTTCTAGGACCAGACAGACTGCTGCATTCTGAATCCTATTGTTCTAGAACCAATCAGACTGCTGCATTCTGGATCCTATTGTTCTAGGACCAATCAGACTGCTGCATTCTGAATCCTATTGTTCTAGGACCAATTAGACTGCTGCAATTTGGATCCTATTCAACTGAGTACATAACAGTTTGTAAGAATGTATGCAACCAGAACATCATCTGATGGCCTCATGCTACTGATTTCGCCATCCTGTTTCCTTTGTGATTAAAATGAATACATTGGGAACAAAACCAAGAGACTAAACCCTACAGCATCCACACAGCTGACTTGATTGGCATGTGGACCACATTTAAGTTATTGTGTTTATTTTCTAAAAACCTGCCTAACCATGTACAGTGGTACCTTGGTTAAGTACCTCAGGTTAATTTGTTCCGGAGGTCTGTTCTTAACCTGAAACTGTTCTTAACCTGAAGCACCACTTTAGCTAATGGGGCCTCCTGCTGCCGCCGCGCCGCCAGAGCACGATTTCCGTTCTCATCCTGAAGCAAAGTTCTTAACCTGAAGCACTATTTCTGGGTTAGCGGAGTCTGTAACCTGAAGCATATGTAACCCGAGGTACCACTGTAATTCTGTTTTTAAAAGTGTGTGTACCTTTGACAATTAAGAATTAGGTGATTAAATATTTCTGGTAAGGATCAAGGAAACACCTAATATTTACTTGAACTTGACTATTTCCAATAAATTACTTATAATGAAGTCAATGTGGACATTTTCAGCATTCCATTTTGTTTGGTTACACAGTTTATGTAGAAGAAATATTGAATGACTCATTGCATCAGCCAAGCTCCCCCACCACCACCCATATTTCATAACTATCTAATTACCACAAAGAGAAACTCTACTGCTGATTTTCCATTATATTTGCCAGACTGGTGAAAATGTATAAATAATGTGGTATCCTTCTTAAACATTGTACTTAATCTTACAGATCTAAACTCTGTCTAAATGAGCTGCTAAACAATAAATTTTAAAAAACAATATGCCAGGTGAATATGCATCCTTCAGAAATATGATTGTATTTCTACATACTTGAGGAAGGTGCCAAATTTATATTTGCATTTTTATTTCTTTATTTCTTTAAAAATTGTTTCAAATATTTATATCCTGCTATTTATTGCTGCCAGTCCCAGGGTGGGTCACGCCATATAATAAATCACAACAATACAAACTAGAGGATATAACAGGACACATTTGGAATACTGTGTTCAGTTCTGGGCGCCACAATTTAAGAAGGATGAAGATGTGAATCAAAATGTTATGCTTTTTATGATTTAAATCATTAGTCTTCAAGTCATGGATCCACAATTGGGCTGCAGCCTGATCTAAGGTGGATTGCAACAGCAACACTACCACCCTACAATACATAGTGAAAAATAATTAAGAAATGTGTCTTCAAATGCATGTTTGGGTTACAGGTACCAAGTCTGAAAAGACTGAAGACTGCTGGTTCAGATGATTAAAGGGGACAAAGCTGTAGCATTTTGTCAGTACAGTAGTACCTCGGGTTACAGACACTTCAGGTTACATACGCGTCAGGTTACAGACTCCGCTAACCCAGAAATATTACCTCAGGTTAAGAACATTGCTTCAGGATGAGAACAGAAATCGTGCAGTGGTGGTGGGGCGGCAGCAGCAGGAGGCCTCATTAGCTAAAGTGGTACCTCAGGTTAAGAACAGTTTCAGGTTAAGAACGGACATCCAGAACGAATAAAGTTCTTAACCCGAGGTACCACTGTAAATTGATTTTGAGACTGGGTTTTGGATTATTTTGGTCTTATTCCAGAAACATGCTTTCAATGTGAGGGGAAAGAAAAACTTTTTTTTTTTACAAATCTAATGAAAGCTTTAGCATGTTGCTGCTTTGCTGCTTCCACTACAGCAGTATCCTTAGGGCAATACTTGGCTTACACTGTTCTTAACATCAGTGCAAATACAAGCCATGCCTCGAGGACTGAGCATCCCAAGGAGCACTTACAGTTGAAGATCCTCTCACGAGCTCCGCATGAGTAGCTCTTCATGCTCGCATGGAGTTCAGAATAAATCCAGGAACCGTAACGCAGAATGGAGGACTAACTTTATTGACAAGGGGCAATATCAGACGCTTTTGAAACGGGCTGTCAGGTTTAGCGCTTCTCCTGCACAAGAAACAGAATGCTGGCAGTTTAAGTAGCTGAGGTTTATTTCTCAATAACAGGCTTCCAACAGTCCAAGCTTCCACAACTCATCCTTCGCCATCTGAGTCAGTTGATTCAACTGGCTTCTGACCCCTCCCAAGGCCAGATATACGCCATGTCCTTCCCCGCCTCCTGCTGGCCCACCTCTGCTCTAATCACTCGCTCCGCCTCCTACTTCTTGGTGACTCAGGTGCAGCCAATTCCTCCTCCTCTGGAGATTCCTCTCTGCTGGGCGTGTCCCTGACACGTGCTGTGCTTGCCACTAGGTAAAGGTAAAGGAACCCCTAACCCTTAGGTCTAGTTGTGGCCGACTCTGGGGTTGCGGCGCTCATCTCGCTTTATTGGCCGAGGGAGCCGGCGTACAGCTTCCGGGTCATGTGGCCAGCATGACTAAGCCGCTTCTGGCGAACCAGAGCAGTGCATAGAAACGCCGTTTACCTTCCCGCTGGAGCGGTACCTATTTATCTACTTGCACTTTGAGGTGCTTTTGAACTGCTAGGTTGGCAGGAGCAGGGACCAAGCAGTGGGAGCTCACCCCGTCGCAGGGATTCGAACCACGACCTTCTGATCAGCAAGCCCTAGGCTCTGTGGTTTAACCCACAGCACCACCCATGTCCTGTGCTTGCCACTAGTGAAGTCAAAAGTGGAAAAGAGAGGCAGAGCTATGTGATGACACTGATGCCCAAACCTCCTGATTTCTTTTTCCACCAGTGGCTTCATATATAATCCAGATGTTAAGAGCCTGAGGGACAAGATGGCACCTCACAAGCCAAAGGCCATGAAGTGGAACAGAGGTCACCCCCATGCTGCCTTCTGGAGTCAGCCATCCAGCTGGCAGAGAAGGAGACTGTAAAGGTAAAGGACCCCTGGACAGTTAAGTCCAGTCAAAGGCGACTATGGGGTTGCAGCGCTCATCTCGCTTCAGGCCAAGGGAGCCAACGTTTGTCCACAGACAGCTTTCCAGGTCATGTGGCCAGCAGGACTAAACTGCTTCTGGTGCAATGGAACACCGTGACGGAAACCAGAGAGCACGGAAACGCCATTTACCTTCCCGCCACAGCGGTACCTATTTATCTACTTGCACTGGCGTGCTTTCAAACTGCTAGGTTGGCAGGAGCTGGGACAGAGCAACGGTAGCTCACCACCACTGAGTGGATTCGTACCGCCAACCTTCTGATTGCCAAGCCCAAGAGGCTCAGTGGTTTAGACCACAGCGCCACCCGCATACCTAGGAGGAGACTGTACCATGTTCTTGAGACTGCACTTACCAAGAAAAGAAAATGACCTCATCCGAAGCAGGAATTATGCTTTGTTATAATGTTATGAAAGTCAGGTTTTACCACAGAGATCCCAACATATGAAGGAGAGGCTATGTTGTAATTTTGCTCAAACGCTGAAACCAAATTGCACCCACTGCATGGTTTACCAACTGGAACCGACAGAATGGCCGCGCTGGGAGTTCCTTCACAGCATTATACTGCCTTATTCAGCCCTGTCATCAGGCAGAGGGAAGCAAGTGTCTCAAATAAGACAATGTCAGCTTGTGACCAACCATTAAGCCCACTGTGTTTCTGTTGGAATGCACTTGAATTTGTTTTAGAGGGGAAGTTCAGGCATCCTTCCCTGAGAACGAGGCTCACTGAAGACACTTGAACCTACTTGATGGGAATTCCTTTGTAACCTGTTTTTAGATATTCCTAGCTAAAGAGACCATGCTTGAGCTGAATTTCAGCTTTCACGCAGAAAGATGACTCACTCGGTCAGCAAGCAGGCTCCAGCATCTTTATATAGGCCGCTATATTATAAACAAGCCCATTTTTAAGAGTTACTGAGCTGCGCAGCTCAATAAGTAAACTGCAAACTGATGCGGATTACAATGCATTCTCATGAGAGTCACAGCACTGGAAAATGCAGCTGGGACTTTGGGAGACTGGAGAAGGGAGGGAGTTGAAAAGGAAATGGCTTGGGTGGTGGCTGTGTGTGAATATGGACACTGTAAGTAGCCAGACTGGAATCCTCCTTTGCACAGAGGGTGTCCTTTTAAACAAAAGCACTCCGGTGAGGTAATAAATGTTTCATCAGGGAAGGTTATACAATGTGGGGTGTAGCCTCACCAGGTGCTCTGTGTTCTAGGCACTACTGTGTTGCATTTTAAACACATTATTATTATTATTATTATTATTATTATTATTATTATTATATTTTAGTATTGTATTTCCTCGGCTGTGCAAGCTCTGTAAGATTCTGCTCTCCCATCACAAGAGATTAAGCGCCAGTGTGTTAAACTTGTGCTGATTTTGCAAAATCATGCATTTATACAACATGACATCATTAGCAAATTATTCTGCACAAGACACTAAATTGAAGAGACTTCTTTTTTGCAGCAGCCTGGCAGTTCCGAATACAAGCAAAATGATTCCAGGCTGTTGCAGTTCTTTAGACTCAATCAACGCTGTCCTGAAAATTACCATTATTTTTTTTAATCTTTCAGCAGGCGCTAAATTGTGAAGTTCTGCAATTTTGCATGTCACCATTTTTTCATTTGGGTGAATTTGTTCCCTTGTAGGTTCATGTGTGTTCCTGATATGAAGCACTTACTAAAGACTCTCAACAGCAGTAAGAACATGGCTTTGGTAGACAGCTTTAGCTATACCTAAAGGTCCTTCTCAATAATTAAATTTCTGGAAGGATCGTTTTTTAAAGTGAGGGAACTCTGATCGGCCAGTGCTTCCGCCCATGGCCTGAAGCAGCTTGCAAGAAAGTTCTGTTGTCCCTGAAATCATTTTCTCCACATATTTTATTTGCCTCTACGTTGGTAATTGGTGTGTGTGTGTATATATATAATTGCCTTCCGGATTCCAACTGCGCAGAAAGCCTCCATCCCTTGCCAGGCTAGCTTAATAATATCAGTGTGTGTTCTTAATTCTGCCAGCCAGCACATAGGTCCATTGATTTCACTGTGAATAAACAGAACAGTTCAATTTTTAACTGTACACACTGAACTTCATCACAGCTATTTACAAAAAAAAAAAAATTAAAAAATTACTTTAAATGTACTGTATTGGCTATTTCAGTCCCATTAGCCCTTTGGCTGGTCAAGTCTAAACTTCTGTTTCAAAGAACTACTGGTGCCAGTGCTTACTTCAAAGATGTGCTCAGAAAGTAGAGCAAATGTCTGATTCCAGTGATAAGAAAGTGTCATATCCATTAGTCTATTCATATCACGTACATTCAGCTAAATAGACTGAGCTTTCAAAAACAGCACAGAGGCCAGGAACCTTAGCTTCAGAGTCTCTGAAGTGGAAAATCGTACACTTTACACACCTTGATGGAGAAACAAACAGTCACCCTGATCTAGCAAGAAAGATCTGCACATGTAAGTTGTCTTTACCACGTTGCCTATGTGAATGTGCATTTAGATGAGAATATATATAATATATCCATTGAATCTTTTAATGTCTGTGAGGCAGGGCATTCAGTTGTTCTATGACAAGCTGCCCACAGCTGCAGTTGGATTGTGACCTTAATCTCCATTCACTTGTTCATTTCTGGTCATATACATAGCTCAGTCTCTGGATTTCTGGTGAGATGCGCAGTGCCTATTTAATAATGCATATATATGTTTTATGCTTATATTGAATTGCTAAAATCCAGGTTAGAAGAAATGTAAATTAAAAAAAATCTTAAAAAGCAGAGACATCACCTTGCTGACAAAGGTCCGTATAGTTAAAGCTATGGTTTTCCCAGTAGTGATGTATGGAAGTGAGAGCTGGACCATAAAGAAGGCTGATCGCCAAATAATTGATGCTTTTGAATTATGGTTTTGGAGGAGACTCTTGAGAGTCCTGTGGACTGCAAGAAGATCAAACCTATCTATTCTGAAGGAAATCAGCCCTGAGTGTTCACTGGAAGGACAGATCGTGAAGCTGAGGCTCCAATACTTTGGCCACCTCATGAGAAGAGAAGACTCCCTGGAAAAGACCTGATGTTGGGAAAGATTGAGGGCACAAGGAGAAGGGGACGACCGAGGACGAGATGGTTGGACAGTGTTCTCGAAGCTACCAGCATGAGTTTGACCAAACTGTGGGAGGCAGTGGAAGACAGGAGTGCCTGGCGTGCTCTGGTCCATGGGATCACGAAGAGTCGGACACGACTAAACGACTAAACAACAACAAATCAAATATGTCCTAAAACTTCAAATCTGGTACAGAATTGATCCTACAAAAGGCTTGGGGGGGGGCAGGCATTAGCTTTGTGTTTGTTCCATGTCATTGATTTCTTTCGGATCATGACCCCACCTAGGCTTCACGGTTCAATTGTGCAGATCTTGCCCTAGGTACAATAATTAATTATTACACATCTGCACTCAGCAGAAAACTATTTAATTGAATACCAGTTGCTGGCAACCACTAGAGGTGGGGTGTAGAAGGGAACAGTGCTGTTGTGCTCAAATCCTGTTTATGGGTTTCCCATAGGGATCTGCTTGATCAGAACAATATGCTGGACTAGATGGGCCATTGGTCTGATCCAGCAGGCTCTTCTTTGTATGTTAATTCTGCCCATTCCTTTTAAGCTTATTTAAAAAAAATAAAGTTAAAGGAAAAGAGCTTGAAACTACAAAACACATGCTTAACTGCACTTCAAGCTATAAAGGCACGAATACTACAAAATCAACATTTTCAGGTTCTGGATAACGAGAAGAGAGAAATATTTTTTAAAAGAAAAACAAAGTGAGGCCAAAGTGTCAATCGGGGCAGAGTTAGCAGTGGGCATGTCATGGTACTATAGAGAGCACAAGTGAAAATGGATTTGAATCAGATGAGCGCAAGATCCCACCAGCGTGTGTATGACCCACTTCTGACAAAGTGCCGCTGGTGATGAGTTAGGCACAGCAAGTTCTATAGTAAAGAGGGACAATTATTTTCTCTACTGAGCCAACCACTCCCAGCCTCCGTCGAAATAAATGGGAGAGTCTTGAAGGCGCCGCAGGTTTCTTTGTTGTCTTCACTGTTTTGAACCTGATGACTCAATTGCAACAGAAATGCTTAAACATTCCTACCCAGTGCTTTGGCCGAGCTCTTCGACAGTTCCCAAACAATTGGTGGTTGGGACTTGGGACTAATGTAATAATTTGGGGTGTGATGTTTCTCCATGTCTGGTTTATAACTGGGTGTTTTTTATTTTATTTTCTAAACAGGGCCAAAAGGGCCACAAGTCCCACTGCTGGGGGAAAGTACATTTCAGTGCCTCTATTCCCCACCCCCACCCCCCGATAAGAACATATTGTTGTGCACCATTGCAATATCCAGGCAGCGAGAGACTCCAGGGTACTTGCGCTTACTCAGGGTTTGATTTCCTTGAATCAAGGTCAATGGAGACTAAGTGGACTGGTGGTTTAAAAAATTAAAAATTGCTACTGTATATACAACACAGAAGTAACAGGGGCCCTGCTCAGATAGGTGGGAACTTTCTGCATTCTCAGTTGGGCAGTCAGGCACACACAGGAGGTATCCTAGGCTGAGGAAGTATTGTTTATTGTCAAGCTGCCCAGAAGGGCTGCTATGCAGTTCCAGCCTGTGGGATAACCAGCCTCATATAACCAACATGCTTCAGTCTAATTAATGCATGAAGGGGTTAAAACCATAGAGTAAGCTGTCCTGTTAGGCCTAGTTCACCCTGGGAGGGACTAGGCTACCGAGCCTTTGTTTCCCCAATCTACTTGAGAAGCTCAACATGTGAGGAGGTCTGAGCTGGTTGCTCCAGCTTAACCACTTGGCTCTTACAAGGTTCTCCTGAATTTAGGTTAAGGAATTTTCACCACTGTAACTAAACCAAGTTTTACTGCCTCTGCAACTTTTTCTGAATGCTTTCTTTAAAAACACATGAATCTGACTTTTGGAGCATTTGTAAGTAAAGCATTTTAAACTTATTAAAGATGTGGCCTTTTTCTATGCTAGGGGAAGAAGGAAGTTTTTGGAATTCACAAGGGCATATTTTAAAGGTCTAACAGCCTATAGTTCCACGCTTCACTTTGCTGTATATTTTGTGATTTTAATACTAGCCCCAGACTTGGATCTTGGCATCCATGAATTCTCCTTCAATATCTGGTGTTTTTTTTCTTGCCACCAACACATCCTTGGACATGTTTGCACCCAAAGGGGAAAATAAAATGATGCCACATTCTGTCAGTATTCTGGAATGCACAACTAGAGATCAGTGGCAGGAAAATGGTGCTCACTTTAGAATTAGCATAAAGCCAGCACCACAGAGATGTAGAGTACTAAGTCAGTGCCAGCCCCTATCAGTCATGCAGCATGGGCAGAAGAAATCTAATCAGTCTAGACTGCAGAGTTTGGAAAGGCCGAAAGAATGATTTGCCCAGCCCCCAAAGATCAGTTCATTGGTATCTGTCTGGCGTAATCAACACAAAACCATCGTCAGTGGATCTCCTTAGACAAATAATGCAAATAAATGTATTTTGTTTTCTTAACAGCTTAAGTACCGGCATGATGTTACTGTATTATGCAAACCATATGTTATATACTACAAAGTACGGTAATTTAAAGGATGGTGTAGCATCTCTGAAGACGAACAGGTCTTTGTTTAAATACATTATCACCATGGCTAGGATTCACAACGAAGGGATTACACAGTTTGTCCTATTCTACTGAAAGAGAGAAAGAGAGAGAGAGAGATTTGCCAGTACTACACCACTACAACTACAACAAAACGCCTCTTTTCTATTTCAGACAATAAGTGTATGTGTGTGCCTCTCACGAAGATTGCATCATCGGGTCATATACTATCAAAGCCTCTTTCTTTAGATAATTGAGGCAATGGATGTATACTAATGCAACACAGCAAACCCACTACAAAACAAGAGATGTTGAGAGTTTCTTCCCGTTGCAATTGTCTAGTACAAATTGTTTTGACATTTACATTAAAAAACAAACAAACAATCACACTCTTTGGGGTCAAAACGACCACACTAATCCATTTGGAAGCAGAACACACTGTCAGATTGTAAAAATGTCAGGCAAGCACCCATTAGGCCTGGATAACTAATGTGCCCACCAGGAGGATAACGTCATGGGTGACAATTAATGCCAGGAGCCAGCGGCATTGGTCGTGCCAACAGCACTAAAGACTGTGCATTCTTAATAAGACCTTTAAATCTGGATCCAATTTTGATGCTCAGCACTGCTGCTGTTGTTTTTAATTATGTCCCGTTTCATGTTTTAATATGGTTTTACTATATGTATTTTATATATGCCGTGCATCCTGATCCCAGGTGTGTTTATTCTGAAGTAAATCCCTCTGAGTTCAATGGGGTTTACTCCCAAACAAGTGTATGCCGGAGTGCATTTTAAAAATATTGCTAACCTGAATCTTTGAAATAATATAATATAAACAAAGCTGTGGGTAGGTGTGCATTTTTATTACTGTAATTCTGCAACTTCATGACTTGATTGCACATCCTTTCTGGAAGGCAATTTGTTTTGAGATCAGTGTACCTTGAGCACTAGCTGCGGTTTCTTAAGACTTGCACTGCGCTTTAGGAGGTATTCCTAACAGATCGCACGAGTTCCCTTGTCAATGCTCAGGACAATGAAAGATGTTCAGGCCAACTACCTTAACAGTATAATATACAATTTGTGAAGGACCGCCGCGCCCAACAATATAGGCCCTTGAAGAAATCCTCAGAGAAACCTCAGAAGAAACAAAGCCCCACATCCTAATTTCAAAATAAATTCATTTGTATATATTGTTAGAGGTTAAAATATAAAGCAAAGAGACACATCTGGTGCATTGTAGAGAATACGTTTGAGAGTTTTGTTCTGCTCTACAGATTCATACTTTTTGAACAATCCATACCTTTTGCACAGCAGCAAAGGGGTTACGGACGAGGGAACCCTCGGATATAAGATTACCAGGTTAATGCGCTAGATTGATGAGATAAAAAGGACTGACAAAACCCGGGACCAGGAGGAAGAGACGCTGGATGAAGATTGGATTGTTTTTTTATTTCTTTTTTATTATTAGGATTGTTTTATAAAACTGATGAATGTTAGAAAAATGTTGGAACGAAATTATTTGGCTTTAGCAAAAATGTTTAAAGAATTATGTAAGAATATTATGGTTATGAGAAGTTGGTAAAAATAAGATTTAAGTTTTAGGTTTTAAGGTTTTTATAGTAAGATAAGATTAAAATAGATTAAGGTAATGTAATGACAGAATATTATGAAATATGGAAAGGATTTGCTGCGACAATTAACAACTAGGATACAAAAAAGGGAGGAGGAGGAGGTCAAAGAAAGAAGGTAATGACAGTTAAGGATTTGAGAATAATGGATTTGTTTTTAAATGTTTGTGGTATATTTTTGTCTTTTGATTAATTTGTATTGTTTGATGTGGTTTGGTTTTTCTTTTTCTTTTTCTACCTTGTTTTCTTTTGTAATTCTAAAAAATTTTCAATAAATATCATTTAAAAAAAATAATAATTTTTTTTAATTAAAAAAGGTATTTCAACTTAAATAGTCTGAAACCAAGGCTATACTAGATTTATACTACGGTTAAGCTGGGGGGAAATATATTGATAGGCTTCTTTCAGACCAAGTGTCCCTGTTTTCCAGGGACAGCCCCAGGTTTTGAGAAGCTGTCCCAGTTTCTGATTTGATCCCAGAATGTCCCACTTTTCCTTAGGACATTATTTTCACCAGAGAAATGTTGGCGCCAAGATCAGTAACTATACAACCCATAGAAGACATCTGAAAGCAGCACTATATAGGGAAGTTTTTTTTTTAATGTATATTATTTTGTCTTTTCTATATGTTGGAGGACGCCCAGAGTGGCAGGGGCAACACAGTCATATAAATATTATTATTATCATTACTATTATTGAATAGGAGTCCCGTTTTTTGTTGGAGAAATGTTGGAGGGTATTGTTCTTTCTGGGAAGTATTGAAATGGCAGGAGATTGGTATGAATGGTGAAGCTGCCACAGATCTTACATAAACATGCTCGCTCCTTGAATTTGACTTGAGAATTTAAGCCCAGCCTGTTTGTGTGATCTGAATCGTGGCCGGGTTTGAGCGACCGCCATAAGATTGCAAATTCCTTCCCACTAGGAACCGCCGTTTGCGTTAGCCGGCGGCCGAAGCCGAAAGGCCCGCGAGGCAGACGCCTGTACGAGAATACCTCGCCCGCCGTAGGCGAGGCGGCTCTTGCGCAGCAGCTCCGACGGCCATCTTTGCTCCGGGCAAGTGGTTCCCTCAGCCTGAAGCCCTTGAAGTCCCTTCCTTGTTCAGGATTGAAACAGAAGACCAACAACTGAAACATGAGGCATGTTGCCTGAGGAGCGGGGGGGGGGAGAGAGAGGACTTTACAAGCATTTACAAGGGTGTCTTTGGGGGGGGGGGAGAGAGAAAAGGGGGAATGCCCGTGACAAAAATGGCGGAAACGGAACCCCATCGACACCGAAGCGATTGGGTGAGGAAGGGCGGGAGGACGGCGGCGGCGGCGGGCAGCCTGAAAAACGGAGGGAGTGGAGGGGAAAGAATTCTCGCGACATCTCACGCGAGGCCGGAAGAGGCTGCGGACGGGGAGCTTGAGCGCAGTCCGCCCGCTAGTTCAGGCCTCCCCTCAGCCCTACGTGTGCGTAGGCGTCGTCGGGCTGCTTGGCGGCTACGCACCGGAGACGGCGTAGGGGCTTTGGAGAATCGGTAGGGCGGCGGCATAGTAGTAGTAGCAGCAGCAGCAGCCGCAGCAGACGACGGACTGAGGGGGCGGGCAGCTCGCTCCGTGCCGCCGCGGCTGAGGGGGACGAACGCCAGCGAGAGCAGCAGCAGCAGCAGCGCCGCCGCCGCCGCCTCGGAGAGCAGCCATGGGTGAGTCTCTAGCCCGGGCTCCTGAGGGAAGGAGGGATGGCGGCGCCGGGTGGCGCTGAGGGCGGGCGCCTGTGACAGTTGGAGGGGCGATGGCGGCGGCGGCGGCGGGGTCTCCCGGCCCTCCCTCAGGCGCGCCCGCCTTTCTTCCGCAGCGGGGAGGAGGAGAAGCCGCGACATGGTGGCCGTGCCTCAAGCTTCCTGCTCGCCCTCTTGGCGGAGACGGGGAAGGTGACGCCTCGCCTCAGCGCGTCCACACCGCCCGCCTCCCGCTCCCCCTCCCAAATCCGGTTCCTGGGGGTTTCATTTTGGTTTAATTTTATTTTTGAAGAGGGGGTCCCAAGCCCCGTGCAGCAAGGTGGGGGCGATGCCCCCTAGCCGCCAACTCCCCTATTTTAAAAATTTCTATTTCAAATCTCTCTCTTTCCTCCCATCTTCGCCTGGAAGCCCCCCCCCCCCTCTTTTTTCCATTTATTTTTTACAACGCTTTCCACTCTAGCCTTATGCAGCTCTCTCTATCTTTCTCACCCTTGCAAGAAATGCTGGCTGCAACCTCATTTCTCGCTCTCGCTCTCGCTCTCACACACACACCATTTCCTGCGTCTTATTTTACAGCGGACTCCTTTTCTGCTGCTCCCCACCCCGCGCTTTTCCTCTTATTCGGTTTTTTTTTAATGCAGTAAAACGAAAAACGCTTGGGAAAAAAGAACTGCTTTCTCGTTCCTTGCATCATTATCTCCCCCCCCCCCCCACGGCCTCCCCAGTTTAGTCCCCAAATTTAGGATGGATGGAATTTGATGGGAGGAATCGAGGAGCGCTGGAAATATGCATGAAGCGAGCTGGGAGGGACCGGGGGAAAAAAGAAATCTCAGAACAGGAAAGAAGGCAGGGCAGGAATGAAGGTGTATTAGTCAGAAGTGAATGGGGCTGGACACAGTAATAGCGTGATGCTCCCGGTTTCTGTTAAATAAAAGCAGCTGCAGTGTTGAAAGATGCTTCTTTGGGAGGGAAGTAAGTGGTTTTTTTTGAAGACGGAAAGCATGATTTTGCTCCTGTTCTCTGGTCCCACCCTGAAAAAGCAGCTGCACATGAAGAAGCAGTGTGCATATATCATTATGTCCATGGGTATATGTGGCCATGTTCAAATATTTGAATCTGCTGAAAGTGTGATAAACTTAAGACCTCAGTACTGACACTCTTACTTGGGTGTAAGTTCCTTTGAATTCTACTGCTATATAACTTCTGTATAGAAGTGATTAGGATTGCACCGGCGAAAATGTTTGCTTCATTTTGCCATCCTAAAGATGGTTGTTTTTTATACTCTTCTTTTCAAAGATATGTGTAAAAATTTACACATGTTAATTTTAAAGAAAAAGACAGCTATTTATTGTAGGACTGAAAAATACTGTTTCCATATTCAAACAGTTATTTCATGATATAGCGACTAAGCGCTTATTTTTCCTAAACCTAAAGGTATAATATTTTTACAGGTCTACGTCTTTGCTGAGATTTCATCTTTGAGATATTTATGGGGTATTTATAAATAGTTATATCTTAGACCTGTACTTTCAGCAGAAAAACACAATTATACCGTCACCCAAATTGCTGCCATTGAGGCTATTTGTACAGGTGATGCTTGAGAGATTGTGGCTATCATATCAGCAGGTATGTTACTTCTAAGCACCTAAACAGAAGTGGAATGTGAAACTATGCTTGTTTGGAAGTATTAGAGTTAAAAGGTGTTTACTCCAAAGTGGATAAGGATTGTCCTCTCAAGTAACTAAATTTTGTACAGGGTTGTAGCATGTGCCTTTATGCCAGAATTTTCCATGTAGGCCATGGGAATATAATTGGGGGCTGGGTGGGAGTGGAATGCTTTGAAGGCTATGCAGTTATGACGTGGTAAATTGCTTCAGGTTTTCTTGTTATCTAACTGCATTTTGAGCTATTAAAAGTTAAGCTACGGAAAAGGATTCTCCATGATTGGCTTCAGAAAATCATAATTTCAAGAGTAACTTTCTGTTACCTGACTTTTAGGGTTGTTCCTAGCTGTAGAAATCACATTTCTTAGTTTGTCCTCTGTAATAAATTTAGAGATGAGATGTTTTCAATGCCTGTTCTTTAGCTTGAAGCTTTGCCTTCAGTGTTGCAAAAGCTGAAAACGATTCTTAACTTTGTAGACTCAAGAGCAGTTACAAAGCAGCTCATCTTAACTCCATGGTTTCTAACAAAGCAAGTTTCCCTGCTGAACTCAGTTAAAAATTAAAACACAAGCGTTGCTTATTATCAGTCAGCTCTGAAAAATAACTGTAGATATGCTTCATCATTTCAGCAAGTTAGCAGGAAATAAACAGGCAGGAAAGCCCTGGGGAATGCTTTGGTATTCTGAAGAATTGGTCATTAATGGCATAGCATCACATCTGCTTTCACATGGCAGCTTTTAAAATCTGGCATACAACTTCATTTGTTCTCAGTTTTCAGTTTGTGTGCTTACACTTTTTCAAGTTGGAAAAACATGCACAGATATTCCTTGGTGTTAAATATACATTGGACAGAGTGACCACAAAAGGCCTTATTGTAAAATGTTGCTATCTACAGTGGTGTTGACCTAATACTTAGCTTTCAAATGAGAACATTGCTCAGTTGTCCTGCTGATCCTGTCCTACTCAATCCATGCCAAGTCTGGTTAAACCAGACTTTGGTAATTTATTACTGTGTCTTGGATTTACACTCGGCTTGGTGGGGTGCTTCAAGGTTGTTCAGTTGGGTTACATTTTCAAATATGAGCTAAGCTTGCAACTCACTTTGTTGTGGTTGCTGTACATATGATTGTCAGACCCTAAATTAATCCAGCTAAATTGTGTGATTACTGGTAGCGTCGTAAATGTGCATACCCATTATGGTGTAAAGACTGTCATGCAGTGGAATATGGGATGTCCTTGAAAAGAAATTGAAATCTTTGGTGGTTTTGGTGCACACCATGAGTTTAGGCACCAGGTGCTTTATTCCTGAGAACTTTGCTCAAGGAGAAGCAGTGCCTATTGAGCAGTTCCAAGTGGCTGAGGCAGCCATATACAAAAGTCCTGCCCTACCTGCAGAACTTCAGTGGCTGGCTGACTATTTCTGGTTGTGGTTTCAGCTGAGCACTAAGAGAAGATCAGAGACACGTGATGGTGTGACTGTATTGGCATATTTCCAAATTTTACATATGGTTCATGCCTTGTCTGATCATGGGAATCCAGGCTTTCATGTCATAGGGAGAGGGAAAAGAAGTGCGGTGTAGTTCAGCTACTACTCTGTTCTGCTTGGACACAGAGTACCGTAACTTAAGGGAGGGGGCTTATGGATGAAGCCTGTAAGGCCCCACTCCTGATTTTCTGCAACATACTCAGTGGGCTAGAAAGCTCTGATTCCTTTATCCAAAGCTGCTTGTTTCATCAAGTATTATACGGTACAGTACAGCTGAAAGTACTGCATGACTTTCAGGGTTGGAAAGATTGTAACCTTGTTGGATTTTAACTAGTATTGTTGGATTTTAACTAACCAGGAGATGCAACTTGAAACATACTTTCCAACCAGAGAAAGACTACTGTAGTAGCTGAGGAGGTACAGCCACTTGCTTGTGAGTTTACATTAATGCCCTGGCAGCACATTAAATCTCTGCTAACAGTAAACTTGTGTGTGTGTGTGTGTGTGTGTGTGTGTGTGTAAATAAAATAAAATAAAAAACCCAACCCAGTACCCATAGCTAATGTAGGCGATATAGTAAAGCCGTAGTAGCATAATGAAATCCAGTTTGAACATCTGGGGTAGCCAGTGTGGTTCCTTCCAGGTGATGTTGAGCTGAAACACCCATCACCTTTTGGCAGTGTGACCAGTGATAATGGATGGTGGGAGCTGTAGTTGCAGCAAGATCTGGAGGGCTTCAGGTTAGGTACGCTGGTATAAGTCATTATGAAGTAGATCTTAGATTATTCCCAGGAAGTCAACAATTTATGACTAGTATTAGGTTACTAGAGGATCAGACCAAGTTCTAAGTTCTTTAAGATGTATGTGCCTTTCAGAACATGTTTGCCAAGAATCACAGAAGATGAAAGCCACGTTGAAGTTGAATGGATGTGTTTAGTAGAGCTCTAAAATGTACTTTTAAGACCACATCCTCTTCTTCAGTTTACCCACAAAGCCAAATAACCCTAGCTTGTTTGAAAATGTTGTGCATTATGCTTGTGATATCTGTTCTTGAAAAAATTGTGTAAAGGTGCTGCATTCTAATGTAACCTTGAGGATAGCTTCTAAGTCACTGTGAATAACACTTGGACATGAGCAAAAAGTTAGTAACTTTCAGCCCCATTGGAGTTTAAATTGTTTTCTCCATGGCTCTGATCCAGTTTTAACTCCTGTCTTGCTAGCACCATGGCTTAAACCAGGGGTCAGCAACCTTTTTCAGTTGTGGGCCGGTCCACCATCCCTCAGACCATGTGGTGGGCCGGACTATATTTTGGGGAAAAAATAATGAACAAATTCCTGTGCCCCACAAAAAACCCAGAGAAGCATTTTAAATAAAAGGACACATTCTACTCATGTAAAATTAGCTGATTGCTGGACTGTCCGTGGGATGGATTGAGAAGGTGATTGGGCCGCACCCGGGCCTTAGGTTGCCTACCCCTGGCTTAAGCTGTTCACTTTCATACATGCAGGAAGCCTTTATAACTTCATGCTCGCTTGTTCTAATTAAAACAGTATTTTCTACTTGTTATTTGAATTTGATTATATATTATTTCTGACCAGAAAATTTAATTGCCTAAAGTTGTCATGACATTAGATAATTGACATGTGGGTGGCCCTGTTGACATGTCAAAGTTGGCCTGCAGGTTGAGGGAATATAAAGGACTGCCTACACCAGCTAAAAAAAGATTCCTACTTTTGACTGATCCATATTGTACAAACTTGTTTGTCCTAAATATCTACTTGGATTTTCCTCAGTATTTTAGAGGAAGTGCTTGTTTTATCTAAGACTTCTGCTACAAAGTTTCCTGACAGTTTAATTCCCTGTAGTTTAGTCCTTGCAAAAGTCCTTGTTGATATGAACAGAGTTGGACTCTCATCAGCTCCAGCCAGCATCATGGTTAGTGATCAGGAACAATGGAAGCTGTAGTCCAGGCATGTCCAACCAGTAGATTGGTAGATCCCTAGCTAATCCTGGTAGGTCGCGGGACCCTTCTTGATTGTGGGATTAAATAAAGTTTACTGGAAGTTAACAAATAAAAGCTGAAGAACTCTGGGCAATCCTACCCCGAAAAAGCTCAATGACTGGGCTCAAGAACTCTGGGCAATTCTCCGCAAAAAAGCTCAACAACTCTGGGCAGTCCACGCACTCCACAAATGCTCCTCCTCCCTCCAGTGACAATGGGTATATCACTGCCAGTTTTTTTATACTGGGAGTAGATCACAGTCTCTTGGGAGTTGGATGTGCCTGCGTATAGTCCAACAACATCTGGGGCCATGAGGTTTGTGGTCCCTGATCTAAAATCTGAATTATACTACGAGTCAAGGAGTTGTCTTGAAGTACACTCAGGAGAGGTCAGAATTCTAGCATATGTGTTTAAAAGTTCATTGCATGACAGGATGGTGCCTGCTGCCTTGAAAGCGGTGGTGGTGCGACCACTCCTAAATAAACCTGGACCCTTTGGACTGGAATACCTGCTACATACCTATCACCCACTTCTTGAGGAAGGTGGTTCCAAGGCAGCTGCAAGCATTCTTGGATAATCAGATTATTTAGATCCATTCCAGTCTAGGTTCAGGCCTAGCCATGGGGCTGAATCTTATTTGGTTGCTCTGATGGATGACATTTTCTGGTCAAGCATGCATCTTTAGCTTCAGCAAGTTTATTGAAAAGTCCTTCTGGATTCAGTGGGATTTGTTCCCTGGCAAGTATAGTTAGGATTGTAGTCATAGAAGTCTAACATAACAAGAGTGCTGTTTTTTTCTAATTCAATATAGTTTTTGTGTTTTTCCTGTGCTTGTTGAATTGCATTTCTGATAGCTGTTGCACTGGTAAGTAATTTGCAGACAGAAGATCTGATCAGTGAATCAGAGCAGTAGGTAACCAAGTAATACTGAATTGCATGCCACTGCGTATCCCCCTGTCACCTTTGTTTAACTGACTGGCATTTCTGGCTAAACTCTATGGCCCTCTGTTGAATTGAACATTTAAAAACTTGGATTAGACCCTTTCCTGTAGCATTTTTATTGACTGATATCTGCTGTATATGTTGAAAAGTTGTTTGTTTGATGTGCATTTGGGCACCTCTTAAGATACAAGCAGATTTTGCCTGATGGTCGCTAAGATCAAGGAAAAGGTTTTTGTCTGCTTAGATACAGTTGGGCACCATTTTGAATCAATTTGGTGAACTGAATCTTTCAAAACTGCACTGATTTCAACCACTGATTTTAAAACTGCATGTTGTTGTTGTTTCTTAAAACTCCTGAAGCACCAGGTACAAAGCAGATAATTATTTCATAATACTTAAACAAGACATAAGTAAGTTGTTGACCTGTAGTATACAGTACTTCCTATTTTTATTCATTTTTAAAATTCTAGTTTTGATGGCAAAAACCCCCACTATTTTTGGTAGTCTCCAGTATCTCAAAGTCTCAAGTAGATTACAGCATGAAGATCACATGGTAGTTAAAGCAGACTGAATAGTGAAATTGCTTTAATTAATTTTAACTCGCTGGAACTTAAAATTGACAAAGATTTTATGCACTGTAGTTAGCTGGAATGATTTATGATTTATAGAGATATTTGCATACAGAAGTCACAATAAACTTTATCTCGCAGTGATGGCTGGAGGCAAAAGTTTCCCACCCCCTGTAGATCACTTTGACAAGTGAGCAGGGCTGTTCACCTGTCACATGACATCAGGTGATTTGACCTCAAAAGAAGAATTGGAAGCACACACTAAGTATTGTCCTCATTGTTCCTTTTCAGTTTTGCTTGACTGCAGTGATTTTCAACCAGCGTGCTGTGGCACCCTGGGGTGCCTTGAATGATGGTCAAGGGTGCTGCAGGCAACACTAGCCTCTGTCCCTCTTTCCTTCCCTCCCTCCTCTTAGGTTCCCTCATGCCTCTGCCTCCCAAAGGCTTGCACAGCTGTTTGTTGCAGCAGCCCTGGCTGCAAGCTTCCCAGGCGAATGATGCCTCTGGGGCTTGCCAGGGGGTGCTGTTTGCCAGGAGTTGAGGTGGCCTCAGAGTAAGCAAGCAAGCGGGCAAGGTAGCCCAGCCAGCAAGTCCGCCGGTCCTTGCTATTGGGAATGGACAGACAAGTGTTAGGCCAGGCAGGTAGGCATGCACTGTCCTGGCCTTTCTTGTGCTTGCTGTGTGCAAGGCTTGCCTGGGAGCTGAGTGCCCGGTGCTGAAGGGGAGCCTTTCCACCTGGCAGCAGTTACGTCTGCTACTGCTGTCTCCCAAGGTAAGGTGCTGGCCTCACGTTCACCTTTGGCCCGTCTCTGTTAGGCCACTAAGGCTGGGGGCATCCCATTCCCATGCTCCTGTTGCACAGTGTGAGGAGGCACCTCTCGTTGGGGTAGGGGGCAGCTCAGAGACTAGGGGCGGCAGCAACAGCTGCCCAGAGGACTCCCAAGGAGAGGAGAGAGGATAGGAGGCTGAGGGCACACTCTACAAGGGAGGGTTTTCAAAAAAGGGTGAGAGGCTGCCAGCTCTACAGGCAAGGGATGACATAACTGGGCTCCTGAGCCCCACAGGGGTGCCGGAGAAAGAATGTAGTGACCTAATGTCAGGGGAATGATAGCTGGGCAAACTACCACATTTACCAAATGGAGAGATCTGGTGGGTTTAGCCTAAACTTCAGATTTTGCCATCTGAAAGATAAAGTGGAATTCTTCGCTTTTAAGTGGTGTTAATTGTGAGAAGAGATCACCTTTATCTGTAGCTTTGCAGTACAGTGTACAAGTTCATTTCTCAGTTAAATATCGGATCTTGGCTTCATATCCATGCCAACCTTTCTGCACATACATATATTGCACAGTACAGTTGCAGCATGTGCATTTAGTAGACATACCGTATTTTTCGTCCCATAGGACGCACCTAGTTTTTTTGGGGGGGGAAATAAAGGAAATTTTTCCCCTTTATTCCCCCCCAAAAAAACCAGGTCGGGGAAACCAAACCAGGTCGGGGAGCTTGTGGGGCTGGCGCTTCTCCCCAGCCTTCAAACCAGGTCGAGGAACAGCGGGATGGCGGTGCTGCGCCTCCCCGCTGTCCCCCGAGCTTGTGGGGCTTGCCAATGTCTGTCCGAAGTGTGGGGCGCTCTGCTTCAGCGCGCCCCGCGCTCCGTGCAGCAGGCTGCTATCCTGCAGGGCTCCCCAGGCTGCGGATGTCTGCCCGGCGCCGGGTGCTCTGCTTCCGGGCGCCCGGCGCGCCGGACGGCAGGCTGCTATCCCCAGGCTGCAGATGTCTGCCCGGCACGCCGGGTGCTCTGCTTCAGGGCACCCTGCGCGCCGGGCGGCAGGCTGCTATCCTGCAGGGCTCCCCAGGCTGCGGATGTCTGCCCGGCGCGCCGGGTGCTCTGCTTCAGAGCGCCCGGCGCACCGGACGGCAGGCTGCTATCCCCAGGCTGCAGATGTCTGCCCGGCACGCCGGGTGCTCTGCTTCAGGGCACCCTGCACGCCGGGCGGCAGGCTGCTATCCGCAGCCGGGATGTCTGCCCGGCGCGAGGGGCGCTCTGCTTCCCCCGACCCCAGTTCCCAGAACATGCTGCTATCCGCAAGCCTTGCTAGCCCGGTGGCAACTCCCGCGGGCTCCCCAGGCTTGCTGATAGCTTCCTGAAGCCTGGACTGACCCCTCTCGCTCTCCAAGCTTCAGCGAAAGCCTGTATTCACCCCATAGGACGCACATAGATTTCCCCTTCATTTTTGGAGGGGAAAAAGTGCGTCCTATAGGGCTAAAAATACGGTATTGTACAAGGCATGGGAACTTGGCTCTTTTCAGTTGGCTAGTTTTCTCTGATCTAGTTCACATAAACTGACACGATAAGAGACACACAGTGGTCCAAAGAATATCCTAACAGGTTAAGTTGCTGAGCCCGCTGATCTTATATATATTTTTGCCACCTGTATGTCAAGTACTATGTTTAGTTCAGAGCTCAAATTATGAGTGCTTGTGAATCTACCAACCAAAGAGGAACAATTACTTCCCGTCTAATGGGAAGACAATGTTTTAACTGGTATCTATTTGCTCATGCTTCTGAGAAGTACTATGCACTGAATTCACAAGTAAATGGGCTTGCTCAGGTGTGTATATGAGTGTGATATGAAGAAATGTCAAAATGTGTGCTGTATTTAAGCATGGAAATTGCATACATAGTCATACCTTGGAAGTCGAATGGAATCCAGTGCGGAAGTCTGTTCAACTTCCAAAACATTTAGAAACTAAAGTGCAGCCTCTGATTGGTCACAGGAAGCTCCTGCAGCCAATCGTAAGTCACGGAAGCCCCATCGGATGTTCGGCTTCCAAAAATAGTTTGCAAACCGGAACACTCACTTATGAGTTTGTGGCGTTCGGAAGTCAAAACGTTTGAGAACTAAGCTGTTCGAAAACCAAGGTACAACTGTATAATTCTAGTAATTTTCTTAGCACAGCTTGATTTAATAGTGAGAAAAGGTTCTTTTAATAAGCAATATATTATGCGTTTTAAGCAAGAGATAATAAACTGTAATCCTAACCAGTGTAAACACTAGGATTAGTTGTAAATATATCTTAATGGTTATATTGTATATTAATATTCTGTTGGAAGCCACCCAGAGTGGCTGGGAAAACCCAGCCAGATGGGCGGGGTATATATAATAAATTATTATTATTATTGTAGCAACCAATAAACAGCTAGTTTTGCTTGGAAATGTCTGAAGTACAAATGGGACCCTTTATTCAGTGATGTGACTGGAATGTGACCAATCCTAAGTACAATCAGCAACCACGTCACACTGGGGTTCTGTTCCTGGCCCCTGTGTGCGTTGCTGTAGCGTGTATAAGTGCATTACGCCCCACCTCTGTTTCACCCTTTTAGTGATGTGTTTTGTGATGTTCAGTTAGAAGAGGTTCCTGTGCAGAGCAGCATGGCTACACTGGAGGCTCCTGATCAGTGTTAGAAACTCAGTTGTGTAAGCTAATCGCCAAATGGCACCTTAAACCTAGATTATGGTCACTACTCTAGAATACCTGACATGTCAGCTGGGGGAAGGAAGACGTTCCCTAGCCAAACTCGTTTCCTGGCTGGAGTGAGCCAATAAAACTCTGTGTGCAGTTTTGCTGTGGATTATGCATACTAAAATACCCACAAACACACACACTAGTTCTCTGCCGATTGCTTTAATGGAAAGTGTTGCTGGAAGGAATTAGAAACTACTTCTGACAAAGAAAATAAGCTTTGAAGGGTTATATGACAGCAACTTAATAACTATAGTAATGTCTATTTCAAGTTGCTAAGTAACTTCAGCTTTGTTCTAGCACTTACCTTTCCTTCTTCCAGAACATCTGCTTAATGTGAAGTTGAGGGAAGGATGAATATAGAAAATTATTGGTCTCTTTTTCATTAGAGCGGTTGTTAAAGGTCTTTGCTTCTGTATTTTGTACTGTTTTGCCTTCCACTAATGTTGCAAGTTCTCTGCTTCCTGTTTTTGCATAGATTTTCTTAATTGATTTGCATGTTGTGCCGTGGAAGAGCATAGACATTTATGGTTCATTGATGATTCAATGATCAGTTTGTGAGTTCATGTTTGTGAGACAACTTAGCCAGAGCAGAAATGATGTAAATTGCTTTAGCAAACTCAGCAAGTGAAATTTTGGAGATCCGTAGAATCATCTAAAAATGTACACCATGCTAACAGAACATTAAAGATGAACAAAGTGCAACTTTATTCCTTCCTTTTCCTGATTTAGTTTGGTTTTGATTTTAATAAAACTAGGGTAACAGTGGGGGCAAGTACTACCCTTTCTCTATTGAATGAAGATTTTTGAAGCAATTAAATGAAAAACTAAATACAGGAGCAACAAGCAACTACTCACTAACTCAATGCAGACGATACATCTAATTCCTGGTCAGCAGTAAGTCTCTGTCAGAGGGCAAAGTAGAGATTGAAAGGGAATGAGTCAAGAACCTTATTTCTCTCCCTCCTGAAGGTTCCATTGTCACCTCTGCACCTTCCAAACCTTTTACATTCTGCACTGGATTTGTCCTAGCAGTTGCTGGTTTGTAATTCAAATAACAAAGAAAGTTGTTTGTTTTATGGTCCTATTTTTAGAGAATTTTTTTCTTGACTTGAGATGTGCTTTTCAAGGCTGAATAAATCCCAAGAAACTGATTAACTGGACTTCTAGGAATTTGAACTAGTTTTCAAGTCCTGATAGCATTGAGAAGTTGAATTTTCTGCAGTAAACTAGAGGTTTGCTAGCATAGTGACTAATTTCAACTAAGACTACAGTGTTATATTGGCTTTCCTGCAAGTAAACCCCATTGAACTCAGTGGGACTTCTAAGTAGACATAGCACTGTGTTCTGAAGCATTGTTTTGGAATAATTTATTTTGCAACTTCTTAGTCCCAAGAGGGGTATGGTAGGCTTCATAGTAAGCACGTCCTTGAAAAGAATAAATTGTAGTTTATTTTTATTCAAATAATCAAGGTTCATATCTAGTGATGTGGGATGTAAATTTAATACAAGAAAAAAATCAACAACTGAATTGATACAGTACTAATCAAATGACTATTCCTAGGCACACACAAATGAGCATGTTAATAATTTTCAATGCCCCTTTAAAATTAAACTCTAAATAACGTATCAAGCTGTCATGTCATAAAGTATTCAGTAATTTCCAAGTGAAGCTTTGAATCAGTGTGGAAATGTTTCATTCCAACTAAGTGCACTCTGATTTCCCCCCCGATGTAAACTACGGTAACTTAGTTTCAGTCCAACCATTGTAAATGTATATGGTAGGTTAATCATAGAATCATAGAGTTGGAAGAGACCACAAGGGCCATCGAGTCCAACCCCCTGCCAAGCAGGAAACACCATCAGAGCACTCCTGACATATGGTTGTCAAGTCTCTGCTTAAAGACCTCCAAAGAAGGAGACTCCACCACACTCCTTGGCAGCAAATTCCACTGTCGAACAGCTCTTACTGTCAGGAAGTTCTTCCTAATGTTTAGGTGGAATCTTCTTTCTTGTAGTTTGGATCCATTGCTCCGTGTCCGCTTCTCTGGAGCAGCAGAAAACAACCTTTTCCCCTCCTCTATGTGACATCCTTTTATATATTTGAGCATGGCTATCATATCACCCCTTAACCTCCTCTTCTCCAGGCTAAACATGCCCAGCTCCCTTAGCCGTTCCTCATAAGGCATCGTTTCCAGGCCTTTGACCATTTTGGTTGCCCTCCTCTGGACACGTTCCAGTTTGTCAGTGTCCTTCTTGAACTGTGGTGCCCAGAACTGGACACAGTACTCCAGGTGAGGCCTGACCAGAGCAGAATACAGTGGCACTATTACTTCCCTTGATCTAGATGCTATACTCCTATTGATGCAGCCCAGAATTGCATTGGCTTTTTTAGCTGCCGTGTCACACTGTTGGCTCATGTCAAGTTTGTGGTCAACCAAGACTCCTAGATCCTTTTCAAATGTACTGCTTTCAAGCCAGGTGTCACCCATCTTGTATTTGTGCCTCTCATTTTTTTTGCCCAAGTGCAATACTTTACATTTCTCCCTGTTAAAATTCATCTTGTTTGTTTTGGCCCAGTTCTCTAATCTGTCAAGGTCGTTTTGAAGTGTGATCCTGTCCTCTGGGGTGTTAGGTTAAATCTTGGTTGATTTTAAATTTCAGAAAATAGAAAACTTTCCAGAAAACTCACATCACTGTTCATATCCCTGTATCATCTAAATCGCATGAGTCATGCTGGGAGGAAGGGGATTAGGAGTTGAATGTATAGTTGAGGTTATCACACAGGAACTTGCCATACCTACACCATATAATCTTCACTGGTCTCTGAAATCATCCATTGAGGCCCAGTTTGCATGCCTGCTGGTGGGTTTGGTCAGGCTGCTGGGAACATGAGAACGTGGCCTTTTCTGTTGTGGCTCCTCTCCTGTTGAACACCCTTCTCTGTTTGACCCCATGCATTTTCAGTCTGCCTTCAGTTAGATAGCTAGTTGGGGTTTAAATTGACTTTGTTTATTAATACAAGATTTTTTACATGGCTAATTCATATGTAGTTTTAATGACTGAGTTGATGATGATTTATTTTTATTGTCAGTTGCTGTTTGCATCTCATGATAAAGCATAATCAGTGTGAACAAAAGTGTTCTGCTTTGCTCCCTCAGTACTTCTGGGGCCACAAGCCGTGTCCAAACCTGAACTCATGGTTTCCCCCAAAGAAACTATCATCATTAAGCCAAGAACAAACCTTGGTTAGCACTTGGTTGTTTGGGGATAACTGGTTTGACACCACAAGTAAAAGTTTGTGATTTGTTGCTCCCAGACTAGGCAGGAGTGGGGAAGGACCTACGGTGGTGCATGCTGCTTGTTTGTGTTAAGACGTAATTCAGCCTTCATTCTAGTTTTGAAGTGATGTGTGGTTTAGTCAGATAGTTACTTCAGATTGGAAGATCTCAACAGAAATCACAAGAAGCCTTGTGACCAATTGAGGAAGGCCTTAGGACTTTCAGAAGTAGACCATTTTGTTGGTTGTCTAGGCAACCAACTGATCTGCTTTTTCAGGCACTTTGGGAAATGTTGGACTTGACTTTAGGCAAGATGACAACATTTTAACTCTGCAAGCTAGGTTTCCTTATTTCCGGTTGTAGCAGCTAACTTTGTTTACTCGCTGCTATTCGTTGCTCAAATGATAGAACTGTTAGAAACTTGGCAGGTGTTTCTTTTATAGTTTGGAAAATTGAAATAAAAATACTGTTTCACCTTCCTGGTCTTAATTTGCTGCTGCTGCTGTAGAATTTTTAAGCTGGTGAAGGCTTTATGACTATGGACCAGTTACATGTGCATAAACAGCATACTTCATGTGCTGCACATATGGAGAAATTGAGAGTTCTGTAAACATAGGCTCTCTGTTGCTGAGGTGTACAAGCATTTTGTCTCAAGTTCACAGCTGAAGCACAGGCTTGGAGAGATGGATGAATATACATGCTCACTCATTCTAAAATGCATATGAAATGTGTTATTTCCTTAAGCTTGATGTAGACTTAAGTAGTGAGAGGAAATGGATAAATGTTGGTCCAACTACAGTGGTGCCTCGCAAGACGAAAAGAATCCGTTCTGCGAGTCTCTTCGTCTTGCGGGTTTTTTCGTCCAGCGAAGCAAGCCCATTAGCGGTTTAGCGGATTAGCGCTACAGTATTAGCGGCATAGCGGGCTTAGCGGATCAGCTGATAAGCGGATTAGCGATCAGCTGTTAAGCGGCTTAACGATCAGCTGATAAGCGGTTTAGCGGCTTGGGAAAAAGGGGGGGGAAAGGAAAAAAACCCCGCAGGAACTCGCAAGACATTTTCGTCTTGCGAAGCAAGCACATAGGAAATTCGTTTTGCGAAGCACCTCCAAAACGGAAAACCCTTTCGTCTAGCGGGTTTTCCGTCTTGCGAGGCATTCGTCTTGCAGGGCACCACTGTACCTAGAAGATGCTTGTGGCATCCCTTTGACCACTATATGTGGAGGTAGTGTGATGCAAACCAAGTAGCTGGCTAATATAGGGCCATTCAGAAGCAGCATATTTAAGAAGTTCTCCGTTTGGGCTTTATTGTGGGCTTATATTAACTAAGTTCTCCATTTGGGCTTTATTGTGGGAAAAGCTTGGCAGCCAAACACAAGGGCTATGTGTAGGAGTCAATAGATGGAAAGGGTTGAATGAGTTGCCAGTAGAGGATGCAGTTTGACTTGCTTGTCAGGGTTTACGAGACTGGTACAGGGTTATGTATATTCATCTGGCATCATATTTATGATCTTCTTATAATGTGCAGGTTGTTCTTTCAGTCTGTTTCCATATTTAATTTTTAAGGAATATTATGACTGTTATGGGATTCTTCATACTGCACTTTTATGTTTAAGGAACCGAACTATACAAAATGTACCTATTACATTGTATGTTACCATGATCAAACTAGTGAAACAAAGTACTAGAAAGCTCATGAGAATTTCCAGTGAATAGCATACAGAATCATCTGGAGCATCACAGAAAGCTATGATAGCTGTAACATTGACTATTTGTCTTTGCCCTGCAGCAGTTTGATCTTACCAATCCCTTTATTGTTTTTTATTATTTATTAAAAGCACTGCTCATCTTGGGGAGCTGTACAACAATCTCAAAATGCATCAGGGTGGATAAAAATCAATGATTTAAAAATGAAATAAAAACCAGATTTTAAAAAAGAAATTAAATTGGATTTTTAAAATAAAATGCTTTTGGAGGAAAAATATTTCCAAAGATAGTTTTCTATTTAAGTGACATTATAGTCCAAAGGCTATTCATCAGGAAATAAGGTTTTGTTTTAAGTTTTTCAATTGTTTAACCACATTGGTTAACAAACATGGATCAATATGTTACTGTTTTAGTTAAATAAATTGTTTAAATTGTTACGAAGGCAATGATTATTTTTCTCCTTCCAATCAAATACAGCAGAAAAGTTATCCAAATACAGTTCTTAAACCTCACCATAATTTCATAATTATCTGTCTATGTGTTTCTAATAGCATAACCAAATCAGTATTTTTTATATAACTGTAAAAACTACTCTGAAAATTTAATATTCTAAAAACAAAACCTTCCTCTGGTTGTAAATATGAAGATTATACCAGCAAGAACAAGTCTTTCTGGGGAAAAAAGGGGGGGAAAGATTTAAATCAAGTCTTACTGACTAGTGATTTAAATCAAGTCTGACTGACTAGTGATTTAAATTGTGATTTAAATTGATTTGTTTTAAATCAAACCACCCTGAAATTCATGCCAAAACATTAGAATACAGGGAGAAAGGGCAGAGTTGAATTATAACACACCAGCTGGATAGCTTAGTTGGTTAGAGTGTTGTGTTGCTAACACAAAGGTTGCAGGTTTGATCCCCATATGGGACAGCTGCATATTCCTGCATTTCAGGCGGTTGGACTAGATGATCCTCAGCATCCTTTCCAGCTCTATAATTCTATGATTAATGAAGACTAGGGAGCACAATGTGTTTTAAAAGACACTTAAACATCATTAATGTGGATTGTCTCAGAAGTTCTTGGGGAAGGTAGTTGAAGTTTCATAGGAAATACCCTTCCTCTAGTGGTTGCTAGTTATACTTCCATAGGCTGCAACATGACCTGGAGAGCTTATAATAGTAGTGATTGTGTAAATCAGCAGGAACAAAGGCACCATTTCAGGTATCCTTGTCTGAAGTTGTTTTATGTTGATCTTACATAAATTGTTGACTTGTGTTCATTGAATGTCATCCGAGGATTCCCCCTTAAGGTCTGGTGCCACAGAGTACCTGCAAACTTTTTTCACTGGGTGAATCCTAGGAAGAAAAATGGCACAAATAATATTTTTATCATAATATAATTACTGATTTGGCATTTGTGATGACTGCATGCCATTAAAAACCTTCACTGGGCGTTTTTAAACAGAAGTTGGATGGCCATCAGGGATTATTTAACTGACTTCCGCATTGCAGGGAGATAGAATAGATAACCCTTTGAGTATCTTCCAACTCTACAATTCTATAATTTTCTTGTTTGTAACCCTCTTGCAACAGATCTAGAACTGTGCACAAATACATATTTTGTACTAGTAGTTTAGGTACCAGATAATGTACTAAAAACAGAGTATAGCTAACTGTGGTCTGAACAATTGTAAGTAACTCTTCTTTTCCTCTCTTTCTTCTTTATGAAAATCTGCACCTGCCTGATATTGCTGAACTGCTGGAATTCATCACCTACTATGACTTTTGGCTGTGTCTTGTCTATATCTGGATGGTTGGAATGATGGAAACACATTGTTTACAAAGTAGCTGTAAGTATCTTGATTTTTCAAGCAACTGTTTGCAGCCCATTCTCCTTCATTTATGCCTTTGTTACAAGGGATCCAAATGGATTTTCCCAAGGTAGCTATTCTTTGTAAAGGTATTGCCTTTCTCCAGCACTCAGACAACATATCTGTCTCTTAGAAAACCTTACTTTCCCCCTTTCCTACCCCTTCAGTATGTCTGTTTCTATGATGCTATGTAGAAGTGCTACTGGGCACCTATTGGCTAATATCAATGATATTACTCGTGAAAAGTGACATTACTTTACCCACACCTATTATTTTTAATAGTCTGTACTTTAAAAAAAAAAAACTTGAGGCAGGTGATAGTGTCATCTTACATGCTTATTGGGTCTAAAATTTCCCAGAAAATATTCCATTTCTGAAAATGTATTTTTCATAAAACTTAATAAATGGGCATGATAACATTAGATAGTTTCAAAGTTGCAGTTATATTGAAGCCTTCTTCATTTGTTCCATCAACAAAAGGAGATAGAATTACAGGGTTTTCCCGCCACCCTCAACCACTGTGCTTCTGCTGCCCCTTCACCTCAACATTTATAGAGGGTTTGTACCTGCAGAGAGAAACTTGCGTACAACTGTGGTGGCTAATACATGCATAGTATTCTAGATACCATTATCTAGATACCATTTTGTTTGATATGTGGAAGTCGAGGGCAGAGCCAGCGGGTATAGTCCTGCTCCCCCTCCCCACGTTATGTGGACAGATCAAGATAAATATCAAGACCAAATAAAAGTCATATTCAATTATATCTAATAATAATCACTTCAGGTGTAGTAAGCTTAATACCTTAATAGTTTTTAGTGCACTTTATTTTTTCCTAATTGAACCTTTCAGTTCAAATATATTTTGGCTGCTGGAAACTTTTGTAAAATCAACACAACATATTTCTTTGGTTTTCATTTGCTAATGTAAGTCGAGTTAGCATCTCATTATATTTAGGACATTGGAATTACCTTATGTACTTGGTTATCTGTAAGAGATTCTTACTTGCTGTGAGTGGCCTGCCAGTGAGGTTAAAACCCAATTACTGCTGTTCATTCCATCACATACTCCTGTGCTTCTTTTTAAAGTTTTCCTCTAGTCTATGAAAGTTGTACAGTCCTCAAAAAAATATAGAGAGAAAAAACCCCTCTTCCTCCCCTTTCAAGAAAGAGAACAGGATAGTTCCTTTTCAGCAATTTTAATCCTGCTTTCCATTAAATGGGGATGAGAAGTTGTATTGCTGCTGCCAGCATGAGAATAAGTGATGAGGTATAGTTCTGTATTGTGTGAAAAAGCTGATCCAATTGACAGCTCCTGCTTTATGTATTAAAAAATAATCTTGAGCTGGCATTGTAAAGGCTTTCTGGAGAACAAAATGCTTTAAGGAAATGTTAGCAAACAGAGCTTTGTTAACTTCTGAATTTTATTTCTTCAATCTAAAATAACAGTTAAATAGATAGTAGGAAGCCATAACTATGCTGTTCCACCCACTGTTTTTAAACCACACAGCTGAGACTCTCCTAGTTCTTCCTAAAATGAGAGCTGGCTCACAACAAGCAGTTGTAGCCAATCACCTGGCCCTGGGCAACTGCTACGCTTTTCTGAAGCATTTGCCAGAGCCAGTCAAATGACGGAGCCACAAATTTTTTACAGATGGCTGAAGTTCTCTGCCTATTGCAGATGATAGAATGAGCGGTATCTGAAAATATGCATTCCCAGCAGGGAATAACCTTCCAAGTCATTGCTGTTTGCTTCTGGGGTCAGTCAGTATGTTCATGCCATGAACAGAAGTGTCATGAGTCCTGAATGCCTTTGCATTGTGTATTTAGATTTTCAAAAATTATGTGATTGACTAAAAATATTTACAAGGAGTAGGGAGGAGTGTGTATACAAGTTGAGATGCTGGGAAGGCACTATCTTTTTGTAACTAACACGTAGAATAAGCACTACAACAGTTGTCCATAGTCAGTATGAAATTATAATTGTCCTAGACGATAATATGAATTTATATATTTTTATCTTAGCAACAGAAGAACCTTGAAGGATATGTGGGGTTTGCAAATCTCCCCAATCAAGTTTATAGAAAGTCAGTGAAGAGAGGCTTTGAATTCACGCTCATGGTTGTAGGTAAGTTGTACTTTAGCACGTGTCAAATGGTGACTGCCTTCTTTATTAAAAAATAATAGATAATAAATTGATTTACATATTAACAAATTGCCTGTGTCATAGTTTAAATTCCACTTTGGACGTTCATTGCTTTGAGCATGCAAAGAAAGAAAGTTTGAATGTGGTTACAGTGTGTATTGCAAGGTTTGAAAATGCTTGCCCTGCTCTTAGCAAGTGGCACGAGGCATTCAGGTTGTGATGATTTCAAGGTTTAGATTTTTGCGGAAGGGAGAAGTTGAGTTGAAAAGCTTTGAGCAGACATTTATTTGAATCTTTATAATGTTTGTTTGTTTGTTTGTTTATTGCCTGCTCTTAACCCTAAGGTCTCATGAAAACATAATATTAAAAAGAGCTTGCAACAACTTGCCATCATAAAATTAAGATGGGTTCTGTAAATTTACACCTCAAATGTCAAAGGCCTGGGTAAAGAGGTACATCTTTAGCATTCTGTGGAAGCTGTACAATGAAGGTGCCAGGTTCTCTGTGGTGAGGGAGTTCCACAGCTTAGTGGCTGCCACTAAGAATGCCCTCTCCCAGGTCACTGCCGAGCCTTTGAGGGTGGAGCAACTACCAAGAAGAAGTCCCCTGCTGATTCCAGTTTTCAAGAGGGTCTGAAGGGAAGGAGGTGGTCTTTCTGATATTTGGAGCCTGAGTTGTTTAGGGGTTTAAACACCAACATGAACACTTCAATTGGGCCTGAAAATGATGTGGCAAGCAGTGCAGTTGTTTTAAACCAGGGGTTCTATGAGATATTAGTGGGACCCCGGGAAATAATCTGGCTTCCAAGTTGTCTTCAAGGGCATCCCAACATAGAGCACATTGCAGTAATCCAATCTGGAAGCTATCCGAGCATGCAAAGGAAGGGAAAACATTGTTTCATTCTGGTTTGGTTCATGTGTCACACTAAGCCAAACCAGTTTGTGGCAAATCTAGAGAGAGCTTAACCACAAGGCTGGGTTTGGATAAAGGTTGGCTTAGCTCAGCATGGGGTGGCAGCAGAAAGAACAAAGAAGGAACCAAGTGGTTGCAAGCTCCTCTCTGGGAACCCACATGCTTGTGTAGCACCACTAAGCTACGAGAATCTTTTCGGCTCCAAATGCCCTGCCCATGTATTGGCAACTACACCATTGTAACGTGATTGAGAGGTGGGCAGACCCGCCTACCTCTCAAATTGCTTATGTGGGGTTTCCACATACCTGACAACTAGCTTCAAAGCCCTTTGCTGTTTGCAGAGGTATTTAAGGCAGCCCCCACACCCTTAGAGTCTCTGGAGGCTGAAACAGGAGCATGGGGGTTATATTAAAGCCTTTTGCAAAAGCACTCTTTAAAGCAGATCTGCACTTCTCTTTTAAGCAGAGTGGGTGCTTGAGACGAGGCGTTACTCACTCACTCATTTAAAGGAGAAGCGCAGGGCTGCTTCTAATTTCACTTTTGATGAGTGGGGATTAAATCCTGTTGCCTTGGCTGCACAGTCCTGTTCTTGATGGGCAGCTGAATGTGGTTTGGGGGAAACAGCATTGTAGGCTGAAGTGGACCCACAGGCGATTTGCAGACCACAGGTTCCCCACCCATATACTAGGCCATAATTTGGCTTAGCAGGACATGTGAACCAGGCCAATAATGGCTCTGTATTCACTTCAAGTATATTTCAAGTATACAATATTACAATTTATATGGGTGGTGTAGGCTGTCACTTACTACCTGACAGCAGGCATTCAATGCTGTAGAGGGTATTAAAACCTCAAAATGACATGGCTGAATGTTGTTTCATGAACAAACATCATAGAGGACTTGCTCAAGTGCTTTTCATCAGGGCATTGAAATGGACAATTCCGTTTTTCCAAAGTGGTGAATAAATGGCAAAATTGCAACTTTTCATTGCATATAATCTTGCTATGAATTTCAGTTACAAGAGTTTGGTGTTAAAACTACTTTAAATCCACTTTTCTTCTGTTTGTGAATAAGTTCCCTGATCTGACTGGCTGTTGTCCATGCATAAAAGATGCATGAAATGTTGATTGTAGGTTTGCCAAGAATTTCTTCATCTGTGCCAGTTGTCCTGCGCTCATTATTGGTTGCCTAGATGGCTGCATTTAGTTTCTGTAAAAATTGTTAATTTATATTCATTCAGAAGCTGGAGTAGTTTTACTTGGATCACTTTCTTCAGGCTTTTCTGGTTAGGGGTGTGAACTTCCTGCATTTCAATTTCTCAAACTAGAGCAGAGAAAGGATTGTGATGGAGGCAAAGGTCAGCTAAAATGTCTGTGTGCAAAAGAACTGTAGTGGAGCCAAATAACTTGTTCAGATGTTTTATCTAGAAAAGCTGCATATTATCACTCTCTGTAGTTGTCGAACTGCATTCTTCAGTTTGTTAATAAATGTACTTCCAGTTACTGTATTTGAAATACATAACATTGGTGGCTTTTTAACATTGATTTTAAACATTAAAGCTGGTCAGTTCCATACATTGTTTGGCGCCTTAACTAAATTATTTCTTTAGCATCACTTTTTTATTGAGCAGCTTAGGCTCTCTTATGCACATAGTACGTGTGTGGCATAAGCTTATCTAATAGTGTACGTTTTTAAAAGTTTAATGCTGTGGTTCTCAGTTTTGGGATGGGCACTTCTTGCCAGTGTTTCAGATATTCCAAGGAAGGATTGGCTCCTGATTCAAATGGATTATATTCCTCTTGTTTCCTGCCCTCACTTTCTCAAACACTTGGCTGAATTGGAACACCCATTACTGGGAACAGTGGATTTGTAGGGATAACTGTTCTCACTACCCATCACCCCAGTATATCTTAGGAAATGCTGTTGCTTTGTTCTGATGGGGTTGGGTTTTTTTAGCTGACCTAGAGGAATGCACTGGAAGTTACATAGAAGAGAATGGAACTGGTGTCGGTAAATGAATGATGGTGTTTCTTGGGAGCTGTCTGATGAGAAGATGTAGGCATAATATGTTAGTAAATCATTTGCTGCCTCTACTTATGCAAAGTGCCATGCAGAGCCACATTCCCCATGTAATGCATGACTTGCTGAGTCTGGGATCTCTCTGCCTTTTGGTTACTCACCCCACAATGATGTGTGAAATTGCCTCCCCACCCCACCCCCCAAAAAAACCCCTGCTCTTGTTTAAACTCTGTAGTCAGAAGTTTTCAGTGTGATATATGGGTCTGTCTTATCTACTTTGAATTGATTTAAGCTGATATTGTCACTCAAACTGGAGGAATGGAGACTTGCAAATGAATGCAAGCAGAACTAGTTCCCAACCTGGCTATTGAAAACCATTGGGGAATAGTGGTACATGACCCCAGTCAAGCTTGCAAAAATTTATCATTTGCCCGATAACAAATGTTGGAAATGTAAAGAAACTGAAGGTACATTCTTTCACCTTTGGTGGAAATGCCCAAGGATTAAGGCTTTCTGGGAAATGATATATAATGAACTGAAAAAGGTACTTAAATATACCTTCTTGAAGAAACCAGAGGCCTTTCTCCTGGGCATAGTCGGTCAATTGGTGCCAAAGAAGGATAGAACCTTTTTTATGTATGCTACAACAGCAGCAAGAATACTCATTGCAAAGTATTGGAAGACACAAGATCTACCCACTCTGGAAGAATGGCAGATGAAGCTGATGGACTATATGGAACTGGCAGAAATGACTGGCAGAATCCGAGACCAGGGAGAAGAGTCGGTGGAAGAAGATTGGAAGAAGTTCAAAGATTATCTACAGAAATATTGTAAAATTAATGAATGTTAGAATGATGTTGGATAGAAATTAAGTGGTTTCTAGCTGTAATGCTTTAAGGGAATATGAAAAAGGGGTTGTTAAGAGGTAAAAATCTAATGTTACTATTTTAAGACCAAAGATTAGGATAAACAAAGAGGGTAAGGATTTGCTGAACCAACAAACTGAACTGGAAAACAAAAAGGGAGGTATGAGGAGGTCCGGGAAACAAGCTAAAGAAAAATAAGCAATGGAAAATCTGAGTGTTTTTAATCATTTTTATTTTGTTTTTTTTTTTCTTTCTCATTTTTTATTATAATATCTTAAAAAAAATCCTAATAAATATCTTATAAAAAAAAAAGAAAACCATTGGGGAATATAGGCAACTCCCCACTCACACATGAATGTGCGCACGTGCCATTTTTGGATCTGAAAGTGGGTAGGGACCTCCGGAATGGGGTGGAACGGGGGAATCCCCACTCCCATGCATCCTGGTGACGTTCACAGTGGTTGGGAACGGAACCCCAGCGTAAGTGGCTATTCCCCTGTAATTAGATTTTTAAAATAGTGTTTTCTTTAGAGATGTCAGGATGTTAAAATTGCCTCAGACAGGTCGTTATTGTGCCTCTGCCTTAAAAGAAAAATCACAGTATTTCATACTATTGTTCATATAGAAATGAAACTTGCCCAAGGGATAGTTATTTGTTGGAATGTCCTTGAGTGCTTCCTACTTATTCTTGGACAGTTTCTTAGATGATGATAATTTAGTGAGCTTCCACTCTTCACATGTTCCTGTGATTCTCTTGTTTGTGGAGGTCTGCAGGATTATGTCCTGTTCTGTTCCTTCCTACCCCATCCCTTCTTCAAGGGTTTGCTGCGAGGAAGAATGGTGCAGGTTTTCCAGTGGAGTAGCTGGAGTTATACATGATGGAAGGACAAATCTGTGGGACAGTTGTAAAGGAACATTAAAGTCATTAGTACAACTTGAGATTCATGGGGAATGACAATTTTCTGAAGTTAACCTATTTCAGCTAAGTTAATGGTTTCCTTGTGGTGTGCAGGTGTTCACTCATTCTAAAATTGTGAGATAGTTATGTTGCATTGTTGTAACTGGCAGCCAATTGAATTGCTATTCTTGTTTTAAGAAACAAACAAAACATTCATCACTTTACCAAATGCAATGGAGAGAAATTAGATGCTTGGCTCTTAGTTATTTCATTAAAATATATACACCACTTGATTGTAAAAAAAAAAAACCCTCAAAGCGGTTTACAAAAAGATAAAACAATAAAACTGAGAAACATTCTTACTTTAAAACATACAAAAGTTAAAATACTAAAACAAATTAAAATTGCCTCAACTTTCTAAGCATCTGGGTAGGTTTGTCTAAACAAGAATGTTTTTAGCAGGTACCGGAGAGTACAGTGAAGGTGCTTGCTTGATCTCAAGAGGCAGGGAGCTCCAAGGTGCAGGTGCTGCCACAATTTCACAATTTAATTCTTACAAATGTGGAAACAGTTGAGTGGGCATGTGGGGTAGGGTGATCTTGTAGGTAAACCGGTCCCAAGTTGTTAAGGTTTTTTTTTGCTAATACTAACAATTTGAATGTGGCAACTAGTCCTGATCTCTGAACAAAGGTGTTATACACTGACGAGGCCTTGCTCCTGTCCTCACGTGCTAGTACTGTTAACCAGTTGTATTTTATATAAAGCGTATGCAGCAAATGTGATAAACGGTTCAGTACTATAACTTGTGCAAAATTTCGGATTTTGTGACTGCAAACGTTCCAGTCATGCAGTAGACACCCAAAAGCAGAGCTGAAATCTAGCTTGATAGAACACACTCAAAAACAGGGAGCAACCATTTTAGGCGTGTCCAATTGACATGTGGATCCTTTTGGACCCGGAATAAGGCAGAATGTGGGACAGAATGTGCTTATACGTGCTCTACCGATGTGCGGGGGCCGGGAATGGCACCACTGTGTGAAATGTTCACTGCCTATACTATCTCAAATACAGCTGCACTCTTTCAGCTATATATTGTAAGTCTAACTTCATACGATTTGCTTTCTAGTAAGTTTCAATCCAAATTCTAATTAATTCATAAGATGTTCTTTTAAAAAGGTGGCTAATCTAATACAAGTGTACATTTTTTCTCTAACAGGCAGTGGGAAATTATATAGTGTCCACAAAAGCATAGGTTTGTTCAAAGAGTAATTCTGTAATTGCAGTGCAAGTCATCTTGCTCCATAATTAAAGAAATTTACCAATCTAAAAACAAACTATGTTAACCAGTGTATATATAACACTTAAAACCTACTTCAAATTTTTATATAGCAGCAACTGTGTTTACATTGGCCAACAAATTACAAGTGTGAACTGCTTTTGAGGATTTGCACTTGTAGCTTAAAAATGTATTTTTTTAGGTGCAAACACACTCTTAAGGTATGGTTGCTATTCTACATGAGTTGTAGAAAATCAAATCAACCTGTCTAACCAGTTTAGTGGAACAGTTCCAGTGAGCAGCAGCAGAAGAGACTTCTGAAAATATCGCAGCTTTCCCCATGTGGAAAAAGTTCTGGGAATAGCCTGGATCATACTTGAAATTAGTATACTGTTGGAAGGCATTCATTGATAGGTTGCTTGAAGGGACAGGGAATGGGTATCTTCACAGCTGGATAAGTGTTTCAGGCTTTGCTTCACTTGAGACTGACACTGATCTTTTGGCTTCTTATATACAATCATATCCCAAGCAATCTCACTGCATCCAGTAGGCAAGTAAACATGAATTTAATTTAAGGGACAGTAGCTGGCCTTACTGTTGCTAGTTTAAGGTATGCTGCCCAGAATATTAGTAAACATTTTATATGAGGCTTGCATTGGATAACTTGAAACTTTACTTTCTCAAACAAGGCTTTCTGCTGACTCAGCAGATTTAGGCAGCTCGCAGTACGTAGGAAAGCCTAAAAGATGTTTGTAGAATTGCTACATAAATAGTGCTGACTGGTGCATATCTAACTCAAATTCCAAAAAGGACGTTGTTTTTGTTTTTATTCCCTTACTATAGCCTAGCAAGGGATGCGGGTGGCACTGTGGTCTAAACCACAGATCCTAGGGCTTGCCGATCAGAAGGTTGGCAGTTCGAATCCCCGTGACGGGGTGAGCTCCCGTTGTTTGGCCCCACCTTCTGCCCACCTAGCAGTTCGAAAGCACATCAAGTGCAAGTAGATAAATAGGTACCGCTCCGGTGGGAAGGTAAACGACGTTTCCATGCGCTTCTCTGGTTCACCAGAAGCGGCTTAGTCATGCTGGCCACATGACCCGGAAGCTGTTTGCAGACAAACGCTGGCTCCCTCGGCCTATAGAGCGAGATGAGCATTGCAAACCCAGAGTCGTCCGCGACTGGACCTAACAGTCAGGGGTACCTTTAACTTTATAGCCTAGCAAACTGTGCATGGTAGGTAACCTGGTTGCCAAAGCAGTTGAGGCTCCATGGGCCTGTGACTTTAACCTCTCTCCAATGATCCATCTGAGGCTTTAAGTTTTATATCTGAAAACAAATCTCTAGATTTGGGCCTCTAACCTCTGTGATCAAAGCCATAAAAGGATGACTTGTACAGAAATTGGCCAGTCAAAATGTCAAGTTAGTGGCTTCTTCAGGTCAGTGTCAGTGCAGATTGCTCTTTGCCCTGACTTCTAATGACTTAGAAGAATCTAGGGAAGGAAGCCTACACCTCTCAACAAGATGCATTGTTTCTTTCTGACTTGCTTTCATTTACTTAATATCCTAACACCTGGCAATACATCTCCATCTCAATCAGCATGACCCCCTTCTTTGCTAGGAGTGCTGAATGCAAAGGACTACCCCATTCCAGTGGCCCAGTAAGCAGGCTTGGAGTTTGCACACACACTCACTTTATATTAGAAATGCAACATATTTTAGAGAAGAGATATATTGTTCCTAACCTTGAGGCTTTGTTGTTGTTCTTACTGGCACACAAAATACTGGTTCTGCTACGCTCCTACTGTGTATTTAAATCAGGAGCCACCTGATTTTTGAGCCCACAGACACATTTATAAACCGGAAAAATATTGTGGGCACCAAATGTGTTCTCCCTTCCCCATCTGTAACCTCCCTGTAATCACCCCTCAACATCAAAATCAGGCTTGAAAAATGCCGTCTATTGATTATAGCTTGGTAACAATAGGCAAGAAGGAATTGCATGCATATGAGAGGGGCAGCTAGAGGAAGTTCAGAAAGGTATGTTGCAGGAGGGATAGGGCTTTTAGTCGTCCTTCTGACAGCCGCTAACTAGTAAAAACATTTTTGCATGCTGGGAACTTTTATTGACTTATTTGCAAGGCGAGTCATCCTTTTCCTGTTGATTGGAATTTTAAAACTAGGGGGATCTGGAATCTGATGTTCAGATGATGTCTGGAACTCATGGATCTTGTTAAAGATAAAATTCAAAAATCTCCCTTCCCTTGCTTCAAAAGATGAGAAAGAAGCAAGAGTACATCAGTTATCCACAAAGGCCCGCGCCATAGATGCCATAGCAACTGCCCTAGCTTGAGAGGCTGAGGTAGTTCATAAAATTTACTATTGTAAACATGCAGGAAGCTGGGCAAATTGCTTGGGGGGTGGGAGGGACCAATTATCACTGCTAATCAGAGCCAGTAGGGATTCTACATTATAAACAAAGGGAAAGTGAGCAGGAAAGTCTGTTACCACATCATTATCAGTATCATCTGGAATTGGATATTGCAACTGGCTAACAGGAAATAAACATGGGCTTCAAAACTAGAGGACCTCTGTTTATATAGAAACAATAAGGCTGCAGTCCCAATCCCACTTATCTGGGAGTAAGCCCCATTGAATTCAATAGGACTTTTGAGCATATATGGTTAGGGTTGCACTGTAATGTATGAGCTAGCTGCAGTAAACCCTTTTTAGTACAGAAATGTCTCTTATGTTTGGAAAGGTTGTTATAGGCTTATTGGTTGTTTTGTTTTTAAATGATAACACAATGTTTCCCTCTCAGCTACATCAAGCTGGATGTTGCCTTCAACTGTTTTCCACTGCATTCAAATTTATTTTCTGTGAGCTGTTTATAGGCCAGTCAGTAAGCATTTATGTGATCCTTCTAACTACATGATCATTGTAATTGCATTAATATTAACTTTTTTTCTTAAATAGGTGAATCTGGATTGGGGAAATCAACACTAATCAACTCGTTATTCCTGACAGACCTGTATTCTCCGGAGTATCCAGGACCTTCACATAGAATTAAAAAGACTGTGCAGGTTTGCATGGGAAAAAACATATTTTTATTCTAATACAGTGGTACCTCCGTTTTTGAACATAATCCATTCTGGAAGACTGTTTGAGTTCTAAAATGTTCGAAAACCGAAAACTCAGCTAGGCCTCAGGATCTTGCAGTCAGCGGAAGCCGCGTGGCACGTTCGACTTCCAAGGCATGTTTGGAAACTGAAGCATTTTTACTTCCAGGTTTACGGCGTTCGAAAACCGAGGTACCACTGTATATATTGGTCTGCAAATGGAGGCTACTAGTAGCATGTTGATCTCTCGCATATAAATGAAAATGTACATGCATATATATTACTGCAATTGCATCTTAGCTGTGAAGTAATTGTTCAGCATATCTGAAGAGTACCTTCTGATAACATTAATCAATCATTTGTGATTACTGATGGCTTAGACTGCAATCCTAATGCTGCTTATCTTTGAGTAACACCCATTGAATTCAGTAGGACTGTCTTCTGAATAGATGTTGCCAGAATTGTGTTGTTAGCTGATAGGAAATTGAGGTTTTAAAATGTCTTCAATTTTCATTTCTTTAATGTAATCTGTATACCACATAAGTGGTTTACAATTAATATAAAATTTACATTAAAATTGGCAATAAAAATGACAGTTTGGGGGTTCACAGTTTGGGGGACATCACACAGAAGACGATTGTCTCCTGCAGATTGTAATACCCTTATTGGCTCAAGGGAAGGAGGTACTTCTGCAGATATTTGGAAAATTCTGTTTACTTTTGAACACTTGACAGTTATTCTATTAACTATCCATTCTATTTAGTCTTTCCTCATTTGCATTACCCTTGATGCTGCTATGAAATATTTTATAATATTTTATAATAAGGAAATGGGGATGGGGGAGAATGTGGGGTGCAACATATTGTTATGTGTATTTGAAAAAGCTGGTAAGTCTAATCATTAGAAAGGCTGTATGTTGATCATGCTTGCTTTTGAAAGAAAACAAGTCCCGATTCTTTCTGTTGCTGCTTCATTAATTCCCAGGCAATAAGTAGACATTAAATTTAAGAAGAGAAACATTTTGAAGTACATTTGAAACTGCATGAAGTATTTTTTTAAGCTGATGCAACTTACATAAAAAAATAAGCCTTTATTCTTCTCTGTAAATTGGTTTTTGCTTTCCTCTGGGTTTTAAGACTATTCAAATTCCTGGATGTGTTTAGAACTGACTTCATAGCAGGGAACTGAACATGAACCTAATCATATCCTGTGAAAAAGACATTTGAAACTTATTTTTGAAAGCAGGGGGGGCGGGGCGGGGGAGGGTCACCAGAGAACGTGTCATCCTTTAGGAAATGGGTGATCAAGCAAGAGAGCTTTAATATTCCACAGTCTGGCATAATATTGTTAACATGAACTTGATCTGTGTGACCTGCTTAAGTGCGGTGCATGGGAAAATAGCCATTTGGAATGGAATTGCTAAGGAAAGTTTTACATTCCAGGATTGGAGCTAATTTATTTTCCCTGAACCCTTTGAGAATACTTCTAAAACTAGATAGGATTCATTCGAGCTCTTAAAAGAGATTGACACTAGTTTACAGCTGTTTTCTGGATTCTTTCCAGTTGAGGCTGTTTTCTGAGAATTTGACCATGTATGGATACACACATTCCTTAAAATTAGTAAAGAAAAAAAACAAACTTACTATGAGGAATGAAATGGTGATGAACTCCAGTTTGAACATTAAATTGGATATTGTGTTTAGGATAATGACTAATATTTCAGGAGCTCAATTTCTAATTTTGAAATCATCTAATTGATCTTATAGAAATGAATAGAGAAATCTCAGTAAATTCTGTAGGAGGGGAGTTGGGCTTCGCCTATTGACAAGCTTTCCTTCCAGTCCAGGGCTAAAACAGGGTGAGGAGCTTCTTGAGACAGCTCTTGCTTTCCAGCTCATGGGCAGAAAACTTCACACTCTCCAGTCACTTGAGGGGAGATATGGTGAAGTCTTAAAACCATTATTCTCCCCCCCCCCCCACACACACTGACTTTACTCTTTTGTTAGTTCTTTAAAGAGAAGATTTGAAAGGGCTTGGTCAATTTGTTTGGATGCCTTCCCAATGAATCAGTTTCATCCTTCATATTGTAATTTTTAAAATAAGAAAATGTGTACTTCCTGTGCTTTATCTTAGTGTTTCATCCCCTTTCTCCAGTCATAGCTGTGTTCTGTTATCTGTGCCTTAGTGGCTTCTTCTTTTGGGTGTGTGTGTATTGTGTAATTCTTGTGTGAGTACACCAAGCATTGCACACACGCACAGAGCCAGTGCAGCAACACACATTACGCAGCACATAGAACGAGGCATCTTCGTAGCAGCCGTGGTGGCAACAGAGGTGCTGACAGTAACAGAAGCATGAGTGGTCGGACTGGTTCACGCATGGTCAGGCTAATCTGTTCTGCTCATGGTGGTGGGAGGAGGAAGCATGTTCCAACTGTTGGGAAGCTATTTGAAGAGACAATAGGCACTGTCAGGGTTCTTTCCTTTTGGGAGAAGAGGGGAGCAGGGAGCTCAGCCTGCTGCTGGATGTTGACATCCCTAAGAGAGGATGTATCTGATACCCTCAGTGTGAAGAGCAGGAGGTTCTCTTAGGCTACTGTCCCCTAAGTAGCCGAGCACTGCAGCCTGTTAGAAGTAGTAGCAGGCACACCCTCTACCAGTGTCATCAGACACCAGCTCTGGTGCCTCCACTCCTCCTCTAGTTACCCCCAGAATGCTGTCTGTCTCTGCCATGAGCAAGACTGATTGGTGCTTCTTTTCTTAAGTACAGGAGCAGGCTGCTGGCAATGTAACTTGCTGCATCTTCACTGACTCCTGAGCAAATAACCCAACTTAAGAGTAAAAACAGCAGTGCTGCATTTGGGCAACTTGAGGGACCTATTTTTAAATTTAAAATGTTAAAAATGAACATTTGCACCTGTATAAATGTAATACACCCAGGAAAGCAAGCATTCCCCCCCCCTTTCATTCCACTCTTTATATTTTACAGCAAAACACAACTAAACCAGTTAGGCAATCTTTGTTAGGCAACAAAGATGCTCTGAAGATGTGCAATTTCACATTCCTTCCTTGGGCCAGTCACCTGAACCTATCTCACATGTCCATTGTGAAGATATGCAGCCATTTTATACCTCCTTCCATAAGGGGACTTTGAGCTCAGAATCGAGGCCCCCTGCTGGCTGTGGGCCCAGAACATTTTTACACTGTCCATTCCTCTCGGTAGCCATGATTGGTCCATACGGTTTCAAGCATACCTTCACAAAACATATCTTCCTCCCTTTTTAAAATAAAAATTGGGAATCTCAAGAAAATGGATCTTAGGCAGTTCCACAAACTGAATTTGCTCTCCCTCCCTCTGTCTGTATTTTTTAACTCAGCAGGAGCTCCATAAAAATGCTTTCCAGTTAACAGAAATAAAAACAAACTCTGAGCTTTAATATTTATTTAGAATAAGTTAATAGGAATGTAGTGTACTTGGAAGGTGGTGCTCCTTCATCAGTTTTTTACTTAAAAGAAGTACCATTTTCATATGTTTAAAATATGATTTTTTCATATATCTATTTTTTAATTCTTTTTTAATTTTCAGGTTGAACAGTCTAAAGTTCTAATTAAGGAAGGTGGCGTTCAGCTGCTACTAACAATAGTTGACACGCCTGGATTTGGTGATGCTGTGGATAATAGCAATTGGTAAGCCTGTTCTAATATTAAGAGTGGTGGCTATTAATTTAGAACACCAATAATTTCATTACAAGTGGTTAGGAACACGCCCTTGGTTACTTTAACTATTCTTCTTTAAATACTATCATAAACAGTAAACTCTCACTCTGCTGCCATATGTTGTGCATCAGGACTAGTAACTGCAGATAGCTAACTTTAATTATTTTTTATGAATTACCCCACAGCCTTGTCAATAACCTGAAGGCAGATGTGCTCATTTGCACCACTGGCTTCTAGTTGCAGCCACCTCTTCTCCTACCTGGCTCTCTTGCCACAGCTGGTTGCTTTTCTTCTATTGCAGCAGCTGGCCCTATATTTGTAGCCAGAGAAATACTGTGCAAGCTCTCCCTCCTGACTTTTAAAGGGCCACTCTTTAAAGCAAGGTGGGAGCCTGTGCCCAATAGCGTTGTACTCCCAACTCCCCTCAAGCCCAATTAGAATGGCTAATGGTTGGGAATGTTGAGGCTTCCAATCTAACAACACCTGTAGGACCATAGGTTTCCCCCAGCCCTACCTTAAAGCCTGAGTCTGGTGGAAATGAGAGAAAATGGTCTTCTGCTGCTGTAAGAACCGCTCTGCATTCTAGCAGTAGCAACTGTAAAGGAGAGGGGAAAGACAACACATGAGATGGTGGCAGAAGGAGAAAACATAGAATATAGAGGGCGCAGGGAGTACACCTTTCCTTAGGCACTTAGGCTGCAGTTCTAATTCTACTTGGGAGTAAGCCTAATTAATTTCAGTAGGACTTCTGCTCTACATGTGGTTGGAGTCGTGAAGTTAGTCATTTACATTGGAGTAAACTGTAGCAAGTTGCTACAGTTGATTCGCAACTTAAGCACATTTAACTTGTATGCATTTTGCTTTACGCACATGGCCATTTAAAAAAAAAAGAAGGTAAGAAATGGGTCAGGTGCCCAAGGAAAAGAACTTTGGCAATCCTAAGCACCATTGCACTTACCTTGGGAGAGCATTTGGAGGTGCAGAGAGAGGGAGTGTTTTGAATAAACGTTATTTTGGCTTTTTGCACTATCCCTGGAATGCTACCCTGCATAACTTGAGAGTTGCCTGTGGTAAACCACCCAACTGGAAAATCATATGGCTGTTATAATAACACTTCCTATTTACTGAAAATAAGTACAAACCAGGTGAATGCAAACACCTTAATGTGAAGTACAGTGGTACCTCAGGTTACATACGCTTCAGGTTACATACACTTCAGGTTACATACACTTCAGGTTACAGACTCCGCTAACCCAGAAATATTACCTTAGGTTAAGAACTTTGCTTCAGGGTGAGAACAGGAATCTTAAGAATAATTTTTTCATTAACCGACCAATCACATCAAATCAAACCAAATTACATAAATTCCAAATTACACAGCCGAATTTTAAATTTTTGTTGGAGGTACCCATATTTCAAGTTCCGAAGGGATCCAATCAACTTCTTGCTTCTTACTGCTGTTTTAATGTCCACAAATCTAACCTTATGATGTTCACAGTACTATCCAGTCCTTTCTTATTATTTTTCCACATCTCTTGTTGTTGTTTTCATATATTTTTCCTTTCTCTTTGTGACCTCTGATAGTCTCCGCAAGCTGGTTAGAACAGTTTGTAATCCTGCGTGGATATTAATTTTTTTATCCAGTAGCCATATCCAGACGTTTCCCATATAACATCACTTCCATACATCAAAACAGTCTTAGCGTTATTAATCTTCACCAATCTGCCTCCTTTCTCAAAACCTCTGAGGAGATTCACTAGGAATGCAGTCTGAAAACAAATCCGTTCTTCCTCCCGGCTGTAAATCCTTTGGCAAGATGGCGACTCCGAATTAATTGCTGCGCCATTCCCAAAAGCTCTTATTGCTTCTCGGTCTCCATAAAGCATACTTTTGGTTAAAGTTTATCTCCACACAGACCTTAATCAACCTGCTTGGGTCAGTTCAACCGATGGTTCTAATGAGGAGGGGTTCTTGTAAATCACATAGAAGGAAAGTAAAAAAGCTTTCCCCCCCATTCAGCCCCGTTGTCAACATACCCCGCCTTTGATGTATCTTCATCGTAAAATATTCCTGTTTCTCCAGCCCGTCGTCTTCTTTCGCAGAGGTCACTTAAATTAGCAGACTTCACTCCCCTTCTTCACTTGAAATATGTGCATTTGCTTCTTTTGTAATTAATTATTCCAAATTGCTGCAACTAGTGCGCGATCAGAGATAGCGTCCAGGAGAGCCGATGTTCACACGGGGGCATTCTGCCTAGGGCCCTCACCCCCTTCTTTCGAATTAGGGGGTGATTTATGGGCACAGCAGGCAAGGGCAGTGTTCCCCATTTCCTTGGGGCGACAAGGGAGGCTGCCTACTCCTATAACAGCCTCTTAATTACCCTGTGTGGGTCGGAGAGATGGTATTGTCGGCCATCTTCCAATGCGCCCCCTAGTGGCCCCCCAGGATGAGAACAGAAATCATGCAGCAGCGGCACAGCGGCAGCAGGAGGCCCCATTAGCTAAAGTGGTGCTTCAGGTTAAGAACAGTTTCAGGTTAAGAACAGACCTCCAGAACGAATTAAGTTCTTAACCCGAGGTACCACTGTATTAAAATTAAAAGAATCAGTTATATGTTTGTGATCAGTATATCAGTATATCAACAGGTTAATTAATATACAGGTTAGTTAATATTAAGCCAAACAATTTGCTGTGATGCTATTGATGTTATAAGTCAATGATGGTTCTTAAAAATGTGTATTTGCATATTCTAGCTGGCAGCCGGTTATCGACTACATTGACAGCAAGTTTGAAGACTATCTTAATGCAGAATCACGTGTGAACAGACGTCAGATGCCAGACAACAGGGTGCAGTGTTGTTTATACTTCATTGCTCCATCAGGACACGGGTCAGTAGGAAATGTAGCTTGGGATGTGTTTTTCAGTCATTCCGTATCAGCCTCTATGTTAATGATCTGGCTAGATTGCTTGGGAAACTGGATGCATGCCTACCTGCCGTAGGAAATAGAAAGGCCAGGATTATCCTGTATGCAGATGATATGGTTATATTATCTCAGAAAAAGCAGATTGATGTGCTAGCTAACATCTGGAACAACTTGGCATTAATTTTACCAAAATTAAAGCCATTGAATTTGTTAGGGGTTCTCTCATGTTTAACTTGGCGATTTCTAATATCCCATTCAACAGTCTACATTGTTTTGTTATTTAGGGGTCCTTTTTACAGCATCATTGGCATGCTATTATCTTTAAAGCAAGACATCTTATAGGAGCCATCCTTATGCCTTCCAGATGATGTTAAACTCCTACACCCATTAGATGGGAGTTGTAGTCCAACAACATCTGGAAGGCACCAGGCTTGCTATAAGGGTTGCATTAATTTTTTCAGCACAGATGTAATGGTTGTTCAAGGGGCCATCCGAATAGCACTAGGTTCAGCTTTCCTTGTCTGTCTTGGTATTGTTAACCCCAAATGCTCAAATCACTGTAGTTTTTAATTTCAACACTTAACAGCTTAAAGTAATAGCTTCTGATACAAAATCTAAAATATACTATGATCCTGGATAAAGTTGCTGGCCTGGAGCTGACCTAGGTCACTGGTTCTTGAACACATTCCTAAGCCATAGTGCCTGCCAGCCTTCGTTTCTCAGCTCCATGTGGATTCAGCTTCATTCAGTTTCTTTCATCCAGTCCCCATACTAGGTAGAGCCAGATACAGGGACAGTGAGGCTTGTAGCATCAGCCTCAAAAAGGCAAGAGCTGGATGATAGAAGGCAAGTGGCTCACTGAAAGCTACCTTTTTTGAAGCCTATTAATTTTTATTTAATAGATGCTTACTAAAAAAGGTTACTAAATAATGGCTTAATCAACTGCATAATGTAAATGTCTAAAATTAATCTGCTTTCTTAACCTAATGCTGATGATGTGGTTAGAGTTAATAAAGAAAATTACTTACTTGTTTTGCCATTTTTATAGACTGTTTTGGTTCATCTTTGAATTATGTTGTATTATTTCTCCAGTTAAATGGGAACTTCCCTTCTGAATAGTACACACCTCCTTAGAAATTTCCATCAGTCTCAGAATTTGAACAAGCTTTGCTTCCTTTATCCAAATTGACTTGATGGGGACGGTGTCAGTTTTCCTGACCTTACTACTGGGATTGTGATTTGTCTTCAGTCCCATGTTAGTACTTAATCAGTTGGGTGACACAGGAAACATCCAAGTCAGAAATGTAGTATCAGTATTATACAATGCTCTATATTCAAAGCTAGTTTTCAGTGTTAAACTCTGATAAGTTTGCAGGTGTAATGTTTGAAAAAATGCTTGGCTTATTCCTCTGTGACACATATTATTGCAGCTATTAAATAGGAAAATGAAATTCTGATAATTCATTACTTTTGTTGTGTGCATTTGATTATACAAAATTTTGCAGTGTAGGTGTTCAGAAGGGACTTTCTTAGCTGACAGCCATATTTTGTTGAATCACAATACTCTTTTTTAAAGACTCAAGCCTTTGGATATCGAGTTTATGAAGCGCCTGCATGAAAAAGTGAATATCATTCCACTTATTGCCAAAGCAGACACGCTTACACCTGAAGAATGTCAGCAGTTTAAAAAACAGGTGAATAGAAACTTTTACTATGAGAAAACGGAACTAATATTAAATAGGGGTGGGTGGGTGTACATACTATGTTTCACAGTGTAATTTAAAAATTTAATCCCCAAAGTGATGTCTAGCATCTCAGCAAGATATGTATTTTGGAAGTGGTAAGCTAATTTTTCCTCCGAAGCAAAAAAACATGAATACAGCTCCTGACAAGGGAAATGTGTTCACTGATCTGAACAATGAAAATGATAGTTCTTTCCATTTTTGTTAAAAGTAAATGTCCTTAATTACCAGGTAGAATAAATATGACATTCTCAATCTAAAACTTGTTTGGTTTTTTGCCAGGCTTGTGCAGGGTTTTAGGGATTTGTCAGTATGTTTTTTGTTTTTGTTACACAGTAATACTTAATCACTGCTGTAAAGTTTACATTTAAAAGGTAGTGGTGCACTTGGAATGTAATTGTGGTTTGAAAATGATACATTGCACTTACTTGTGGTTTCTGTATGCCAGATTGTAACTACCTGTAAGGCAGGTTGGAGACCTTAAGCATAGTTAAGTCAAATCTTCTTCACTGACAGAAAACATAATTCTCTCCGCCCTCAAATCCAGCTTGCAACATATTTCAAGCCCTAAGGAGAATACAGCAAGGGTGCCTGCTGTAAAACCAAAAGTAATGCATCTCTCAAGAGATGGCCGGGTATTCATAATGTACGGCAAATATTTGTTGAATACTGTTCCGACTGTGGCAGGAATCCACCCAATGCTCATGGGAAATTGTAGCATGATATTTTAGAGTAATCAAGTGAAACTTTATTACATGGCATGGCAAAAGCCTGTAATTGTATTGGGACCAGTTGTTTGTTGTTGTAGCAGTTGTGTTCTCAAAATGTTTCTTCTGTACCATGAAAAATAAATAAAAAGATTCTAAAAAGAATAAAAACAAGAAGGCAGCGTGCAGAAATATGGTATGGTGGCTTACTACCGTAGAGTGAGAGCATATTTCAGCTCTTGTAGAAAGCTTCCAAATCCTATGAAATGCATTTGGCTAACATAGATAATAAACAATTCACAAGGGATGTGGGGGGCGCTGTGGGTTAAACCACAGAACCTAGGGCTTGCCGATCGGAAGGTCGGCGGTTCGAATCCCCGCAACGGGGTGAGCTCCCGTTGCTTGGTCCCTGCTCCTGCCAACCTAGCAGTTCTAAAGCACATCAAAGTGCAAGTAGATAAATAGGTACTGCTTCAGCGGGAAGGTAAACGGTGTTTCCATGTGCTGCTCTGGTTCGCCAGAAGCGGCTTAGTCATGCTGGCCACATGACCCAGAAGCTGTACGCCGGCTCTCTCGGCCAGTAAAGTGAGATGAGCGCCTCAATCCCAGAGTTATCCGCGACTGGACCTAACGGTCAGGGGTCCCTTTACCTTTACCTAGAGAGCTTCCAAATCCTATGAAATGCATTTGACTAACATAGATAATAAACAATTCACAACTGCAAGTGGGACTTGCAGTTCAGTCATATTGGGACAGGAGCCATGTAAAGCTGTTCAGGCCTTTGGAAGAAGGGCAGAGTTTCAGGCAAGTGTAATGAGACCCCCCCCCCCAAACATTCCTCTGCTGTGCTATATAGTGCTAGAAGACTTTGGTTTGCTGCTGGCATCCAGCCCTGAAGCTGAGCATTCTATTACCATAGAGTGTCCTTTCTCTTTTGACTTCATCTTTGAAATATCCTTGTATTCTAAATATCCAAGCATGCATCTTCCAACACACTTCACCTCTCCTCACCCCCCCCCCCAGATGCTAACTTTAAACTGTTAGGGGCTTGCCTAGGCCAGTTACCCCCTGCCCTGCCCTGCCCTGCCCTCCCTTTATTTTTATTTCCGCAACCAGCACCATAACACTCCATGTCTCATGTGTCTCCATGCCTCATGCCTCTTGAGCTCAAATACAGGTGCATTCAATGAATGTGTGCAGTATACCCAACTTACAATTAGGAAATAAAAACAATGGAGAAATTCAAGGATTCTGGCATAACTGTAGTAGACAGAAACATGTCCTTCTCATCCCTGCAAAGCTAATACCACAGACAGGAGTTCCTATATTTGGTGTTCAGTGTGAATTAGCAAGTTTGATTTTCAGAAAATTGGATGAATTATTTTTATTATTTCTGACAGGTTAATTTGCCACATACATTTCATATATCCAGGAACCTCACAGGTCCTTTGTCAGGCAGGTTGTTTTGTTTATTTTATTTTGAAGTAACTTGCAGATCTATGTATGCTTCATAAGCATGCCAAAAACATTGCTTCTGTTCTCTATTAATATTTTTTTTCAGATAATGAAAGAAATTCAAGAGCACAAAATTAAAATATACGAATTCCCAGAGACAGATGATGAAGAAGAAAATAAGTTGGTTAAAAAGATAAAGGTACAAAAATTTAGAAATTGGTATAACATCTCATCCTGAGCTTTATACTTTGAACACAGAATGCTCTATAGATGGACTTTCTTCTTTGCTTTGGTAGAAAGAGCTGTTCTGTGCTTGCAGAGCTCCCTACTCTATTGAAGGCACTGGGGGAACCCTTGCATGCAACCCCCCCCCAAGTGCCTAAACATACCAGACATGGCTTTGTAGGGAAGTATGTTTTTGCTTCAATTAATAGATAATCTGCAGTTTGTCGTTGGCCCAAACCTGGACAAACTGGCTAATTTCAACTATTGTTAGTCATTTTCTGGGCTTCTATCAGCACTTGGAAATCTTAATGTGTTTCTCAGAAGGGTTCTAACATCTCACTTTTTCTCTTCCTCGTTTATTTTACAACCTTGTTCTCCTTTTGTTTGCTGGTTCTGAAGGGGTGTGCACTTGTGGTTTACCTAGGGCAGTTGTGGTAAATTTTTTCAGTCTTTCTGTTGTGTGATACAGGGGGAATGCCTCGTGGGGGCTATTCTAATGTGAAGAGGCGTAGCTCAATGGTATAGCATCTGTCTGAAATCCTGAAAAGGCACTTCCAGCCAGTGAAAAAAAATACTAAGCTGGATGGTTTGACTTGGTAGAATTGCAAAAGCATAGTAACGGGGAATGTATCTCAGATAGAAACGTAGGGAAAGATTTCTGCTTGAGACATTGCAAAGATGATGCCACTTGGAAAATACTAGGGTCAATGGAACAATGGTCATCTATTTTCTGTTTGGTTTTTAGCAAATGGAGGCAACTAAACCCGACCCCTTTGCATGAAAAACATGTGCTCTACCATTGAGCTATGGCCTTTCCCATATAATGTTTCAAAAGTCCCTTTTGTTTATATCCAACTGGGATATTTCGTGTATTCAGAGGAGTAAAACTATGTACTTACACCCCCAAAATATACTCTTTCTGTCCTCCAGGACCGTTTACCTCTTGCTGTAGTAGGTAGCAATACTATCATTGAAGTCAACGGCAAGAGGGTTAGAGGAAGGCAATATCCTTGGGGTGTTGCAGAAGGTAAGTGCACAAAAGGCCATGTGTGAACTTCCCTGTAATCCCAAAAAACATTAATAGGGTTGTGATTTGATTATATTCTGCTTTTCCAATAGTACACTCAAGGCAGCCAACAATATAACGTTATTACAGTAGCTTTTGTGGTTTTTTATTTGAACACATGATACATATAGTGACATTGTAATAGTGCAACATCAAATAGCTAGAATGGCTTCCCTTTCTGCTTTTTTCCCTTAAAAATTAGTAGCAACGATGGTAAATAGAGGGTTGGCTTCCATAGTGTCCCTTCACCCCATCTGCTACTGGCAGATGTCTGTTTCCTGTATTTAAAAAATGTGACATTTTCCCCCTACAGTTGAAAATGGTGAACACTGTGACTTCACAATTCTAAGAAATATGTTGATAAGGTAAGCAAGTAATGTGCAGCGCTGGTTTTGGGAATAGTTTTCCTTCCTTCCTTCCTCCTTCCTTCCTTCCTTGTTCTGTTGTGGTTCTTCCATCTATTGGGAGGCCTTCCACATTGCTGGACCACATTGGAAGACTAGCTAAGTAGGCCCATTCCTTTCGTGAATTCTGTGGAAAAGAAACTGGTATATTGTAATACTTTCTCTTTTTAACCGAAGGTCATCTGAATAAATGATGAACTTTTAAAATAAAAAAATATATGCATGTACTCAGTGGCCACTTTTAGTGTGTATAGTAGGATTTTTTCTGGTCAGGAAAAAATATTAAAAACTTAATATTTCCTGATATAGCTTTGACTATATTTGGCTAAATTTTCATAACAAAGCAAGCAAAGGAAAATCTATTTTTTAATTTGTGAAAGTCGGCTGTTGAATATACCTCTGGATATTTTGGAATTGATATGTCAGTTGGTGGGATGTGTAGGTGCTTTTTTGGAGACTAGAGTTTTAACAAGAAGGTGCAAGATGCAGAAATCACAGTCTGATCCTGAGTATTCTTACATAAAAGCAAGTTCCACTGAATTAGATAGGGATTCATTCAATTTAATGTGCGTTAGGATCAAGCTATAAATTTGGGAAATACTTGTACATCAGACATTTTTTGGGGTGGTGATTATGCTAAGAGGCATAATTTGGTTCCACAAATCTATTAAGTACATATGCAAAACATTAATGTATCCTCCCTATTGGGTATATTATATATGTATAGAATTCTCTAAACATGAAGTCGTTTGCATATTTCTTTAAGAACAATAAATCACTGTCTAAAGCACTTTTACATTTTAAAGCCACATGCCAAATGTTTTGCTTATTAAAATTAATGTTGTATTTATCAGCTATTCTTTGGTAAAGGAAAGTTACTGATAAGTTCTTCTTTTTCTTAAATAGAACTCACATGCAGGACCTGAAAGACGTCACTAATAATGTCCATTATGAGAACTACCGAAGCAGAAAATTGGCGGCTGTTACGTACAATGGAGTTGACAACAACAAAAACAAAGGGCAACTAACAAAGTAAGTGGTAGTAAAAGTGGTGATATGGTTTTTCCCACAAGTTCATGGAAAATTTGTTTTGGATCACATATTTGGCCATTCAGTCAAATCCTTACAGGCTCATACACCACCAAAGTAATTGTTACAACTTACTTACTATTATTTATTACAGTTGTTTGTTTATATCTCACAGTTTACAAGAAACATTAACCTACCTTTTACCTTTAACTACAAGTGCCGTTTCCTGTATGGATCATTCCAGCCAGTGAGAAAAAAGAGTGGGGCCTCCTGGGTCTTCATATGCCCATTTGTGGCAAGCAGGGAGAGGAATTTATTTGTTGTCGTGCCCATCCTATGGAATCACCTCCCCTCAGATTAAATCAGCACCACCAGTAGTGTGCTTCCAGCACTTGTTGAAAAATTATGTATTTAGTTGGGCCTTTGGGGTGCATTAATCTGATCTGCTGTGCTTCAGGTCGTTAAGGATGCTGTAGAATTTATTACTCAATGTATTGATTTTAATTTATTTATTTTATTAAATTTATATACCGCCCTTCATCCAAATATATCGGGGCAGTTCACAAGATAAAAATACAGGATAGGTAAAGGTACCCCTGACTGTTAGGTCCAGTTGCGGATGACTCTGGGGTTGCAGCGCTTATCTCGCTCTATAGGCCGAGGGAGCCAGTGTTTGTCCGCAGACAGCTTCCGGGTCATGTGGCCAGCATGACTACGCTGCTTCTGGTGAGCTAGAGCAGTGCACAGAAACACCATTTACCTTCCTGCCGGAGCGGTACCTATTTATCTACTTGCACTTTGGCGTGCTTTCGAACTGCTGGGTGGGCAGGAGCTGGGACCGAGCAATGGGAGCTCACCCTGTCACAGGGATTCGAACCGCCGACCTTCTGATTGGCAAGCCCTAGGCTCTGTGGTTTAGACCACAGCAACACCCGCAGGATAGAAGCACAAAATATATTCGCTGGCAGTCAACGGTCATAACATTTTTAAATAATGGGTGGGCAGAAGTTTTTAGTTTTTGTAATATCAGCAGGAGTAGAAAGTTGTTCTTCTGTCAGCTGAGCTGGTGGAAACATATCTGATGTTGTTTGGTCAGCTGAGCTGGTGCCTGATTGTTGAGGGAGAATTGTCAACAAAGTACATTTTCTTCATAGGAAACATAATAGTCTTTGGTCGCACCATAGGTTCAAGTACGCTTGGCTGACATTAAGCTTTTAGTGTAGCTTCCAGCCTGAATTTGGCGGCTGAGGCAGTTTTATTTGCCTGGTGGGCTCACATCAGACAATTATGGGAATGTTTGCATGTCGATTTTATATAATTGAGCAGCTACATTATTCGATATATGGGTACGTAGTACTGCCATTAACTGACTTCCAATCTATACTGTATTGCCATCAGCAGGGTTCCATCTGGTTCCCATTCCTATTCATCATCTGTAAGAAGAATCTATATGTCCTTGCTATTGCCTCACTTGCAAATTAAATTGTGTCCCCTTCTCTGGTATATAAACACATTTTCATGGTTAAAGTTTCTGAAAGGTAGAAGGAATTTTATATTACCCAGTTCATGGTGCAGAAGAGTACAAATAGAATGAAATATACTTAAATTGAGCTCAAGGTGCACAGAAAGTATTTATGGACTTGTACTCTTTTGATGGGGAATAATTGAATATGTATTATATTCATACAATAAGAAGAAGAAGAAGAAGAAGAGTTTGGATTTGATATCCCGCCTTTCACTCCCTTTAAGGAGTCTCAAAGCGGCTAACATTCTCCTTTCCCTTCCTCCCCCACAACAAACACTCTGTGAGGTGAGTGGGGCTGAGAGACTTCAGAGAAGTGCGACTGGCCCAAGGTCACCCAGCAGCTGCATGTGGAGGAGTGGAGACTCGAACCCGGTTCCCCAGATTACAAGACTACCGCTCTTAACCACTACACCACAATAAACAGCGTGTGCTTCATAGATTTATTTTTGTAGGTTATATATATCTATATAACCCAGTATATTCCAATTGGTGCATTAAGTAATTAATGTAACACAGTTGTTTTACTGCAGAGACTATTTCTAGTAACTAAACTTTCAACAGGGTAGTGGTTTTTCTATCATTCAGATCTAATACTTACATTAAGAAGCTGCTGTCTGGAGAAATAAATAATGCAAACTGAAGATGATGAGAGATGCAAAAGTAATTGCAGTTGTTACCTACTGACAGTCTCAAAGTTTGTCCCCCCAACCATTAAGTTCAGTGAATTTTTATGTTTGCTCAAAAGTTAATTTTGGCTTTGTCTCTGGCACATGTCTGTCTTCTGTGCTCCCTCAAGTAGGTTTGCAGGATAGACAGCTGAGGAGTTTTTCTTCTTGGAGCTGTCAAACAAAACAAGCCCATGCAGTTTCTGCATGCACAGTGTCAGGAAAGTGGGGAAATTAATTGAAGCTTCATCACCGAATGGGCTTCATCCCTTGCTTTCTCTTCATCCCACTTACTCAAATTTATTGCTTTCTGAATCTTATGAGGGCGCTAACTTCTCTTTTAGGAGTTATTTTAAAGCAACATTAGTCAATTTTTGGAAGGTTAATTGCTTTTCAGACAAATTGTATCTGACAGTTGGCTTCCGGATTTTCAGTTTGAAGTCATAGATGGTACAACCCTCATCACACATTGTTGCTAACTTCTCTCACTGCATAATGGATGTATATTTTTACTGCAAGAAAATTGATTTGTTCTTCATAATATGCTCCCTCATATTAATTTTTTTAATGTTAGGCCAATAGAATACAATTACAGCGAATGCAGTGGGTTGGGGGGTTAAATGCACGTCCAGGATACTTGAGGGCACAGTTTCCTGAATAATCCCAAATACATATTTTTTGAAACCAAGGGTTTATTGTAATTTCATAACGTAGAATGGCATTAATTAAAAATATAAGGAAAATGGAATGAATAAAAAACAAGTAAAATTACATGAAAGTATAATACCATAAGGAACATATTAGTTCACAGTAAAAAAAATAAATCATATTCTCAGGTCTTGTTTCATACATACAAGTCACAAGTATGTTTTTTTTTAATCAGTTTATACAATTCTGAAATTGCAGTGGCTTCTTCATCAATAAAGATGACTGGTAAGACCATTAAAGGGTCTGGCATTAGTCCTGTGCCCAAATACCTACTCAAACATTTTTGAGAGTTAACATTTCTGTGCCATTCAGAAGTTGGGAGTCAGACTCTCAAGTATATTTTGGTCTGCAGTATATTTTTTGAAACATAAATCATAGTGTAAATTACACATGTGCACAATCTGTGCTGCTTCACTATGAACAAACTCTAATAGTATTTCACATTTCTCCCATGAAGTTGGAACCTCCCAAGCATGTTGGCATTGTTCTTGTTTTTAGATCATACTTAAATTGGTTTGAAAAGTGAAAGTTTCTGAAGTCCATCTGGCTTCATTGGAGGAGGATGCGACGCTGAGGCTTTCAGCAGCTCATTCTCACAATGCTAAAGCATTGTTTACACAGAGATGGGGAACACATAGCCCTCCAGATGTTGCTGGAATCTCAAGTAGGAAGATGCACAGGGAGAGTCATCCCTGTGCTCTGCTCTATATTTCGTTGCAGAGCTCAGGAAAATGACTTCATATTCTGGACCAGGAAGCCTATACAGTGGTGCCTCGCAAGACGAAATTAATTCGTTCCGTGAGTTTTGCTGTCTTGCGATTTTTTTCGTCTTGCGAAGCACGGTGTCGGGAAAGTTTTGGAAAAGCTTCAAAAATCACCAAAGTCTTTAAAAACCTCAAAAAAGGCTACCACACCGCGTTCTATGAGTTGCTCCTCGAAGTCAAGTTGCAACTGTATTAACGGTGTTAAGAACAAGGAAACAAACTTGCAAGACGTTTCCGTCTTGCGAAGCAAGCCCATAGGGAAAATCATCTTGCGAAGCAGCTCAAAAAACAAAAAACCCTTTCGTCTAGCGAGTTTTTTGTCTTGCGAGGCATTCGTCTTGCGAGGTATCACTGTACCATGCTTTCTGCTTGATCAGCATCTTCACATGTTAACAAGGTTGTAGTTGAATAGTTCTCAGCTATCTTAAATAATAATTTCAGGGAAATTGTCCCTTTTCTGGTGTGTTGCTTTTCCTTGCATTGCTTTGATCAGTATACTAACGAAGCAAAGCGTTTGATTTGACAGCATGAGACCGCTTCCCATGGTCCTTAAAATGTTCAGAGCGCTTCAAAGGGAACAATGGTTGCATACATTGTGAAATTTCTGAAAATAATGTCATAGTGGTGATGCCGTAAAGCCCACACTGTTGGTTACATTCTTTAGCTGTCTAGGCTGGGCTTCCAGTTCTGCTTTACATCTCAAAGAAGTGTGAATCAGGCCAGGTAACCATGTTGTGCATTTTGGGGGCCAGTTAAAAGTGCTGGTTTTAGTGTTTAAAGCCTTTGGGTCTGAATTAATGGAAAGACTACCTATACCCACACCAACCTGCCCACACAGGACAATCAGGGGCAGAGGTTTTTTCCTTGTTTGCCTACCACCAAAATCAGCCAAGTTGTCAGGCATGGTGTTCCCACACTACAGATCTTCATAAAGTCCTGGCAAACCACTTTTTCACAGTGCTTTACTCATGAGGTATATTCCATCTTGCTACTGTTCTTCTTTTGGCTGCTGAATCTGTTAATACTGCTTTGGTTCTAAATCAGTTGCTGAGTTGCAAGGACTTATTATTATTATTATTATTCTGTTTTTTAAAATGTGGTTACAGTGAACATTTTGGGTTTTATTTTATTTCTGTTGAATTTCTAATTGTGTGCAAGCCGCATTTAGAGAGAGTTTGACACGTAAAGGCAGCCTATAAATATCAGGTATTAAAAGCTAGGAAGAACAAATATGTAATCCTGCTAAGATAACTACTTACAGTGATGCAATCTACTGAATACTCTATATGCAGTCAGCAACTCAGTACAGTGGTACCTCTAGATGCGAACGGGATCCGTTCCGGGGCCCCGTTCACATCTACAAGCAAACGTAACCCGTGTCTGTGGGTCACGTTTCTGTGCTTATGCGCATGCACGTGACATCATTTTGAGTGTCTGTGCATGCGCAAGCGGCGAAACCCAGAAGTAACGCACTCCGTTACTTCCTGGTTGCCGCGCAGCGCAACTCGAACGCGCTCATCCTGAAGCACATTCAACCCGAGGTATGACTGTATAACTAATGTTAAAGTTCAGCAAAATGCAACTACTGTGTAGGTCATTCCTCATTTAATTTCTGCACTCCCTTAAAGTCTAGCAGCTGTAGGGGACATTAGACAGGATCCACAAGCTTTCATTTGCTTGGCTTTTGCTGCAACTTCAGATGACTCTTCAGCGAGGGAAGGAGTCATATATCAGATACAGTGGTGCTGGCAAACTGTTTGCTGTTGTGTCTTGTATCTTACGATCACGATGACTCTGTCCTTGTGCATGTTGTGGAGAATGGGATCTCTCTTCTGAGGTAGCAGATCAGGGTGGAGTTTTTTCATAGCTCTACACGACTTGAATCTCTTAACCATTAAGATTTAGAGAGCAGCAGTGAGCATATGAGACATGATTTGAGACACATGCAGGTCCCGTTTTCTGAATACAGTACATTTTCAGGAGATAATTGGTTAGATGAGCATTTGCATATCAAGATGATGATTTTAATTATTTCCTATGGGAACATTTCTAATCCGTGATTTGTGCCTTCCTGCTTACTTCCTGAAATTGCTACAGACAATTGGCAAAAGCCAAACAAAAGGAAAAACTGATTTGTCCACTCTCCCTCTGCCAACCAGCAAAACACAAGCAAGTAAGGAAGTGGGACAACTCTTGACTGTTCAGCTACCTGAATCAGCCATTTGTGTAGCTAGGTTTGGGTATAATTATTTGTGTTCAGGTAACTGAGATTTCGGATAACAAGCATTCAGACAGCGGGACCTGCATGTATAAATTCTTGAAAATGCATTTGAGCTTTTTTTAGTCAGTGTTGTGCCAATGCAACAAATAGTTCTCATCCTGGTGTCAAAGTTAAATTGCTATATAGCTTGCCAACTCCTCCTTGCACACACATCTTGTTTTGTATCTAGCTGTGATGTACCTAGTAGTGTTGCATCAGTGCAACAGCACCTACCTAAAACAGTCCTATCTGGCTTCTGCAGCTGGGACAGGAAATAGGAAATACTTTTTAACTGAAGACTTCTTGGTTTGTTCAGTTGCAAGGGGCTTCATTTTGTTAAGCCAAGATATGATCATACAAATGGGGACATGGTTTGAATAGGTTAGATGGTTTCTACCTTGTTCTGGTTGAGCTATTTTTTTTGGGTGGGGGAATCAAAAGATTTTTTTCCTTTCAGAAATTCCAGAGTAGCTATGATATTAGAACTTAGAAGTAATCTGTGAAATAGTTTTGAATGGTTTATAAACCTGGAAGAATCTTTGAAATACAAGGCAGAGAGTGGAGTAACTCTTACAGTTGCCATTTTATCATCTGATCTTAATTATAGTAAATATTTTCCAGAGAAGCCTTTTGAGACCTCTGCTGGCGAGTTAAATGGTGCTATTGACCATTTTGAATATGCATACTAGCAGCAATAGGCCTTGAGACAGTTGTGAATTGGTGTTTATTTTGAGAAGTTAAGCAAATGTCACTAAAATATTTAAGTTTTCATCTAAAGAGCATGCATTATTCCTTGCACACAAATACAGGTAAAAAGCTTTGCACATCAGGTCTGCATTAATTGTGTAGAGCACTTGAACTAACAGACTATTGAAAACAAAAAACTTAACTAGCTTTAACTAACAACCTGTCACTTTACAGTGGAAATCTTGCTGCTGGAGAGCATACAAACCAAAGTAGCTTCAAATCCATAATGAATTTGCTTTTTAATTATTGCTTTTTATTTTTGTGGTTTTATTTGAGCATGCTAAGCTTCTGTATTTTTTGTTTTTTAGATTTGACACAGTTGAAGGCATGTAAGTGGTCATTTAAATTTTTCAAAAGACTTAAGACAAGGATTAAAACAAAAAAGGCTTTTAATGTTGAGTGTAATTTTCAAAACTTTTATTTTCAGCGATTGCATTTGTTTTGCTTTTAATGTTTTATTATAAAATTCCCTAACATACAGTTAAATATTTTTAGTGACATCTACTGTGAGAGCACATTTATTCACAGAGAGAGCAGAAGACCATTCTTAGCAGTTAAATGGATATGAAATCCTCATAATTTGCTTCTTTTCAGCACAGTGATTGATTGTATATGAAATTATCCTCAAGAACTTGTTAGCTTCATTTCTTCCCTCTGAAGCTGCAGTTGGCCACCACAGCATTTGAAAGTGCCAAAATGATCAAATCAGAGTGCTGTTAAAGAAGGCAAAAATGTAGATATATCACATCAGTAGCTTGCAGAGGCTCAGATTTCATTCTTTCCAGATGTTGTGTTCCAGAGAGAATAGTCAAAATGGCATGAATGTCAGCTAGGCACATGCACCCATTCCCCTCACCATTGAGAGGAAGTAGTGATTGATGAATTGGGTGGTATTGCATCCTGTTTGAACATGGCATGCCCCTAGCTGTCTGCCTTTAACCCCTCTTTTTCCAGGGAACAGATTGGCTCTGAGAGATTCCATGTTCAAGCATGGCACAGCCTAGTTCATTTCCATCTTCCGTAGCATTAAAGAACCAGAGACTCTCACCAGGTCAAGTGTCCTCTCTGGAACATAACACTCAAATAGGTGTTGTGTGTCTGTTTGAGTAGTTCTTGAGGTTTGCTCTCATTTTTGAACTGGGGAGGGGGGATTATTCATATTTAAATGCACTGGAAACATCTATATTCAGTGTGTGCATTTAAAAACAGCATTTATTTGGACAAATACGTAAACATGCAACCTTGCAATAAAATTCCATTTATCGAAATCCTTTTTTGCTTTTAGTGATGATAATAGGCATCCTGACAATATTCCACGGAGAGGGCTTGTTTCTGTATTAAAATAAGTTAGCCATAGTAGCTGCATTGAAAATAGATTACACCATGTATTCTCTCTCTCCATGTGCAAATTCTTCACAGCAGGACTGGTTTTAATTAGTTCTTTAATTTTCTTGTCCCTTTCATCATTGGATAAAAGTACAAAATCTTTCAAATAAACATTGGGTGTGGCTTAACTTATATTACAGCAGAACCTCAGACATGTGAACTCATGGAGGCTGCTTCCATGAAATGATCATTTGCTTTTAGGTTCTCCTAACATTGTCTTCCTTTCTAGCTTCTTTTTTAACTCTTAAGCTCAGTCCGCCATTCATCGTCCTTCGTTTGAATTCACTTGCTGCTTCTTTCTAGCTCTTTGAAGTTGATTCCTTATACAGTACAGTGATCCATATTGACCAGCTGAAGAATTTAAGGACTCTTGCAGTAGAGTGGCCACTACAAAATTGCTCAAGAAGACATTCCCCATCAGTTTCTTAGCGTCCAGGCTGATGTGGAATTACTGAGAAACCGGTGCTTCCTATTACCACATCCACAGCAAACAGAAGAAGCTGTCTCATTGTGGCTGATGAATCTCTCCTGTCATGCCTTAGCTGTTTTAAATGGAATCATACTGTCTGGGGTTCCGCTGTAATCTCCTTTGTATATAATTCTAGGTGGTTGAGTGAATGCTGGATTTGATTTTGTTGTTTGCTACTTGTCCACTTACACAGTTTGCCCCCCACATTTTATGTTGCATGAATGTCCTACCTAGTAATGATAAACACGTGTATTTGGTGCACTTGGCCTGGTGGCCACATCACTCTTTTCCTCCTCCTCTGATAATATAGATGTTACTAGATCATAGCATGTTTTGATTGGAACCTGGAGTGGATTCATTAGCAAGAGTAAGAAATGAAATGTGTTGAATATGGGTCAGTAACATGCCACAGATTTGTTTATTAAACGTACGATTAGAGTTATGAGAAGGTCCTAGAGAGGCCTGAGTACACTTCAGCCCATGTTCACATAGTGTACTGCTTCTCCCGCATTTCTGGCAGCAGCTGCCCCAGAACCCAATTCTAGTGAAGCTTCTATAACGTCGAAACGAAGTGTTTGGAAACCCTTTCAAAGTACCTCATAGAGTAATTTATTTTACCTGGAGCCAAAGAATTGTCCACCTGTGTTCAAATAAACAAGAATCACGTGCTCTTTCATCACCACTTCTTACTTCTTTGTGATGGTCCCCTTAAAGCTGCCCTATCACAGTGCAGCAGTGACCATAGAGTCCACCACTGGCACAATTCCCTTAGAAAGGAACAAAATGAGCAAAAAAGTGATATTTTTCCAAAGTTTGGGATGGACAATATTCCATTAGCTCTAAATAAAGCATAGGCAAACTCGACCCTCCAGATGTTTTGGGACTACTATTCCCATCATCCCTCACCACTGGTCCTGTTAGCTAGGGATCATGGGAGTTGTAGTCCCAAAACATCCGGAGGGCCGTGTTTGCCTATGCCTGCTCTAAATGACCCATTAACAAATCCCAAGTAGTTTTCAAGATGGAGCCTTTTAATGTGAAATGACTCTCAAAGGCAAATTGTAAAATAAAAATGCTATCTAAGTATGTAACTTGATCTCTTGATCACTGTTAAATCCTTTAAGACTAAGTCTTCTACTCAGGACCAGTGCGAGCCCCACTGAACTCTGTGATAGGGGCAGAGGAAAATAATTTTAAGAGGCATGAGAGTGTTGGGAAGGGGGAATATAGTGGGGGAATGGAAGGAGGGGAATCTGTTTGAATAATGTATTCAGGAAAGAGGTGAGGGAAGGCCAACAGGTCCCTCTGCTATGACACTAAGTGGGGAAAACAAGTGTGCAGGATAGGCCTTGGGCACTCAGGAGAGCTGACTGGCGGTAGTGTGGGCTATGGTGTTATGAACCCCATCTCTAAAATGGATATGTATTTTCTAAAAAGAAAAACCTTCTATGTATGTAATTCCTTCATCATATAAGGCATATCTTGTGTGATATGACCTGTAACTTGTGGCTTGGCTCACTTTCTTGTGGCTTCTGAATGTAGGTGATTTGCTGCTGCTTTTATTGTAGTGCACATAGTTAGAGCTTGGTCTGAGTTACGCTGCTGCCATGTGGATAGTATTGTTTAGGATTGTAAATCCGTGATTTGCAAACTGCATGCCAGGAACCACCAGTTGCCCTTGAACCCCTTTCAGGTGCACCTCAGCTTTGCAGTCTGCCCAGTACCTTCTCATTTCCCAACCCAGCCTGCCCCCAACTACAGTGCCAGCAGCTGCTGATGGTGGTCCTGATGTGCATAATTCACAGGCATACAGGGATGCAGCAGTCAGAAATGAGGCTGTGATGGGAAGGTTGAAGGGATAAAGGAATGAAGAAGCAGACAAGAAGAAAGGCACCTGGGGGCACTGCTGTGCCCTTTTCTCCTCTCTCCTTCCTTCCTTCCTTCCTTCCTTCCTTCCTTCCTTCACACACACACACACACACACACACACACACACACACACTTTTATATCCTATGTCCCAATGCTCCTTCCAAGCCAGGGAGCCTCTCCAATTTGAAAGTGACAGCAGCTTTGCATTGGAAATTAGGCAACTGGTGTGTGTGGATAGCCTTATCTTGGCTCTTTTAAAATCCGCAGCCAGACAATGAGTGTGGTTCCAGGAAAATAGTGAGCATTCCAAAGAAGCATTTATGCACTTCAAAATTCAAGCCATGCAAAAAGTTATATGGTTAGCTGGTATGAAAACAGCTAACAATATATATAAAAAAGTAAAGAACATGGGCCAGCCTGCCCTCCCAGTTCTGAGGATTTTCTGCCACTCTGTGTAGGCTTCTAAATGACTCTAAGCAACAAAGCATGTGTGCACAAACACAAAAAGTAAATGCACCGTGGGTTTTCAGTGTTGTGTGCCATGCATGTAAATTACAAAGTTCTTTTTAGTGGCATGTGCAATTCATGTGTATTAAAATACACCCCAGCAGAAATTCTGGACCCCCCATAAAGAACATTTCTAGATGTAGCCCTGTTTCAACATAACACACTTGAGTTATTCCTACTTGAAATATATTGTTGTCCAAGGTTATCCATTGTATGTGCACCTGATCTGTGGTGTTAAATCTCACTACCTCTGTGTGGTTTTTTCCTTCTTCACAAAGTGCTATTTCTAAGAAATTGTACCATTGCAGGTGAAGCACAGACCCCAGCCACGTGGTTTCATCCTCTGTTAGACTGGATGTTCACGCTAATTTGTAAACTTGAAACAAATGTGACAAGGAAGCACTTGATCACTCTCATTTATTTGTTGGCACTACTTCACTTTCCGAAAGTAGCTTGCTTCCTGTCTCCATGTGTGTCTATTGGCTTTTCACTGAATTTGTGTTTCCAAATGAAAATTGAATAAGCGAGCATCTGTTTCATTTATGGCAGGAGCCCCCTGGCACAAATGGAGGAAGAGCGGAGAGAACATGTGGCAAAGATGAAGAAAATGGAAATGGAAATGGAGCAAGTCTTTGAGATGAAGGTCAAAGAAAAAGTTCAGAAACTGAAGGACTCTGAAGCAGAGGTACATATTGCTGTGGCAGCATGTACTGGATAAAGCAAACATTAGAATATTTGAATTACAGGACAATATTTATTTAGCCCTGTGAGTCAATAGAAAATCAGCTGTAAGTGGATTCCCGGGGAAATTAGATGAGCTCAAGTGGACATATATGTGGGTGATCAATAAATCCCTAGTCCTGTGTGCCCAACAACTGTAAATGCACATCATGTCCTGTGACTTTTCACATTGTGGAGTTCTTGGCCATGATTTTACCATTATGGCAATATTTTTATTTTTACACTGATATAACTTGAGCTGAATGCACCTTTTTAACTCGTGTTATGTATCAAATAGTGATCTTCCGTGAAGCCAAGAGAAACTCAGATCCATAACTTTCGAGAATGTAGGATTGTCGTGATTGCTTAAACTGAGATTAAAAAAAATTCATCCTAAATTAAGATCCATTGTAATATCATCTTGAAAAGCAACAGGCAGTACGTAGTGTAGAGTTCAGCCACAGTTTGACGCTTGGTCTTACCTACCACAGCAGCTTTTTCTTCCTGTTTGGATAGATAGGGAAATTATTCAGTAGGGAAACTTGATTTAAAGGTCAGACTAGATCACAAAGGAGAAGGGGTGAGAATAAGACAGTGCTTTGTCCAAGGTCTGAACATAATAGCGTTTAACATTAAAATGCCTGTTAAAAATAAAATAAATACAGGGCTGGATCCAGATTGTCAGTTGCATTTGGGTCCTCCTAAAATCAAAGTTGAAATGTTAGTCATTGCTCACCTTCCACTGAGTTCAGTGGTTATTAAGTGCAAGTAATGTGGTCTGGGTCCAACCCAATGTGCTCATTTATTATCTATTTTTTACTTACAACATCACTGATCTCTTTTTCATTTTCTGACGGACCCCTTGAACACAGATGAGAAACCTTACCATCTTTTGCATTCTTGTTCCTTAGCTCCAGCGGCGTCATGAGCAGATGAAAAAGAACTTGGAGGCACAACACAAGGAATTAGAGGAAAAACGCCGCCAGTTCGAGGACGAAAAGGCAAACTGGGAAGCTCAGCAACGTATTTTGGAACAACAGAATTCTTCGAGGTGCGTTGGAGTCGTAACTGCAGTCCTTTCTGAAAGAGTTCTGATTTTAGGTCCTACCGCAGGAGTTCATACCCTGTTCCTGCACAATCCCTTTCAGCGATAACACATCCAAGTAATGGCTTACCTGTGTATAGTCCTGTGAGTTGCATCCCAGTGGAGTCCCTCTGCTGTCGGAAGACACATTGATACAGCAGAGGCTGCAGTCAGTAGAAAAGAGAAGGAGGCTATTTTCACCAGTTTGCCTTTCTCCTCGCAGCCAACCCCCACATCCTATGTTGTTTCTAAGGGCTCCTGAAACAGGGCATCATATTGGCCATATCAGTATCACCAGAAGCAGCCCCTTAGAAATGTTTAAGCTGCTTGGTTGAAGGGGAAAATTCCCCATGACCCTTTCCCATTTCTGTTCCACTTTCCGTTCTGTCCATTCTATGCCTGGAATCACCATTCCTCCTCTGTTGTCAAACCACTTCTTGCAATTCCTTCCTTAGGACTGACAACCCTGCTCATAACAGTACTTCCTAAACCACTCTCACCAGCTCATTTTCTGCTTCTCCACCATCTGGCTCTGTGCTATCACGGGAAGCTCCCACTTCAGATTTAACTACGTTATCTCTGCTCATTTTGGTAAAATGCCATATTACACGCCTGTGACATATCATATTTGTCCTTGCTATGAACTGCTCCACATGTACAGTTATCCTGGAAAATGGCCATGGTAAATATACTTCGCAGATGTATATCTCGGCCTGGAAAAGATGGAGAGTTCGGAGAGAAGAGGGAAAAGTATTGCTCCTTCCTCATTCCACTAGTTTTCCAGGCTAAGATTGCTGCCCTCCCAGTAGAAAACAAGAGTGACTAGGAGGAAGAAAAAATGTGATGAGATGAAAAGGAGAAGAAGATGAACCTAGCTGGGGAAAGTGGGGGTAGGTTGAGGACAGGCAACCAGTTGGAGAGAAGGAAAGGAATGGTTTGTGTATTTCTCCTCTTTGCTCCTCTCTGGGTCAGTTGGCGCTCAGTTTCCCTCTTCTTTGAGGGCCTTTGCTTTGTCACCACCACCATCATCATCATTACTACTCCCCCAGTGGCACAAAACATTTGCTAAAAGAAAGGAGGCAGAGCAGTCTATCATCACATCTCTAGGCCTCCAAGGAGATCAGACGTCTGCAGTGTATTTCGACGACAAAAAACCAAATAAGAGATGTTTAGCCAGTAACTTGGTGAGCTCCTGATCATTCCCCAGTAATAGAAAATGTATGACCTCCAACTCTGGTTTCCATTTGGGGGTACAGAGTTGATCTAGAAATTGCTGACGGAGATCAGCATATAGTTTACAATTAAGAGCCATATGTGTAAGGGTTTCCACCAGGTGCTCTTCACATGGACAAGTTCTTTCTCCTTCCACCCTGCCTGAGAACCTTCCCCAAAGGAGGTTTGATGGATTTGAATTAAACCTGGCCAGCGAAAATGCCCTTGTTGAATTTCTGCTTTGTTACTCCCTCTTCCCTCTGCTTTTTGCTTCATATTCACTTAGGGACTGTGCCCTTGTGCTTTTCCTTTTCTCTGGGGTCTGCAGGTCCGTGTTTTGTTTGCGTGTTTCCTCCCTCTCAGTACCCAGAAACACACAAACACAATATAAATGAGCGAGGGCCACTTTCAATAATACACCTTCAATGGCAGCCATATTGTGACTGGCCAAGTCCCTGCATGACATTAATTTTATGTGAATACCCACAGAAAGTTTGGGGACCCCTACGCTGTTTGCTTGATGCGCTGAAGAATGCGGTAATTACAGTAATGTGCTGCGCTTAAACAAGCAGAAGATCACATACGTAAACATATCTGAATAATTATTTTTCCTTTTCTTCTTTTACAGAACTTTGGAAAAGAACAAGAAGAAAGGGAAGATATTTTAAATATACTTATGACCACCAGTTATGTATTAGTTGCCAATATTCCAGCCTGGACATGTGTGTGTTGGATCTGTTTGACCAATCTTGCACCAGTTGTGTCCATATCTTTGGATTTAACAGCATGACAAAAAAAAAATTTTTTTTTGGTTAATTTTGAGGGCACTTGAGATGCCTTGAATTATTTAGGGTGTTGTATACTTAGGAAAACAAACCAGCTCTAAGTTACCCCTTTAAAATAAAAAGGAAAAAAAAAGTCATTTTACTGCAAAATAACATTTTACTGTTGTACAATCATGTTCTGGTGGTTTGATTTTGTTTACAGGATATTCCAGTATACAAGGACTTGGGAAAGTTTTCCATAAGGATACATTGCCATAATATAATACGAACTATGCTTCTATTATAAAAAAAATTCCATTCAGTGCAGCATATATAATAATGTAATTTAGTCTAACACAGTTGACCCTATTTTTGACACTTCCGTTGTTTGAAAATACACATGGAAAAACAAAACTTATAGGCTTATGGGGCACCTAAAAGCTTTTTTTAAAAAACAACTTTTTTTGGATTCTTTAAATATATGCTATTCTCATTTAGTAACTACTCTAGCCAGAATAATTTCATTACTGCTTCATTTTTGTAATAACATATAATTTAGATATTTTTCCATATATTGGCCCTGCTAAATAGAATGTAGTTTCTTTCATATGGTAGGAACCAGTTGATAAAACCTTTCCTTTAACTCCCTTTTTACATTTTATGGTAAGTAGCAGGAAAATGCATTTATAGGTCATTTCTAGGAAAAAATGTGGAGTTAACTACCAACCTGTTTCTACCTGTGTGCAGTCTGTCTTCTACTAGAAAAGAGAATCATGGCCTCTTGAGAGAAAAGTCACAATTTTACATTTAGCTGTATTCATATACTGCATTTCTGTATTTTTGTTTGTATTGTAAAAAGTCACATAATAAACAATGTTGTGATGTAACATACTCAAGTCTGGATTATCTTATCCTTGGATAATAGAATTTATGACATTTCCCTTTTTCTAATGTTTTTAAAAGTAAAACATTTATAACTAATAATTTACCTGAGCTGACTTTACCTGGACTTCTTCAAAATATTCATGATCATTTAGCAAGATGGAACTTGATTTTGCATATTTATTTAACATACTCTAACAAATATTCCACTTTTCAATTTTATATCAATTACAAAAGGCTTTGCAAATACTTGGGTGATTAGGAGGGAATGCATGCAGACGTATTTGTGGTTGTGTGTGTGTTTCATGGCATGTAGGTTTCGGACACATTTTTCAATATGCCATGGGAGCAAGAACATATATTTTTTATTAAAAATGGTTTCAGCAAAACTATTAGGATGTATTTGTACTTTACCAGCCAATGAAATGAATATTTCTGAGAATGGTTCCTATTGAGAGAAAGGTGGTGATAGCTAGGTGGTAACTTGAAAACTGCATTCTTAATAGCGAAGTCTAGCAGCAGGCTGAAAAGATGAGAAAGGTGGTGGTGCTGTTTTTTTTAAAAAATACAGTGGTACCTTGCAAGACGAATGCATCGCAAGACGAAAAACGCGCAAGACGAAAGAGTTTTCCGTTTTTTGAGTCGTTCCGCAAGACGAATTTCCCTATGGGCTTGCTTCGCAAGACGAAACGTCTTGCGAGTTCTTGCGAGTTTGTTTCCTTTTTCTTAAAGCCGCTAAGCCGTTAATAGCCGCTAAGCCGCTAATAGCCGCTAAGCCGCTAATAGCCGTGCTTCGCAAGACGAAAAAACCGCAAGACGAAGAGTCTCGCGGAACGGATTAATTTCGTCTTGCGAGGCACCACTGTACTGAATGTATTTTTTACCTACTACTAACCCAAAAATTTCATTAATCTAACCTATGCTAGGACGGTACACACCATCTTACACTAAACAGGCAGTGTGCTTCTTTAAGCTGCTGAACGTTCCACATTCCTCCATCCTGTCTGGAGCTGGAAGCACACAAACCACGAGCCACGATTTGGCATTATGTTAGAACCAGGGCTTGCAGTTGGGTGGGTGCTAAACCAAGCATGTCCAAAATCTGTTCCGGGGGCCTAATCCGGCCCGCAGGTCGGTTTAATCCGGCCCCTGTGGCAGTTCATTTCCTGGAGTAAAATCCTTTAAAACCCCTCAACAGCTTCAATCCTTTGGTCGGCCCTCATGGCCCTTCACTTCATCAAATCTGGCCCTCTTGGAAAAAAAGACACCACTGTAAAACCAAGGCTCGTGGTTTGTTGCTCTCCGCTCCAGGCAGGGTGCAGCAAATTGCGAGTTCCTTGGCAGTGGGGTGCTACTCTTCCCGAAAACCACAAACCACAACTTGCCATGAAGAGCACATAGTAGCATGCAACCATTTGTCAGATCTGTTTGTTGGGGCAACTTTTTCCATTCTTACTTTTCATGCTCAATCCATTTTCTCTGTGTTGAATGTAACTGCTAAGTGATTATTGATGTAATTATTGCTCACTGAGATGTTACTCCAGAAACAATACACAAGAAGAAGCTCAACTACGACCACAGCTAAAATCTATTGTTATGATGCAGCTTGAACACTATCTAAAGTTACGACTTCACTTTTCTAAGTTTTATTAATGCTCTGGGGCGTGTTTGATTTGCAAAATCCAGCAATTTGATTTGCAAAGCGTTAGAAACATTTTGATTCCCCTGTTGAGAATACCATCCAAGTACTGAGGTGTAATGCATTATTAAAATTTGTTACTCCACTTAAACTGCATTTGCATGATAATTATTATACTTATCACTAGTACTTGTATAGAATTACTGAGTGAAGACCAGTTTCTTGTCCAAGGCAAGGAACTACCGTATTTTTGCTCTATAAGACTCACTTTTTCCCTCCTAAAAAGTAAGGGGAAATGTGTGTGCGTCTTATGGAGCGAATGCAGGCTGCGCAGCTATCCCAGAAGCCAGAACAGCAAGAGAGATTACTGCTTTCACTGCGCAGCGATCCCTCTTGGTGTTCTGGCTTCTGAGATTCAAACTGGTCCGAAACATTACAAGCTGGAGCGTTACCTCGGTTTAAACACAAGGTGGTAGTGTTCTCTGCATCCTGAGATGTCTGGTTTTAGTCCTTTAGAAACCTACTTCCAGCAGATGAAATAACTGCTTAAATCTTCTGTGCTCTCTTCAATGGCTACAGAAGTGCACAAACTACTTCCTATTAGCCGTGTCCTAAACTTCCAAATACAGTACATAACTAAATGAATAAATACAGAAGGACTTATTGTAACCTTGCAGGCAGAGTGGAGAGGAGTGCTTGTTAATGTTTGGGACAGGAAGAGGAGATTGCCTTCATTTACAATCTTACCCTTTTCTCTACTCGGGGAATAAATTTGGGTTAGTAATGAATCCATGGCTCTTTGGGAACAATAGGCAGCTTCAGAAAAGCAGCCTTTGTAGCCTACTAATGTCTGAGCTGTGCTTAAGTTCTGGTTGCCAATTCCTTGCAGCCAGCTCTCTCCTTTTCTTCCTTCTTTTATGCTTCAAATATCAAGGCACAACATAAGAGCAGAATCTGGCAAGGTTCTGTTAGTGGGCAACTCTGCCCCAACATCAGATACACATCATGCTGATTTCTTTCTTTTCTTTTACTATGCTAATAAACCTTCTGAGTATAGATACTGCAAAAGACAGAACATTATAAGGGTGAGGCTAAATTTGAGTTTAGGAATCTGAAACCTGCCTATATTCCAAAACAAACAAACAAACAGCTTTGTAGCATGTTGTGTGAGCCCAAGGGAACTTTAGACTTGTCTCGAATAGCTGCTTCAGGTGTCACATGGCATACTGCAGGCTTCCTCAGCCTTGGCCCTCCAGATGTTTTTGGCCTACAACTCCCATGATCCCTAGCTAGCAGGGCCAGTGGTCAGGGATGATGGGAACTGTAGTCTCAAAACATCTGGAGGGCCAAGGTTGAGGAAACATGGCATACTGCTTAAGGAATGGATAACTTCAAAAGCAATACAGTTGTACCTCAGGTTAATTACTAAATTCGTTCCGGAGGTCGGTTCTTAACCTGAAGCTGTTCTTAACCTGAAGCACCACTTTAGCTAATGGGGCCTCCTGCTGCCGCTGCGCCGCCAGAGCACGATTTCTGTTCTCATCCTGAAGCAAAGTTCTTAAACTGAAGCATTATTTCTGGGTTAGCGGAGTCTGTAACCTGAAGTGTATGTAACCTGAAGAGTATGTAAGCTGAGGTACCACTGTATAGTGTGCATAAGGGCACCGGCTCTTCAATGGAAAAGTAAAAAAAATCACTGTGCTCGTGCAAATTCCTTGTGTAAGCCTAAGGAGGCTCAGAATCCTAGATGTATGTTTTTCAGAGCCAGAATGTAAATGCGAGGATTAAACACCTGCGGAGAGCCTTTCTCTGCACAGAGTAAATGTGTCTTTCTAGATATATACACAAACAACTGGAATTGCAGCGCCTGGCTTCTAGGCAGCTTGAAACCCTCGTGGTTTGAAAACATCACATTTGTTTTGCCAAAGATTATTTCCTGTTGCAGTAAACCTTCGCTTGCACTTAGCATCTTGCTGTGTCTGTGTGGCACCTTCCGTTCACCAACAATAAAAGACATTGGAGTTCCTGTCCTGTCTCCCACTGCTCTGAATTCCTAAGTCTTGTTTAGTTCAGTGCCCTAACCTTGGCCATTGGATTCATCCCAGCTGCCGATGAGGTGATTCCACAGCAGCCAATGAAAAGCCAAACAGACTGGGACTACAGTGCCCCCCCCCCCCCGAGAGCCCATTTGGAGCAAACTTGGTGTGGCTCCCAGGGTTCCTATTGCAGCCAGCTTGGCAGCATCGAAGTCTGTGTCGGTGGCTTTTTATACGTTTTGTATGGATATAGAACAGACGGGATCTTGGCAACAAAAGGAGGTTCAAAGGAAGGCAAAACTTACTTTACAGTGAAATCAAGCTCCCCCCCCCCTATTTTAGTCTCTCAGGGAGAGTGTGAATATGAAGCTGCCTAAGGCATTCAAGAGTTTTCTGGCTAAAGTCCGTGGTCGAATGGGTGGATATGTCCAGTTATGATCTACCTGAATAAAATGCATCCGCAGGGCAGAAATGCCACCATAAGGGCCTTTTCTGTTGTTGCACCCCAATTTTGGCTCCTCAGGGAGATTTGCCTGGCACCATCTTTCTGTTCTGTACCATTTTTATTTGTGTGTGCATGTGCTGCGTTGGAAACAAAAAAACAAAACCCTCTGCTGCTGATGTTGGCATCTGTCTGTTTTGAGAGACAATGGAATGCGTCTCCGAGGGTGAAGTCAAACAGCTGTGTTGTGGTTCGAGGACCTGATCCCCGCTTGGAGGAATAAAGACACGTGGACACAGTGTATAAGGTTAATGGGCAAGAAAAGTCCACAACTTTATTGCTTACAGCAAGTGAGAAGGTATTGGCTTAGGCATTGGACCACGGAAGATTGACTCCACCCACTCAGAGAGGGGTGAGTCTGAAGAGGGGTTAACCACCAGTAGGGGGTGCCTGTTGATGCAAATACAACTATAAGCTCTCCCCTGATGTCACCGAGGGTCGTGCCATGGCCTCCGCCACACAGGCATCGGACAGGATCCACGACCGCCGGATTCCTTTAACAGAATACCCAAATTTGAAGGGGTAGGCGATGGCCACACCTTGCCCTTCCACACACCAACAACACATTCCAGTGCCTAACTGCCAAATACCAAGAAAGTTGTGACGATTGCTACGAGGTAGGCGGAAAAAACCAAAAGGCCGGTGCCAATTTGCCAGTTGGAAAACATTCCTACCAGGCCCCCTGGGCAACCTGGGCGACCAACCATAGATCCATAGCAAGGTCAAGAGAAAAGCTAAGCCCTAAGGGACTGGTGGGTTGGGTGACTCGCGGAGAAAAGGTGAGGAAATGCGCAGAATGGCTAGCGCAGCTGCATCTTGAGCAGCAAATCACGCCCCCACCAAGCCGCCCGGTTGGGTGCTCAACCGGGGGCCTGGCGCGCCAGACAGGTGAGAGGGGCAGGGGGCATAACGCCCCCTGCGTGACTCTGGAACCGTGTCCCACCCACAACACCTCCCCTCCGGAAGGAGGAGAGGCCTTAGCATCACCAAAGCCTGGGCAATATGTCTGGAAGTCCAGGGCTGCCCAGATGACAAGACCTCTCTCTCAGCTTTGCTGATGTGGTCCAAAGGAAAGCAGAGCAAGACGTTCAGGCCCAGCTTGCCTGCAGGAGTAGCTGGAAGGAGGTGCAGAAGCTCTGCTGTGTACCATCTGTTTACCCCTAGGAAAGGTGCTTATGAGATTTTCTGCCTCAGGTGCCCAAGTAACTTGGTGAGCCTTGACTTCTCTCTGTGTGTGTTTGGATTTGCTGCTCCTTCTCAGGCAGTAAAAATGTCTTGGACAGCCCAAGGACTTCTGAGCACGATCTTAGAAGCTGGGAAGGTTCATAAGGGAACAGGTGGTTCAGTTCCTCTGGTCCCAAGCCATTTTAAGTTTCAAGCGAATATTTCAACAGCATTCTTGGAATACTGCCATGGAAGGCAAAGGTGGAATTTTAATTTCTAAAAAAGAAAGGTGCAACGCCGCAGTCTTCTGCTATAATTCGAAGTATTAAGAGGCAACATGGGGTGAGAGTGAGTTATTCAGTCAGTCTGTTCTCTGAGATATCCTTTACTATTCTCATCTTTATTTAAAAAAGGAAAAAGGGAGGGCTATGGTAAAACAGACCAGAGGATGCTACTTGGTTAAAGGAATAAGAGGTGGGGGTAATGTTACAAGACCTGCTAAAAGGCTACAGCACTGATATTTCCATACCTGTTATATATATATATATATATATATATATATATATATATATATATATATTAGAAAGAGGCTGAGCTGGCTGAAGAAACTTGCTCTGAAAGATTGGAGGTGACTATGAGGAAAGGAGAGGAAAAAATGCTGTATTTTTCGTTCCATAAGACACACCTGACCATAAGACGCACCTAGTTTTTAGAGGAAGAAAACAAGAAAAAAAATATTCTGAATGAAACAGTGGATGTATGATTTTTGTGGTTCATGCTATAGCTATGGACATGCTATGTGATCTGATGGTGAATTTGGGGTGACCCAATGCAAAAATCCTGAGGATCCATGTGGATCCGTGCTTTGTAACCACATTTTTGCACCATTGCGGCGCCACGAAACAGTGGATGCGTGGTTTTTTGGTGCAGGCTGTAGCCATGGACATGCTATGTGATCTGATGGTGAATTTGGGGTGACCCAATGCAAAAATCCTGAGGATCCATGGGCTTTTACCTCCCCCCTCCCAGGCAGTCTCTTTTATCACTAGCGTCCCTTATCTCCCTCCCCGATCACTTGCCAATCAGCTGCTTCCTTTCAACACTCCCTTCCCTCTCGTTTGTCTTAGTGTCTTTTCCTTAGCTGGAGCAGTTTTTTTGCTCCTCCTTTTCTTCTAATTTCTCTCCTCATTGCTTTAGCCTTCCTGTCTCCTCTCCTTGCAAGTTCGCTGTCTTTACCTCCTCCATCCCAAGCAGCCTCCTTTATTGCTAGTGTCCCTTATCTCCCTCCCCGATCACTTGCCGATCAGCGGCTTTGTTTCAAACACCCACTTCCCTCTTTCAAAGGAAGAAGAAGCATGATCTGCTTTTCACCCCTGGGCAATTCGGCTCCAGGGACCACGCATTCGCTCCATAAGACGCGCAGACATTTCCCCTTACTTTTTAGGAAGAAAAAAATGCATCTTATGGAGCGAAAAATACGGCACTTTGAGAACCAACTCTAGAATTCTGTGTACTAGCTCTAAGTGGCAAAGAAGGATGTTCAAAAGGACCAGAGACATAGCAAAGGAGATCTGGAGGCAAACCTCCTCTCCTATTGTATGGCTTGGCTTCCTCTTGCTGGGTCACTGCAACGCTTGCTTGGCTTCAGTTCACCCTTAAATAATCTAGGAACCTTCGGTTGGACAGTGTTTCATTAAACTTTAGCCTCACGCAAACTGTCTTTTCGGGCCCTGCAGCATTCCAGGACAACAATATAATCATATGTAATTACTGCAGCATATTTTAGCTGCTAGTAACACAACTGGGAGGTTTGAATCCTGCAGAACATCATAAACTTGTCAAGTTTTTTTTTTAAAGAATAATCTACTGTATGCTCGTTTAGAAATAAATCTCTGTGCACTTAACGCAACTTCCAGTGGTGTAACTTGCAAGTACCCAAACCATTTCATCAATGAAATATGACTTGCATATTCTAGCATATGACTGTTAGGAACATAAATATAAATGGGTATAATTTGCCTTCTCTCTATGCAATAATTATTCATTTTTTTCTTCCTTTTCAGACACAAACGGTGACACAAAGGTCACTAGGGCTCCCTATTGCGATAATGACTAGTTGTGTGGATGCCTTGACATGTCAGAGATGAGTGATGAGGTGGTTTGCTGTGTCACAAAAATCTGGTCTGAGTCAAATGACTGGATAGCCACGTTCTCCCCCTGTGTCTTTAGTGTCAAAGCATTTATATGACAAATCAGCAAACCAAAAGCATATTGCTCCAAGATAATATAACTGTTTAAGTGTCTGCTTCAGTAATACACATCTGGACACACAGTTCCCACACAGTTTAATACTTTAATTAAAGGAAATTTGTGCAACGGTCATTCAAGGGCATCTTGGAAACCCCTTAATAATACCTCCAGAGTGGATAATCTAGAATTGATTCAACCTCAGCAGTGAGGTCACTGTGTGGCTATTAAACTTTAGCAAACAGAGCTATTTTTTTTTATTAGCTCTTTCCAAAGAGACATTTGTCAAGAGTCAAAGCAATGAACAATTTTCAGGGGAGACTTTAAAATGGCAAACTGGAAGGGCTTTCAGCTAGGGCTAAATATATTCTCTATCTCTGGGGTTGCCAATCAGACACCTGTGGGCTCTGTTGTGCCCTTGAGAATGTTCCCTCGTGCCAGCGAAGCTTCTGGTTCCTCATCCCCAACCCTTTCCTTCTGAAATGGAGAAAGTAAGGTCCCATTATTGTCAACCCACAGGGCCTTTTTTCCTTCTTGAAAAGTACACTGAGCTCAAGGAGCTCTTTCATCTCTCTGTGCCTTGGCAAGTACGGAGCAATGCAAAGGGGGAAAACAGAGTGATCTGGAAGTCTGGGCTGGGGAATGGAGGGGCAGGGGAAGGAGGCAGGCGACAAAAGTGGGGCACTGCACAAGTTAGGCTGAATAAAGGATGGTGTGCACAGGACAGAAAGGCCATGTGCTGTGTGCACATGCATGTCAATTCCAGCCAATCGGTCCCTCTTGCAATTTTTCAATTTTTCATGGGTTTCCCCTCAAAATCATGGCCCTCAAATTGCAGGTTGCATCTGTGTCCCTTGAATGAACCACAGATATGGATCCAGCCCTTTCCAGGCCTCCTTTAGTGCAAAAGCATGGATCCAAGTCACTGGTCCTTGCAGGTCTTCACACTTTTTATAAGAGATTGAACCCCTCAAAACCACTATCAGATCATCGTTATCTCTGTTTTCACAGATGTGTTCTTTGATTTGCTGGTGGTTTTGTGGTCCTCTTATGTAAAGTTCAGTGCCTTGAATGAATATTTTTATGGTGCTGGCAGGCTCCGAATCTGTGGGTTTTTTTACTGTATAGTTTACAAGCTTTAACTGGATTGTTTGTTTCTGAAGGGGACTCCATGTATAATCACGGAAATTTATGAAGATCTGATTAATTCTACTGGATCAAACTTTTACCCCAGTGAACTATTTCGTGTGTGTGTGTGTGTGTGTGATGTTTTCTTTCTAACTTTTGAGGAAGGATGAGGGAAGCAATCAGAGGAGACAGGGCCCACAGCACACACTCAAGATTTCAAGTGTGTCCACAGGCCCCCAAAATGTTGGCATCTCCATGCGTTTCAAATCTTAATAAAATATCTCCTCTGTTCTGGACCTCTGTTCTGGTTGACAATCAAGGGATCTTACATCTTTATTGTTGTATCTTATTGAGGGCGGCTTTTGTGCAGTTCACCTGTTCTAAACTACTTTGGGAAGTAACCATCCTGAAAAGCAGTACAGATGTCTTTGAAATAAATATATCGCAGCTGAGGTGACAAGGGAGATGGTCACCTAAAGATGGGAAAGATAACTTTCATAAGGAAGACAGGGCTGAGAAACCAGAGAACATGAAGCAAAACGTTGTCATTCAAGAATGTTTCTGCCCATTCTTGTGGAATGTAGCTGATAGAAATAGCTTGAGGAGTTCTCCCTGTATGTAAATCAGTATTATTACAGGAAGGACTAATAAGCTCGGAAATAGCCTCCTTCCCATTTAATTTTAGAAATAGCCACGGCTAACTTTTCCTGTTGACTACTGATAAGAATGTGAACACAAGGTAAAAGCAGTGTATCCAGAACCAATGACAAGAGACTCAGAGGACCTTCGGCATAGTTATTTGGGTATCTAATCTAGTATAGCTTTACCCTATATCTCTGATACATCTCTTCCCCCCACAAAATATGTTCAAAAATGACAATTCAAGAGGAATGCAACCAAGATTATGTTTCTGCTTATATCGAGGACTCACTAACATTACTTCTTTTAAGGCATACTTTCCATTCTTCAAGCAGAGGGGGAAATCTGAAATCCATAGCATGAAACTAAGCAGCTCTTTAAATCCTGACTATAATGTGTTGGGAGCAATCAGCACATCTGGAGCAATTCACATGTGTGGTTTACCGATCACTAGATAATTATCAGGTTCACTGGGTGATGGGAGAGATGGTCAGTGGCCCTAGTCCACCAAGCACCAGAGTCCTACCCATAATCATGCTAACTCCTCTTTTAAAACTTTTGATCTCGAACTGCGCTGGCTGCTACGATCACTGAGAAATAATCACCCGAGAGTACCTTTTAGGCTTCACCTTTGTTCAGCTGATGAAATACTGATTCAAACATTACATCGCTTTGGCAGCCTGCAGCGCAGGGCCTCGATTCAAGTCCACCTGGAGACGGTAGGTAGACACTGTATGTCATGTGCAGGGTTCATCTGAGGTTTCAGCACATGTGGACATTGTGCATCTAACTTCATGGGAGACTGTGGCGAAACAGCCTGGTCAGGATACATTTTTATAAAATGTCTCCAGTCTGCCCTTTCCCATGGTTTTTGATTTTTTTTTTAAAAAAAGACTAATAATATTAATTTGGCATCACAGAGTCTCACTGACCACGCTTGCTGTTCTAAGAACTCTGTTGTTTTGTAACCCCTTTTGGCAAACAGGAGGCAGCTTTTGTGCAGCCTGAACTTTGCGCTTGTTAAGTGATTTTTGCCGCTCTCTCCTCTCTCTCCAAAGGGTCACTTCTCCAAAGCTGTCAGAGCAAAGATCCACAGCATGCGATTGGATTTCCCTTTTGGTTCTTCACTCGGGTATTGGATGGCTACTTATGAAGTCAGATGGCCTCAGTTCCACACTATTTGTTTTGCGAGGCAATGAACCCGGCATCAGTTGAAACTCCTCTCTGCATCTTCACTGGGCCCCTTAACAGGATCACGTACATTCCAAAAATACAATACCCTCTGTCCTATAGATGCTGCTCTGTGAAAAGTTCTATATCCTGCACAACTGTGACAGCTAGGTGTTCGAGATGATCTCCTTCTCTTTTCCCTCCCACTCTTTTCACTTTAATTTGTATACTGCCTTTCTATATTGCTGCACTAAAAGCGCTTTACAAGCCGTGGAAACAACAAAATATATAGCAAAAGTCACACATCCTATAACAGTCTGATCCGATGCCAATAAGTCATCATTGAGATAAACAAGTTATATCAAATAAAGTAATGCTCAATTATGCATTTAGAATAATAGCCTGGATAGCTCAGTTGGGATATCATCTCATGTAAAATTCACTCTCAAAATAATAAGGAGACAAAAATTCACTCTCTACAATTACAGGTGTCCCCGTTCCCCCCACTTACACACCACTGACTTGCACTCAAATGTGTATTTGTGCAGTGCCGGGAAATAAATAATTAGATTCAAACCTGGAAATGTTAGGAGAGCTGGAGTGTCCTTGTGGCTCACGAGGAGACCCTTCCCAGAGCCCAAAGAGGATGTCAGTGAGGGTGGTGGAAGCCCCACAGAGACCGGAGGCACAGTCTTTGTTTAGGCTGCTCAGCCTCCCCGCCTACCAGCTGATGTGCACAGAGTCACATCAGCAGCATCAGCCACATTTCTGCACATCCTCCAGCCTCAAGCCATCCTCAGGGCTTCAATTCTTGGTGTGCATATTTTGAATACAGTATTTTTGGACTGGATTGGAGAGAGAGCAGTAGAGAGGGTGTTCAAAGAGTGTTTAGAGGGGGCTCCCAATTTATGCAGTCTTTGCTTCTGTGTGCGGGGGCCTGGAATATAACCCCCGCATAAGGGGGTGGGAATGCATGTACAGTAAATAACAGAGAGGTCATAAAATGCAACGAAACCATGTAAAAAGAGTGAATTGAGCAATAAAGTCAGATATACAATTAACAAATGCAGTAACATAACTGGTCCACTGGTCCAGTATCTAATCCACAAGATTATTTTCGGCTACATACAAATGGATTCCTGGAAGATGCCGGAGCCATCCACAGATCCCAGCCATTACCACCACCTCCTCTTGTCCAAGGGATCTGGACTGAGCTTTGTATTTGCACTAGAGTTGCCATCAGTGATAGCAGTTCCAGGCAGTGGTAGACCCTGAGACAGTTTACACCAGTTCAGGTTAGGAAGGATAACTCCGATTTTTAGGTACAGCTTTATTCCCTATTCCTTGATACTCAATGGAACCCAAGCCTAATTATTTGTTGGAAGTACTGGGATTCCCCCCCCCCAAACAAACAAACAAACAAACAACTAGCTGTCTTTTGGAAGCCAATGTGAAGCCATAATGGGTTAATAGCCATTCATTCATTCATTAATAAAATTTATGTCCCACTTCATCCCAAAGGAAAATTGGAAGCTACCTTATGTTGAGTCAGACCATTAGTCCCTCTAGCTCAGGGAGGTGGCCAGATGAAAAGGAGGATCGAACTCCTGGACCTTTAATAATTGTGCAGAAGAGAGAAATTCAACTTAGCGTGCAACCTTGAACATGCTGAAATACCCCAAGGTGCAGCGCAGCAGCAGCAGCAGCCCTGCTGTCCTTTGCATCCAGCTATCCCATCCTCGGTGAATATTGTGTTTTGGCTTTACCTCACCATCCGGTTGGCATTGCGAAAGGGAATTAGCTTAGTCGAATCATAAATCTAAAAGAAAGACATCAGAGCAGGGCTGGGGAAACCTTAGGCTTTCCAATATTACTGAACCACAACTCCCAGCATTCCTGTCCATTAGCCGTATTTGCTGAGGCTGATGAGAGTTGTAGTTAAACAACATGGGGCAGGGCCAATGTTACACCGTGCTCTGTCTGCTTGATTTATTGTTTAAAACAGTTAATGCCCTGTCCTTCAAGGGGAAAAAAGAAAGGCAAACTTCCAACACAATACAACAAAATACAATAAAAGTAGTACTGAGCGTAAGTTACGATAGCACAATCCAGTGGGTTGTCTTAATGGCTAATGCTATTGCAGAATTACCATATTTTTTGCTCTATAAGACTCACTTTTTCCCTCCTAAAAAGTAAGGGGAAATGTGTGTGTGCCTTATGGAGCGAATACAGGCTGCGCAGCTATCCCAGAAGCCAGAACAGCAAGAGGGATCGCTGCTTTCGCTGCGCAGCGATCCCTCTTGCTGTTCTGGCTTCTGGGATTCAGATTTTTTCCCCTTGTTTTCCTCCTCCAAAAACTAGGTGCATCTTATGGTCTGGTGCGTCTTATAGAGCAAAAAATACAGTAATTAACGCCCCCATGCACCCTCTGCTGCTTCATACTTCATTTATAGGATTTGCCTCTGAGCATAAATTACAAATCCTAGATACCACCCACGGGTAAGCGTCGGCCTGTACTGTATACACATCAGCACAATTTCATGTTTTAACAGTAAACTGGAGTCCCTGCCACATGATTTTGGACTTTGTTTCCCTATTTAATCCCTGCAAACAGTATAAATCCAGATTTTTATAATAATGGGTTTTATAATATTTATAAAAGTACAACAACAACAATATGCATTATAATCTTTGCTCTAGTATTACAGAGCTGGTGGAGCTAATTTGAGAATGTGTACACACCATACATTAAAAGCATTATCGCTTCTCCCCTGTAAGAATCCTGGGAACTGTAGATTACCCTTCTACCGCATAGCTACAATTTGTAGCACCCTTTACAAACGGCAATTCCCAGGATTCTTTGGGAGAAATGTGCTTTTAATGCCTGTTTTTCCTGCAGCAGACATGCTCAGCTACCCCTCTGGAAGCTCAATCCCACAGAAAGCTGTGACGGCCACCAACTTGGATGCAGGAAAGGCTATCAATGGCCACTAGGCACGATGGCTATGCTCTACCTCCACAGTCAGTGGCAGTAACGTTTGTGAATAGTAGTTGCTGGAAGATGCAGGAAGGGAATACAGAATGCTCTTGTTTCCACAGGCCTCTGTGAGAACAGGATGCTGGACTAGACAGGCCAATGTGGCCTCATCCGGCAGGCACTTCTTATGTCCTTCCGTGGTTCAAGGGTAGAGATTGTGAGAAGGCATCTTCCAAAGCAATCCCACCCCGCAAATAGCTTTGGAGCCTTCTTGCCTCTAGCCTAGCCCTCACCCCTTTTCCTGTTCCCGCTGGAGTCTTCTTTTGCTTGCCACGCCTGCGGGCTCTCTTCCGGCCAACGCTGCCAATGACAGATCTTAAAAACTTGGGGTCGGTGAGATTTGGCAATCGCAGCACCTTGCGCCTGCTGGACCTCCTGAGCGGAGCGGGTTGTGTCTTGCTCCTCGTGAAGTAGGGTGAAATGTGAGGAGTGTTGCAAGCCGGTGCAGAGGCAGAAGGTCTGGCCGAGATGGTAGAGCACGGCTTCTCTGTCAGGGGCTTCTTCCTAACCCAGTGGAACGCCAGTATCATACACCTCTTAGATGGGTTGGACATGCTGAAGAAGGTGCTGGAGGCCCAAAGACCAGGGTGACTTCAAAGCGGAGGACGCAGCAGGCAGTTCCCTATCAATGGTGCCAAATCCAAGCAAATGTTAACTCCAATCCTGTTAAATCGATCCAGCAATTATGAACGTTAAGTAAGGGATTAATTCCTCAGGCAGTATGAAAAGACTTTTTGTGGCTTTTTAATAGATGGGAGCCCCCAACTACTGCCACTATTGACAGTCTGTTGCCCCTTCACTCTGCTTGAATGGGTTATGTCACAATGGTTCCTTCATCAGGTGCTTGTGAGCATGAAAATGCTGTTGGGAGTTTCAGCAATGAAGGCTCAGGCATAACATACTGTTTGAAAGTCTGAACATTTCCTCTTTTTTTATTTAACAAAATTTATATACCACTTTTATAATTTATATACAAATTATTAGGAGAGTAAGTTAAAAATATACTGTAGTTTATTCACTTATAGGCTAGTTTACATACTTTATTCCTTCTTATACTTCTACCCCACCTTTCCCCCACAGAGCATACACACTTCAGCCTCTGCCTTCTCCATTTTATCCTGACAGCAATATTGTGAGCTAGGGCCATAGCTCAGTGGTAGAACAACTGCTTAGCATGCAGAAGGCATCAGGTTCAGTCCCCAGCATCTCCTGGTGGGACTGGGAGAGATCCTCTGGGCTGTTGGGTGGTGGCCAGGTGCCTTCCCAGCTCAATCAAGGTCATGGGGTGTGTGTTTTGGCTCCTCTGATAGACGCACCAGGCACCCCCGATTCCTCTCTGCTGGCGGTGCTGGTGGCAGCAGTCCTGGGAGCCCGGGAGTCAGCCAGACAGAGCCGTTTACTCTGGCTGGCTTCAGGAGCTGTTTTGTGCCGTTGCAGCCACCATGATGCCTCCATAAAAATCGTTTTTTTAAAACAACAACAGCACCACAATTCCTGGTGGAAAGTATTGTACAGGACACCATTTGCAACTAAAAAAGACATAAAATAGAGTAGTGAAGAATAATTGTGAATTCTACTGAACATTCTTAACCATATCTGTTAAGAAATATATATCGGTTAAAAGGTAAAGGGACCCCTGACCATTAGGTCCATTCGTGGCCGACTCTGGGATTGCGGTGCTCATCTCGCTTTATTGGCCGAAGGAGCCGGCGTACAGCTTCCGGGTCCTGTGGCCAGCATGACTAAGCCACTTCTGGCGAACCAGAGCAGCGCACGGAAACGCTGTTTACCTTCCCGCTGGAGCGGTACCTATTTATCTACTTGCACTTTGACGTGCTTTCGAACTGCTGTCGGTTACTGAGGCTTAAATGTTTCATTTATTGAATTGCTGAGGTTTCTGGTGAAAAGATAGCAATGCCATTTATTTTCTTTAAACACAGGACTCTGTTGATGATGGCTATATGACTAAAACACACTTTCAAGTGAAGGGTGGAAGTGTCACAGGAGACATAGAGGATATGGGTAGTGAGTGTGATGAAATAACCTTTGCACATATTGGGGTAAGTACAACCTACAAAATTAGACAATAGGTACCTATTTTATTGAAAACAGTTTGATATTTTGCTGTTGAGCTCTGCGACAGTTCAGCAACTGCATTATCAGCAAATTGCATAATCTTTGTTGAAGTATATTTGCACTTTGAAGAGAGTCTAGAACTAGTTACACAAGAAGAGATATACACACATTGGAAGGGTTGCTGTTTATATCTGATAAGTCAGGTTCACGGCTAGTTCTGAAAAGTGAGTTGCTTCTGTTCTGCTTCTTGGTGGTCCTGTGTACTTGTGTGTGCTTACAGTTAAGTGTAACCTGCAGCTTTGTGCTAGCCTGCACAATTCAAGTAGATGTTGATTCTCAAGAAGGTGGTGGGAAGTACAGCAGCAGCCTGTGGGGTGGGGTAGAGCTTAGAGCTGCCCTCTTGACTGCTGCTGCCACTCCCCTCCACCCCAGCCCTATTAAAGTAAGCTGCAGTGACAGTCAGGGTGGATTTGATTTAAATCAAATCGATTTAAATCACTACTCAGTAAGACTTGATTTAAATCACTAGTCAGTAAGATTTGATTTAAATCATTTTTTTTGCAGAAAGATTCATTCTTGCTGGTATAATCTTAATATTTACAACCAGATGAAGGTTTCATTTTTGGAATAATAAATTTTCAGAGTACCGAATTTTTCGCTCCATAAGACGCACTTTTCCCCTCTTAAAATCTAAGGGGAAATGTCTGTGCGTCTTATGGAGCAAATGTATGGTCCATGGGGCTGGGGAGGGGGGAACCCGGGCTTTCCCCGCCGGCCCCGACCTGCTCTTTGAGGCTGGCAGTGCGCTCCCCCCCCACACCGCCAGCCCCACAAGCTGGGGAGCAGCGGGAAGGCTGTGCGCAGCCTTTCCACTGCTCCCTGACCTGCTCTTTGGGGCTGGCGGGCTTCCCCTTGCCAGCCCCAAAGAGCAGGTTGAAAGGAACCCGAAGCCTCCGGAGCACAGCAGGAACTCCCGCTGTGCTCCGGAGGCTTCGGGTTGCCTTCACTGAAGGCGACTGAACGCACCTTGAACACAAATGGAAGGGGCTTCGTTTCTCCTGCTGCTCCGCTGAAGGGGCGCTGCACAGAGAGGGGGAGATTTTTTTTTCTTGTTCTCCCCCTCTAAAATAAGGTGCGTCCTATGGTTGGGTGCGTCCTATAGAGTGAAAAATACGACACATAGGCTGAAGGCACCTAATGCAGCTAAACAGGACTAGTTCTGTTCTGATGGGATACCACTAAGGGAAACTGTCTTGAGTTCCTTATGGGAAAAGCAGGATGCAAATGGAATTAATATCCATTATCAAGCACCTGGGTCTGCCCAGTGCTGAAGACAGGAACTGAACTCCTTTTCACACCTGCCTGGGGGACTTATGTTCAAGTAAGCATGCCCTGGATTGGTATCGGAACTAAGGCTGGTCTGCTTATGCATCAAAAACCAAAGATGAATGCTAAAGTGACGCTCATAAACTTTGTTAAGTACATCATAAAAAATCAGAAGCCAATTATAGAACGACATCGAGTGAACATGTTTGCTATTCCTGCTATTAGCAGGAGAGTATCAGTTGCACATGCTCCCTGCGCCTCCATCCAGGCAAAAGTGAATCCCCAGATACACATTTGTTCCAGTTGAAATTGGAGAGGCGGCTGGGATTCCACCAGCATCACATTTCTCTTTGGCTCAAGAACCAGAGCATGTGCCCGTCTCAGATCAGAACTCTTGGGATATTTGGCAGGAAATCCTATCAAGTTCACAAGGTTGGTGTTTTTGTTTTTTAAATCTTTACTGGTTTAAACTCTCTGACTCCTGAATTACCGGGGGGAGGAATCCATAATTTCATTTTGAAAACAGAACTGGATTATCGGGAAGCCATTATGGAGTGTTTTTGCTCATTTCTCATGTAGCCCACGGCTAGGAGCCTAGTCTCCTTAGATCACAAACAGAATAATGCTTCAAGCAGAATGAAGAGCCGCTTGCCTACAAATACCGTTTCCCAAAATGATTGACAGCCGAGGGAACATTGCCACTCCTCAGAATTAAAACTGGAAATCTGAGCGACGTGTAAAAGACTTAGCTTTAGAGTGCAGTGAGAGTCAAAAACACTCGCCAAAGGAGCAAAGGCTCTGTGTCTCTGTGCAAGTTGCTGCTCTGGGTGTGCCTTCTCATTGGGAAAAGGCGAGTCCATAGCAGTGGCTTCTGACAGGCTGCAACTGGAAGACTCCTCTGACAGAAGGGAATTCAAGTGATGAAATGTTCCAATCACATCTGATGGACAAGATGAGGCAGTGACAACGGCCCCTGCTCAAGGCTGATAGGAAAGCGGCAACGTCAGAGCAGTGAAACACGGGAGGGAGCTGGATTTGCTTATTTAGGGAATTTATATAGTGTGACAATGCCACCGCGATCTCCAAACAGTGCAAGATTCCAGGGGTCAAGGCACTAGCCCAGGGTTTGTGTTTCCTTTTGTTAATGAGGCCCAGCGAAGATTGCAGTGTCTTTATGATATATGGTTTATTTACACGTACCTACAACCTGAGCCTATGATGCAGAGGTTCAAAGCATTAATACTCCGAAAGGTTCTCCCATAGCTGTAGCCTTGGGCTCAGACAGACCCCAGCCATGTCTCTGACTCTCTGCATTTAACAGACTGAAACCTCTTTCCCCTAGGTTACATCACCACCACTGCAATACTAAACTGTGTTGCGCCCGGCACACCATATCTGCTTTCTTACTGGCTCGTCACCTTGCCTTTGTTAAGTTAATGACTCATACTCATTATCAGGCTGGCCTGGATCCAAGGATTGAGGGGGCTGAATTAAATTCTAATCCTATACTGCAGTGGATTTTCCCCACCGACGCCCATGTTGGGCTAAAGATTCCTGTGTTGCTGGGGGGGGGGGGTTGGGCTAAATGACCCTCATGGCCCCTTCCAGCTCTACAGTTCTATGATCCTAACCTCACAGTGGCCAAAGACTCCTGAGAACTTAGGAACCCAGATAGACAGCCTCTGGACCTGGAGGTTCCACAAGGACACCGGGAAAGCCTGGCTGCTGGATCAAGCCAAAGGGGGCCCCATCTAGTCCTGGTAGCTCAGTTGGTAGAGCAGGAGTCTTTTAATCTCAGGGTTGTGGGTTCAAGCCCCAAGTTGGGCAAAATATTCCTGCATTGCCAGGGTTTAGACTAGATTAACCTTGTGGTCCCTTCCAACTCTGCAATTCTGTGTTATTCTGTGATTCTAGGTTGGCTGTAAGAATGAACATTTTGGCATTTAAAGGCATATTTAAAAAATCAAGTTTAACACCACACTGACTCTTGCCAACATGAGGAGAATGTGGAGGAGGGTTGAAAAACAAAGAGCAATTGTAGGAGCCTGGAAGTTAAGGCATATGCAAGCACAATATGTGAGAATGTAGAATGCATTTACTGCTTACATTACACAGAAGTGAATGTGGATGTATTGTATGGCATGCATTCTCGGGGTCAGGGGATGAACAAAGACTAAAACAGCTGTGCAAAGTGAGTGATGTCAGACCCAGCCCTCTGAACTGGGCCGAGACCTGAGATTTTGCCTCCAGGACACCCTGCGAGGGTTTCCCACCCCCAGGTTCGAGATCCTGTCCAATGCCATTTCTGCCCAAGTTCTGACACTATAGCCAATGCCTCACAGCAAAGGCATCCCATTGAGGGAAAGGCATAAACCTCCCAACTTGGAGTCAACTGTGATTGGCAGGCCAATTCGTTTCTGGCCTGGTGAACCAGCAACCGCAAAAGACTCATTGAATGAAAGTGAGGAGAGAAGGTGCAGAAAGGCCCAGTCACATGGGCAACCATTTCTTGTATGGCCGCTTCTGCCATGCCTCCACAACTTTCATGAGACCACAGGCTTCTATCCACTTCCGTGGGGAAAACAGGCGTAGTCCTACAGACTACAGAAATTATTCTTCCTTTGTATTCTGTGACTATGCTTACAGTCATTTGACAATGCCCTCATCACTACAGAATCGACATCTGTAATATGAAGGCACTTACAGAAAGGTTCTCTGAGGCTCCCACCTGTTTGTGAAGCTCTCTTCCTCTGGAGATTTGCCAAAGTCTGAAGCTCTTGGAAGCACTTTAAGTTGGCATTGCACAGCCTGGGTTAAGCTGGCACAGGAGCAATTTTAATTTAACATAATACTTTAATATTTAATATTTTAATGGGCATCTCCATTTTATTGAACAGATAGCATTGTTACTTGCCCCAAGCCATCCAGATGAGTTGCGTTTTTATCTATTGTTGTTGTTGTTTAGTTGTTTAGTCATGCCTGACTCTTCGTGACCCCATGGACCAGAGCATGCCAGGCACTCCTGTCTTCCATTGCTTCCTGCATTTTATCTATCTGTACATATAATAAAAATGTAAGTGTTATCATGCTGCAGTTTGCTTAGCCACAGACAGGTGGCACTGAAAACTACGGTGTGCTGAGAGACAGTGAATGGGTGGCCCAGGTGAGCTACAGAGGGCCTGCCACAACAGACGACGGCAGCCCTCAGCTCAACTGGCTCCTTCACCTGACATCCTTGGGGTCCCTCCCCATAGGATCTAGCCACCTGCCCGGCCAGCTCCACTACTGGCTGCCTTCCTCCTTCCAGGCTGATTGAAGATCAATGGTTGCCACCCCTACATTTTCCTGGGACTCCTGGATTTACAGGGCTGCCTTCAGATGGCTTGGGGGTCGGATAATTGCATACCCTCCAACATTTCTCTGATGAAAGCAGGGACATCCTAAGGAAAAGTGGGACATTCCAAGATCAAATCAGAAACTGGGATGGCTTCTGTAAATCTGGGACTGTCCCTGGAAAATAGGGACTCTTGGAAGGTCTGTATTGTCACAGTAACATAATAGTGTTTACAGGTTTTGTAGTACTTTAAAATTCTGCAAAACCTGCCAGCCCAGTGTGACAACTGGATACACAAACCCCCCTTGTGTGTATACATCATGACACCGACATGTGTCAATCGTGAGGCCTCAGTTAACAGCAGACTGTCTCCCATTTGGATTCCTGTGAATGAGCAGAAGTCAGGAGGTCACAGCTATGAAGATTGCCAAATTCACATTTATTTCTCCAGACCTTAATGAAGCAATCCACTGATACTCTTGCAGTGCAGCAAATGATGTGCACTTGCCTCTCCATCTGAAACCAAGTCAATGATTGATGGTCGAAGAGAGAAACCAGGCCAGAAAATTGGCAAGCTCCCCTACTGGATATGCTTTGATTCAGCACAGCCAGCAGAATACAATCTTAGCTTGATCATTCCAGTGCTGAGCAAGTTATGTCTCTGAACCAGGGGATCAAGGGTCACTGCACAGTACAAATAAAACCAGAGCATATTTCTGTATGCCTGTGGAAGGACAGCAAACTTTCTACCACTTAGAATGTGTTTGACACTTTGCAGAAAAAAATAAATGAGGGTCGGAAGCCTGATGCATAAGGTAACAGCCATGTTGCAGTGTAGTCATGGTGCATGCTGAATTCGTGGTCAAGTGATCATAGAATTGTAGAATTGGAAGGTGCGGGTTTGGACTAGATGACCTTTGGGATGCTCCCAATTCTCCAATTCTATGATTCGAAGATGCACAGCATTCTTGAAGGGTGGCTGCCTGGCCTCTGCTCAAATACCTCCCACCTGAAGTGACTTCTCCTGCAGGGCCGTCTTATCCATAGGCACTAGGGGTGCAGGGCACCTGGGTGCTGGGCTCTCAGGGGTGCCAGGCCCAGAGTTCAGGGCCCAAGAGTTGAATCTGGGGAAGAGCCAGCCCACTGGTCAGAATGCTGTGGCGGGCGGCTCTGCTGCGGGCGGCTCTGCGCCGCGAGTTCGGGGGTGACCAATCCAGCAAGACACTGAGGTGGCAGGCTGGCTCCACCCTCCTGTGTGACTGGGAAGCCGGGGGGGGACCGCCAGGCAGATCTTTGCACCCCGGCGTCGCATATGCTTAAGACAGCCCTGTTCTCCTGCTTCAACTTATCATCACTTGGCTGCGATCTTTGCCCACGGAGAACTATGCCAAAGTCAAGTTTCTCTATTTGCAGCGAACTCTACGGTAACATGGCAGCTGTGGTTTGAATGGGCTGCTGCTCTGTGAAGTTGGTGAACTCATTGCGCAAAGCAGTCAGCTAAAATGTGTATGACACACACCCAAAGACCAGGAAATTTCAGAGAGGCGAGACCCCGTGGGGGGGGGATGTGAGGCCTGTTACTTGGAGGCCTATGGTACTGAGGGGTAATTAAAAAAAGGTTATACATTGTGCCGGCCTTTGGGAATGTTATGAAACAAAGGACAACCCTTTAGCGTTATAGAAACTGAGTAGTCCTGGGTCACGGCACCTCTGTGCTGCTTGCTCTTTGTCAGGCTTAATCATTGTGTTAAATAAGCTACGGTAAAAGACCTATAACAATTGTAGGGCTGGGGTGGTACAGAGAGTCTGACTCCTTCAATCATGAATTCTGGGGGAGTTGCCTGTTGGTCTGCCTGCTCAACAGCTTAGCATTTGGGGTGGCTCTTAGTCATCCCATGGGGAAAAGAAATTCTTAGACATACTGGAGCATATCTTCCCTGTCTACCTGAATCACAGGTAGATTTCCAGCCTTGCCCGATAGCTAAGAAAAAATGGTATGTAAGTATACATTTTATTTATACTTACTTTTATTTATTTATTTATTACTACATTTGCAGTACCACCCTTCATCAGAGGATCACGGGGTGGTTTTGTTAAGCGCAATTGGTTTAATTCACACAGAAATGGTGAATGCTTGTGTAGTGGTGAAAAAGGTTTAACATGGGGATTTTCCATGGGGATATACATGAGACCCTTTCTCATATATAGTGGGGAGGTGTGTGTGTGTGTGTGTGTGTGTGTGTGTAAAAATATGAGGGTCTCCGAGCTCTAGCTGAGTTGATATTTAACTGATTGCTGTTCTCTGCTAGGAAGCATATTTCCATAATTCACTTTATATTGATGGGCTGTCCTCTTCAGTGCCTGATACTGACTTTTTCTGGCCACCATTGCATAAGAAAATGCAATGCCATTCATGTAATCCCATCTCCCTTGCTCAAGGCAGCTCTTTTGCATTCCAACGGCTTTGCCGAATGTTTTTTTGACAGGTGCATGGTTCTCTGTAAAGCCTCAAGTGGGCATCCGCCTCAAGAAGCACACCGCAATTCCACATCCTGTTTGTTTTGCTCTGGGAAAATAATTATCCTATTTAATTGGGATTTTATTACGCTTTCAGAAAGGATAGGCGACACCAGCTACCCTTCTCCTCATGCACTGTATGAAATTCTACTCCCTTGGATTTGCTAAAAGCCGCAGCATTTGATATCTGTACTGTACAATCTGACCTTGAACTCGTCTTGATTTAACATAACTGGACACATGAGACATGTGTGAACTTTCAAGAATCTACAGTCACCCACACCTTCTTTTCCTCCTCAAGGTTCTTTTCCCATTTATCCTTATGTTTGTCCAGTAAACATCTCGATAGCAGCACACTGAACTGATGTCACGAGTCAAACTATTGCTGTATGAAATAACTTTCATCTTGGCAAAGGAATGCGGGTTTCAAAATTATCTTCTGAGCAAGCTGTTCTCCTGTTTGTGGCACACTGCCACACTGGTATATTAAAAACCAAGACAGAGGTCTAGGTACCAGTCGGGGGATAATATCTAGACCCTTGTTCTAGAAGAGAGAGTTAGATGTTGTATAAATAGTTCTATTTATGCCACACTTACTGCACTGACATCTTTGGATCGCAAGTTGCTGTTAAACCTTTAGCTCTTTCGAAGGGGAAAAGAAGCAAGATCTGGGGGAAATGGTTGGAGAGAACCTAAGAGAAAATTAATAAATTTCGGAAGAAATAAGAGGCATATTGGAAGCACTTTGGGGAGGGAATAATGGAATTGATGGCCACAAAATCCGGTGATTACCACTAACTAAGATTATTCTTAAACATAATAGACAAGCTAATGCAAGGGCCATGTATCAAACCTATTAAGCATAATAAATAAATGGAAACTCCATGATCAATGGCAGGATGCCAATGAATACCACTGGCTATTGCATTTTTGCCCTCCTTCTGGACTTTCATTAAACATGGTTCAAGGCCAGCCGCAATCAAAGCAACACCATTTAGGCATTAAGTTCGTAAAACGAAAGTCTGGATTCTGAATGCAACAAATAACTCGATTTTCAGTTGTGTTGTCAGTGAATGTGAAAATGAAATGGCATATGGAGTTCTTCCAGTGTTGCTTACCTTACCGGCATGCAATTCGGTCAGCTTTCATTTCTCGACTCACATGCGTATATGCGTGGAAGTAATTAAATAAATTGATTTAAACTGCAAAAAGGTGCAAAAACGGCCCCAAAACCGCAGGAACGGAGCAGTATGACCCCTCCATGGAGCTTGAAGATCAAGTGTGCAATTGCGGACATTGTGCGACCGTACAAGGAGAGATTTGACCAGTGGAAGAGACAACTGCGCCAGCTGTTCCTCTGCAAGACACCATCACCAGGAAGTGAATCTGAGTCACAGCCAGGCCCTTTGGGGTACTGATCTATCCCACTTGTCATTGTTTCCACCTGGTCCTCCAAGACGAGGAAGACTTTGGAGGGCCATTGGAGCCACCATTGCCACCATTCAAGTCAGTCTGGTAAGTGCCGCTGGTTTTTCAAAGGGATTTTCAGGGGTTTCCAGAGGTTCAGAGGGTGTTTACTGGTATTTTAGATGGTATTCCCCACTGTACCTGATTTCACATATACACACAGTACCCGGAACGTAAGCCCCGTGTAACTGGGGAGAAGCACATGGAATTTTATCTTTCTTTTGGTTTTACTGCTTCTGTAGGGTCAGAGCATCAGTCCAAGGCAAGCTGGGAGCCAGAAGAAAATGATATTGGATTCGCTTCAGGCACGAATTCATAGACGGCTGTAATATAAAGCCTGAGTGGGGTCAAGTGAGCAGTCAAAGACGGCCTAACTGCTCATGCTCAAAATATATTTGGGCTTTCTCATGCAGTTGCGTAGACAAGGCAGCCCCAGCGTGTTTGAATTTCATTCTTCTATTATCTTCTCGGGGGTGAAGACAAAGTTCACTTGTTGTATTTCCTACCACAGGACAAAAAGGCTTTTTGTGTTTATATTCTTTACTCATAAACCTCACACAACAGCATAGGTCAAATTCATATTTTCCCACACTCTACCTCTGTCACTGGCTTAATCTGAGTAATTGGAATGTACACGATTCAGGCAGGACTCCCATAGGAAAGGTTCAAATTCCTCTCTCCCACATGAACAATTTCCTACACTGAAAAAGAAATCCCATTAAAGCCTTCCCAGCATGTTGTTCCTGGAGACACCCCACCGCCAGGATACTCTAATGTTTCCATCTTCTTCGGAATCCTCAAAACATGTCCTTTGAACTTAGTGTCAATGAGGGCAAAAAGAATTATTTCAAAATAAATGGTCCAGGGGCTGGAACCTAACACTAAGAGAAGTTGTATTTCGAGTTTGGATAGCTGTAGGCCATTGAGGCACAACAGGTGCTGTTTTCTGTAAGTTCAAGTTCTTCATATTCTTCTTCTTTGGCAATCACTTGTAGCCAAGTAAGATTGTGTTTCATGAACACGGTCTTAACAGTGAGTCCGTAAGTGACTGTGGAGGCCAATTCTGGACCCACACGTCCTTCCACAGTGGGGACATAGGTTTCCGGGTGGGAGTTGATCACGGTGAGGGTTTGCCAAGAGTGCCTTCCTCTTAGCACGTTTCTCCCTTTTGTCCTGAGTTCAAGCATCTTCAAAGTCCATGACACCTTCCGTAAAGGCTGTCCTCCAATTGGAGCACTTGCAGGCCAGTGTTCCCCAATTGTTGGTATTTATACTACATTTTTAAAGATTTCCCTTGAGAGAGTCTTTAAACCTCTTTTGTTGACCACCAGCATTACACTTTCCATTTTTAAGTTTGGAATAGAGTACAGTGGTACCTCGGGTTATATACGCTTCAGGTTACATATGCGTCAGGTTACAGACTCCGCTAACCCAGAAATAGTACCTCGGGTTAAGAACTTTGCTTCAGGATGAGAACAGAAATTGTGCTCCGACAGCGCGACGGCAGCAGGAGACCCCCATTAGCTTAAGTGGTGCTTCAGGTTAAGAACAGTTTCAGGTTAAGAACAGACCTCCGGAACGAATTAAGTTCTTAACCTGAGGTACCACTGTAGTTGCTTTGGAAGGCAATACTCAGGCATCCGCACAACATGATGTTGATGTTGAAGAATCATTACTTCGACACTGGTGATCTTTGCTTCTTCCAGTTCACTGATATTAGTTCACCTGTCTTCCCAAGTGATGTGTAAAAATTTTCGGAGACACCTTTGATGGAATCTTCCAAGGAGTTGGAGATATGTGGTCCATGTTTCACAAGCATACAGTAAGCATACTGTATCCTTACCTTACCTTTCTGTAAGTACCAGCCCTACCATTAGGCAATGTGAAGCAGCCACCTCTGTGGCAAAGGCCAAGGATTCGGGAGCAGTGGTGAGGTGCTGGAGAACAGACTTATGAATTGCCAAGCAGCCTGATACGCTCCCTAAGCTAGCCTGCTGCCCTCCATTGTGATGGACTATGCTGGCCCATTGAAATAAGATCCAGCTGCCAGCCAGTTGGACTGGGGAAAGTTGCTTTCTTTTCCTTTGCCTTGGGCTGCAACATATGGTGTGTCCGTCCTGCTCTCTATCAATGGCTGGGCTTCCCGTGGTGATTTTACCTCACCGTAACACTCCTCACAGCTAATTCAAAGACGGTGAATGTTGACTTCAGCAAATGGCATGTCAGGCCGGTGGTATAAATGTCATGGGGAGCTGCTTCAGCCTTGAGCTGTTTTTTCAGGACTTCTAGACATCAGCTATATTAGGAGAAGGTATATGTTGCTATTACTGTTGCTGGCAAAGATAATCTGTGCAGAGGTTAGTATAGTAAGAGGCTATTTTGAAATCCAACCCAATATTCAGTTTGCGATTTGAGTGAAAAGGTGACTCCGCTCTTTCCACCGAGTATGGCTGTTTCTGCTTTCTTGTAAAAAAAAAAAAAAAATCCTCCTCAGCTTGCATTTGATGTTCTTTAGCTACATTTCAAAACGTATTTCACCTTGAATATTTTTGGCATTTTGGCAATGGATAGCCCTCCGGTTAAGGCTAAGCCAGTTGGCACCAACACGTCACTGTTAATTATGAATGATTATTATTATCTTAAACTTGGATGTGCTCATTTACTTTTATGCATTTAGTTAGCTGTGAAGATGTTGTCGATTGCATTTTTTTGCCTCATTGTTATTATATTTTTAATCTTTAAAAGTGAGATGTTTTGAATGCAAGGCATACATCCATAAAGTAAAATAAAAATGGATTATGTGAGAAACTGTCAGTCATGTGTCAGTCATGAAGCTACCATCAATCAATTTCACTAGGTAAATTTGAGAATTAGATAAGAAAGAGAAAAAGATCCATTAATAGTTTAGGTTGGGGTGATCAATCTGCCACCTTCCAAATGTTATGTTATGCTGCAACTCCCAAGTTGTCATGAACTGGCAGGAAGGGGAAGAGGATCCCAGTGAAGCGTTTAGCCACGATTGGTACACCAGGACAAGCTAAGATGGGGAAGAGGAGGTTGCGGACTTGGGAGGTACCCAAGGGACATCAGAGGATGCTGCAGGAACAAAAGAGAAGCAAGGCAGAGTGTCAGGTGTGCGTGCAGGAGCCAGTCCCTGTGACCAATAGGACTTTGCAAGACTGGGGCCTTCCTAAGTTTGTTCTGAAGAGGCAAGGTGTGGCCTCACAGGTGAGGTCGATTGGTAACTCACAGCACCTGGTGGTAAGAGCTGGGAAGGGATATAAGGTCAGCTTTCCCCTTCAGCTCTTTGCCACAGCAACACACTTCCTGCCTTGCTGCGTTTGGCTTCTTGCTTCCTGATCCTCGGACCCTTGGCTTCTTGACTCCAGGCTCTCTGACCCTCAGATTCTTGACTTCCTGACTCTTGGCTTCTGGACCCCCGCTCCTGCTCCCACCCCGCCATCTTGCCCCTGGTCCTGACGTCCCCTGCCGGGACTTTGATCACCCATGAACCAGACCATGACACAGAGACTCTGTATCTGCTCAACTTTCACCATTGATGGACCACGGCTTGGCTGCTTTGGGAACTCCACTGGGCTGTGATTTTGAGACTGAACTGTGGATTCTAATCCTGGGTCTTCTGCAAAGATGGGGAAATGGCCTTACAGATGGACCGAATCTTTCTCATTGCATTGGCCTGAACCTGTATTTTGACCATTAGGCTACCTGACTTCTCTCTAGTGTTGCCCTAGGGACTTCCCTCAGAGAACGCCGGGGTTCAGGACAAATATCAGGGACTGGCAGAGCCCTGATGAGTGTGTGGTGGGGGCAGGGGGCTGGAGGCTGGTCCAAGAGAGGGGGGTCAGTGATTTATGGGGTTTTGTGC